TAACACACGGCCAAAGGATTCTATTCCTTCGTAGCCTATCATCCTGTCCCCACAATGACTCTCATTGTCACAATTCCCCATCGACTGAACTCTCTGGATGACAATTTAATGGCGCTGCCTATCATTAATATGACCACACCCATGGCAACTCAAAGATCGAAATGAGATCTTGATTCAAAACTGTCCGAATGGATCCCTCTTCTCCGCTTGCGATGGGCGACACGCAACTCGGTCTTTGCTTTAATTACTGTTAGTGCAGATAGTGGGTTCCTCTTATTAAATTCTGGCCAGGGCTGAGGCTGAGATGTGGCATGAGTGGCTTGACGGCATCATAAAAGAGTAAAGGATCAACATGGTGTGCAACTTTCATATCCACGAATGGATCCTGATTTATGGAACGTTGCTTATAATCTGCATCAGTAGGTTTTGGGAAATCCTTCAGTTTTCCATTACCACACTAATAATCCCTACACTCACCACACTAAAAGTGCTAATTAATGGGGTCCTACGTACTCTACTCCGAAGGAGACTCGGGATCCGAATTAAAGAATCAGGGAACTAAAAAAGGGAAAAACCACAAAGTAGGGCTATTCACATGAAGAAGGCCACTATATTCCGGAGTCCATAGTCGTTCTGTTAATATTAAGCATTTTTTCTTAGAATTCAGATCCATGAAAATGCAAATGCCGAGAAATCCTCTGTTACTTTCTATCCATTGATTTCCCTTCTTTACAGCAACAGGGGCCAGTGGATTCGCTCTTATCAAGCAACGCCCCCAAAAATTATATTCCATCTTTCACTCGAGAATAACCTATTTTCTTCTATCTGAACCTAGACCCATCCATGTCGTGGATCAAAAGACCCTGTTGCAACTCCTGGTCCGAGAGGCAATACTTGCAGACCTCATGTGCAGATAAAACTGGTCGGTTTAATTAAAAATTATGCACAACGCTTATTAGCCAAGAGATGGGGAAATTGCAACCGAGGCGAGGTATAAAATCCACAATCCCATCCATACCCACTCTATAACGGTAATTTCGGCAAGATCCCAACTTCTCGGAGCCACGGAAACATGCAAGGGTCCATATGATGTGGCCATGGGATTTACTATGTGCCTTGCACCGTCAACTTATAGTTCCGCAAATCGTGCATGCTGATCGTGCCTATGAGTAGAAAAATAGGCGGCCATGCACGATCCCCCCTGTCTTGTTTCGTCATGAGTCAACATCAGTCCTGAACAATTCTTTCCGACCGGTCTAGTTTTGCCATCTGCAATGGGTGTCTGTACCTTGCGCTTTCTGCAGGGGCTGTGGCCCTCTTCGAGACCGGGGCCAGTTTTTGTGATAATCTTGGTCACGATATGCACATAGTCATAGTTTCGCTCCTTCTAATATCCCGGAGATTACGTGAGAATCCACAACAGCAAACGAGGCGCTGCACCGAACTAAAGTACGAAAAATGTAAACTATGAGGTATCATAAGTCGTAACGCACAAGACCGAAACCGTCATCAAGACGCGCTCAGAGTTCTTTCGCCCTCCGCTCCCTCACCACTTCTTCCCTTTTTACTTCCCGCTCAACATCCTCAAGGCGCCCTTCCCATTCCGCCCAGCATTCGCCACCCCCAACCAAAGCAATCTCATACCACCGCTGTAAAGCTCGCGCTGTCCGTACACGTAGTTCTGAGATCTGCTTCGCCTGTTCCTCCTGCACCTGCGCTAATTGGTCCAATCGCGGCTGAAGCTGGATGAGGGAGGCCGATGTCTGCGTATCCGGAATCGGGAGATCATTTAATGATGTGAGTCGCGAGGCGGTCTCTGGAAACGCGGAGGCATACGATAACACTATTGAGGCGAGATTCTGGGTTGACAGGTTTTCTGGGAACGTTTGCGGTGGTGTAGGGCGAAAGAGATCGGGGAAGCGGTCATCTAGAACGGTAGATTAGTGTGTGTACGATCATAGTAGGATGAGTTCCCGCACGGAGAAGAAGCACATCCCGCACTGCGGGGATATTTCGACTAAGTCTCTCAAGCTCTCGCTCTAAGCTGAGAAGACGGCGCGAGACACTGTCGTCTAAAGAAGCTGGTTTCGCGGGTGCGGTGGGAACACCAGTCCAATTTGCGTCGCCCGTGAGAAGGTAGGTTAGTCGCCGGAGGCGAGACTCGAGTAATTCAATCGTCGCCCCGGCTATTGCCTCATTTTCGAGACCCATTGTCTAGGTGTAGTGGTTATCTATGGAAAATGAGCTTCATTGTTCGATCAAACCTATGTTGGGGTTAGGATGCAAACATGACATACAAACATACCGAATAGGGGGCCATGTGGGGATGTTGCACCGTTTATCAACGGTCGCTGTGGATTGATTTATGTAGGCATCTCATGGGCATGAGAATATTGCCAAGCCTATTATATCCTGCTGGTATGTTCGCTTTAAGACAAGTGGAAATACAAAGATGTTAAAATTTAGCTGTGTACTCGAGTACTGGTATATTGCAAGATAGGTATCCTTAATACTTCGTATGAATCAATCCCAACATATAGACACTGGAGATGCATAGCAGCTACATCACTTTCGCACTTCCACCATTACTAATTCCACGCGGTATTGGTACTCGGCGAATATTGTACAGGGCCTGCTGTGCTACTCTGACCTAGTAGAGTTCGCCCTCCCCTTTCCTGCATTTCCTGGCCGGACTCCACTGCGTCGCCGAAGCTTGAAACTTGATAGTCGAACACGTTTACATTTGCAGCGGCCGAGGTAGTTTCTCGCTGATCATCTTTGGCTAGTTCATTCATCTCTGTGCTCTCATCCTGGCGACTGGCGGAGTTTGAATCCTCATTCTGCCTGTCAGATGCATCCTCCGCACGCTCTTGCTCCTTGAACTCAGCGTCAAATGTTGCATTGTCTGCATTGACAAATTCCTAGACCGGGTTAGCTTAAGGTTTAATTCCAGAAATAACCAGACATACCTGGAGTGGAGACGGAATTGGCTCCTCTCGGAAATTCATCGCATTTCCATTAGCATAAACAAGCAAAACATTCTTGGATTCTTCACGAGCCGCTTTGAGGACTTCAATTTCTCGAACTTTGCGCGCCGTATATCCAATGACGTCTGCATTTTTGGAACTGGGCGCATCACTCTGCTGTGACTCTACTTGCCGAGCTTTTGCGTCATCTGTTGAAAAGCTGATCCGCCACCACTGCCACTCATCGGCGGCTGTAGGTTCGGTGTCCGCCATCTCCATATGATTGCTAGGTCGTAACACGTAAGTTACGTGCGGCTCAGTACACACACCCCGTAGGGTATATTTATAATGAGGTGTTTTCCCTGAGATATCCGACGGTTCCGTTAATATCTTTGTGTAGCTTCGAAGTGTCTCAATAGCGCTCTCTCTTCTTTGAACCAGCTCTGATTGGAGGTAGCGTTAGTATGTAGAAGCACGATCAGGATAAAAGAGGCTTACCTTTCAGCTTATCATCAATTTTACTGGAGACTTCTCGCAATTCATCTGCTAAACGTTTCGCCTCCGCGTTTGCCGCCTCCGGGCTCAAAGACAACCCATTCGCGCCATTTGCAAGGCTCTTGGGCAGTGTTACGGAGACTGCAGAAGCAGCCTTCTCTAGCGTTTCCTTCAGAGTCATCCCTCTGCTGTGCATAGCAGACTTTGACGCCGAAAAGCGGTCGATCAGGCTTTCTAATTTGGATATTCCGTCATATTCCTGAAGTCTTTGGGCACGAAAGTCGCGAGAAAAATCTCTGGAATCGGCGAGATATCGATCAGGGTAGAAGACCGCAGGAATCTTTACATCAACAGGCTTTGTACTGTCGGTGCTTTCCAATCTAATAGTGAATATTTCACCTATATGCTCCAACCATACATCGTCAAGCTCTTCACCAGGCCTGTCTGACCAAATGGCGCGGTCCAAAACATCGTAGAGAGTTTGACCATGCTCAGGGTCCACGAATGACTCAAGGATGAAGAAATCTTTGTGTATAGGTGTGTCGTAAACGGTAAGAGGTCGTTTATATGCCTTGGACGAGAAGACAGTTGCCAATTGATTCCCAGGATCTGCTCGGACAGCGGCATCTTGCCATGTTTCCAAAAACCTGCCTATGCTGCCTTCCGAGTCGTATGTAGACATGCTCTTTAAACTTACAAGAGCATCCACGCTACCAAAGGAGCGTTGCGTAATATCCAGAAAGGCGATAAGCCTCTGTGTTTCGTAGATGATATCATCCCAATCCGTGTCGCCGTCGTGTGCATCTTGAATTGTCACTATTTTTGGAAGGTTTATTGGTTGTCCGTTCCACCACTGCGGGTCGTGCCCATAGTTTGAGAGGATCCTATTTCTCTGCAGGAGAGCTTCCCGAGCCAGGGGTATAGAGTTAAGGATGGTCAACAGCCCGCCTAGATATAGACTGTCTTCTGATGGACGCAGAAATGCTGGTTCGCCTTCCACCCTCTTACGGTCTCCCGGATTTGGACTGATGATAATTTCGCGAGCGCTAGAGTTAAATAAAGTCATTGCCCAAGCACCTTCATCATAAAAGTCACGGGTGGCCCGGCCAAAGTTCGACTTGTTCGAAGTTGTAACGCCTGTCTCCTGTTGTCCAAGGTTTTGGTTCAAGGACATGGCCACAGCTTGTTGTAGCTCACGCTCCTCCTGCTCAGCAAGTGATAATCCTTTGTTGGGATCTGCCATAGCCCGGTAAGATTGAAGTTAGTGATCCTGGTACAATTTCGCCGTGAGGTGGTCTCACCCGTAGCGTTCTGCGAAGGCGGCGGGGTCGCCTGTTGATACTCAGGTCCTTGTACTTTCTCGCCTAATGTGGTCGGTGGGCGTGAGGGAGGGACTGAGCTGGGAACTGGGTCGGAGTGTTCGATATGAAACGCTGCGAATGGCAGACAGTCAGTAAGTTTATGCATGTGGTTCGCGTCAAACTGGGTTTGGACGCACAGGGTATGTTTGGGTCATTTAGGTAATTGGAAGCCTACAAAGAGACCGACCCTGGTCAGTAGGAATGTTATATAAAAGAAAATTGCACCTGCAAAGAAAAACAATAACGATACCTGTGTCTGCGGACCTGTGGGATCTTCGAAGTAGGCATTGATCGCTTTATTTGAATTGAGGTCATTGGCCTGGGGTAGATGATACATTAGCACGCGAAGTATAGTGAAGAATGACAAATGCCCTGGTATAGTGGGAATATGTGCGCGACGCAGTACTGACTTTAAGGAAGCTGATTGCCTGTTCGCGACTTGTGCTCGTGAAGCTCACAAAGTTCGCAATGGCTTCTTCTGTTGGTTCCGAAGCCATGACGGAGCTCTGTGCTGTTGGCCAGCAGCACAGCGATGATGGGCTCGAAGAAGAAAAATAAATACAGCAATGAGGCTCAAAAAACAAATGATAGAAACAGGCACAGCCTCTATTCTCTGAGCACAAGGGGCACAAGGACAATCCAAAGCATGAAGGTTAATTGTTTGGACCACTGAGCTTCCCCACCACATGACATGCGGCTGCCAAGAACTAGAGAGCATCGCTTTTCCGTTTGAAGGTAAATCATCATCATTGTCTCCTGTATGACACAAAGCTGATGTATGTTATAACTATGGACAATACAGTATTACTCTCCCACATCGCAGTTGCTACTATCAATTACCAAGAGTCAGTAAGTATGTTCTAAACTCTTGGTAATATCAATGATTTTACCGCAAATTGCTACTTTAAATTTCAGCCCCGATAATTCGTAGTCACGGGGACCGCTGAATTTGTTCTAAAAATACCGAGTACAGGCGTGATCTACTACGAAATAGCAGACTTCCTCGGTACTCTAGGCCACATATATGAAAACTAATGTTGTACAGGAAGCTATTCCCCAGGAATAAACTTAAATTACCACGATCCATAAAAGATAGGGGATTTACGTCGCTCTGGATACAGATTGTGGTTCTAGACTCTTAAACTATTGTTTTTCCAGGTTCATAGCGTCTCCAAATTAGCCGGTGAGATAATACCTGATAATCCAGGCCATTGCACTACTCATTAATTGCAATCCCACCAAATCCATCTTCTGGACACCAGCCAGCTCACCATTGATTTGACTTTTGCTCTTCCTTTCGATTGAAGATTTAGCTCAACCCCCGATACAAAAATATAGTCATTTCCAGCGTCCGACTTCGCTCCCGTGTTTATGTGACTGACCTTCCGCCCCTCCATCCCGCCCCGCCAGAGGTCAGGTTCTTTCTGCGTTGTCGGCTCTCTCCAGCGCTCCACTTTCACCAACCCTGAGCTGCTGTGGGGGGAGAAACTGTTCTGTGTCGGTTTCGATTTTGTTTCTAATTGGCGTCAATCGAATCCGACTTAAGTGTACCTAGGCCCCGCGGCGCATCATTTGACAATTTGAATTTTCTCCCATTCGGTTTTCCTCAGGTATTTCATCCGGTCGGAGTTCACCCCCGAGAACCACTCAAAATCCATCACGTCACGTTGTTCTCCCCGACCCTGCCGAACCGCTGCTGTCCGTTAGGATGGCCGCTGCTTTCGATGACGAAGACCTCTCGGTCCCCCTTCCATCATACGACCGCGATCGCCGTCGTGAACGTGCTTCTGGAGCGACTCCTCCCAATTCGAATTTCCCTGGAATGACAATGCCCCCGCCATCACGGCCGATCGGAAGGGGCGGTGATCCGTCAATGCAGTCCCCTGCGACCACCAGGGATATGCAGCGCCTCGATCAGTATCAAACCGTGAAGGTTCTGGGCGAGGGTTCTTTCGGTAAAGTCAAGTTGGCTATTCACCAGCCTAGTGGTCGTCAGGTTGCCCTGAAGATCATCTCTCGTCGCAAGCTGCTGTCACGGGACATGGTTGGGCGTGTTGAGCGTGAAATCCAGTACCTTCAGCTCTTGCGGCATCCTCACATTATTAAGCTGTATAGTCCATACCCCTTCTTGGAAGTTAGCCAAGGGTGAACTAAATAGCTGACTGGCGCATGTCTATGACAGATATACCGTCATTGCAACTAAAACCGACATTGTCATGGTCCTAGAATATGCGGAACGTGAACTTTTTGATTACCTGGTGAAGAGAGGCAGATGCAATGACGCCGAAGCTCGCAAGTTCTTCCAGCAGATAATTTGTGCTGTGGAATACTGCCACCGCCATAAGATCGTTCATCGTGATCTGAAGCCAGAGAATTTGCTCATCGATAGTGAAAAGAACGTCAAAATCGCGGATTTTGGGCTGAGCAACATTATGACAGATGGGAACTTCCTCAAGACGAGCTGTGGTAGCCCGAACTATGCAGCACCTGAAGTCATCTCCGGAAAGCTTTACGCGGGGCCCGAGGTGGACGTCTGGAGCTGTGGAGTCATCCTCTACGTGCTTTTAGTGGGACGGCTTCCCTTCGACGATGATTATATACCGGCCCTTTTCAAGAAAATTGCCGCTGGCAATTTCCATATGCCTCCTTATATATCTTCCGGCGCCGCCCGCCTGATTAGGTCAATGCTGCAGGTGCACCCCGTTCATAGACTTACAATTCCTGAAATTCGCCAGGACCCATGGTTCCAAAAGGATCTTCCGAAATATCTTCAGCCACCCCCCGAAGAATTTATCGCAACGGGCGTAGATCCTAACAAGGCAATTGATCCACGCAAGATTGCGCCCGGGAAGCCGATATCAGTACAACACAAGATCCACCAGGTTGCCATCGCCAAGTTGGAACGAAATATGGGATATGGCCGTGAAGATATCGAGGATGCCCTAAAAAATCCTGAACCCAGTGCAATCAAAGATGCCTTCTTTATCATCGTAGAAAATGAGATGATGCAAACTAACTGTGAGTACTAAGAGATATTTTCTACCGCCTCCTCTCTCCAAGAATCCGGACATCGATAGAGGCTGCTTGAGTGAGGGTGGTATGCTAATAATTTGCACTAGCTCCCACTGATGAGAATTTGATGTCCTCTGCACCTCCGCCACCTTCGGGTCGGACACCAGCCTCGCCGGCAACAACTGGCCGGCCCGCTGCTGCTCCCTCACAAGGAGCTCCTGCCGGGCCACCTACGAGAACTCGAAGTGGTTCACAGCGCCAGTCGTTCCAACTGCATCAGCCAAGTGATTCAGATAACTTGGAGACATCGCGTATCAGCCATGTTAGGATTTTGCCAACTAGTTTACCTTACGTCCATGATCAGTTGATGGAACAGCGCGAGCGGGAACAAAGAGCCCGTGCCGCAGATCGTCTGGCAGAGGAGCAGGCTCGGTCAGGCTCGGATGCCTCTGAAGATCCACATCGATCCGGCCTTGATGGCCGTTCTTTAGCGGAGCAGGAGGCAACAGCCAAAGCCCTGAAACCTCACTCTCGCAGCATCGTCGATCTAGACAAATTACGTCTCGAACCACCCGAAGCTCGTAACGCCCCGCATCAACCCAGGAAAACCCGGAAATGGCAATTTGGGATCCGGTCTCGTAACCAACCATACGAGGCAATGCTTTATCTCTATAAAGCTATTGCAGCGCAGAGAGGACGATGGGAAATTCTTCCAGCCGAGTCAGGTCAGTTCATTTATAGCTCGAAGCTTTGGTTGAGTTCAAACTAACCAAGATGTCAAGGTACTCAAATAGGCTCGCAGTCCGCCGATGAACCCACACCGCTCCAAAGCAAATATCCAGATCTACCCCCGGACTACTATATTCCAAAAGATCCGTGGTTCATACGGGCACGTCTCTTGAAAGAAGGCGTCAAAGCACCTGGCTTGTCTGGCAGCGTGCATAGCAGCAGGAGCGATATTAGCGAACTTCGTCGAAAATTCAATCTGACTGGTGGACCATCCTCGGTCGATGAGAAAAGCCACAGTCCCAATGAACACTTGAGCGCATCAGGCCCTTCCTCAGCTTCGCAGCATCTTTCAATCCCGCGCGTCGCTTATGGTGTTTGGGTTTTCGTTGATATCCAGTTATATCAATTAGAGGAAAACAACTACATGGTGGACTTCAAGTGTGATGGATACCAGAACGTGATCCGTGCGGAGAGCGATACTGAATGGCATCCTATCAGCAAAAGATTCCGGAATAAGGAAAAAGAGATAACTAGCCCTTATCCTTTCCTTGATGTTGCCTCTGATCTCGTGGCACAATTGGCGGTCGCAAGCTAGACCTCTGGTGGTCCTGATGTTGGGAATTCATTGATTGGCGTACTTGGGGAAATCGGTGCATCTGGCGCGGCGTTCTGATTCTTTTATTATTCTGCTTTCCTGCCTTTGCTTGATTTGTTGCATGTCAGCGGACAAAAGTGCACTTCTGTTCTCTCGATTGAGAAAAGAAATTGCAGGTTTTGGATATATAAGCAACCAATTTCACCTACTGCTCATAATATTATTTTCTATTTCTGTTACTAGACCATGGTTCGCAATCGACACGTTTCCACTGTCTTCACTCTCTTGTCCAAGTACTTAGTTGATGCTGCCTGAGCTGTCTTTATCGACGCACTGATTTTCAATATTCCCCACTCAGAGTGGGAAGGGCGAGTGGGGAATCAATTCTTCAGCGAGTATCAAAGAATGCGGACTTCTGATAGGCAAATCCAGGACTTTTTGGATTTGGCTTGCTCCTCATAACTTGATGGGCCGACGTCAGACTTCCAAGAGAATAAGCTGCTAATCCCATACTGAGGAAGATAAACACTGAAAGAAACAATATCGATTCATTCGGCGCACCATACTCTGAACCGCCATTCAATTACCCAAAATTATAAAACACAGCAAGGATAAAATCGGAGAACTTCTCCTGTTCAAGATACCGTCATCCATGATGATGTCCCTATCTTGATCATAGGAAGTGGTCCCTGTGGCCTCTTACTCGCTTTCATGGCTCGCGCGACTCCGGCGTGATTTATATCTACCATAGTGCCTGTCATTATTGCGTACGACTCTAACTCTTCTCAACAAGTTCGGACATTGACCGTCGAATGCGATCCCACTAGACTGGATGCACCAAAGGCCCATGCACTGTCACCCAGATCACTGGAGCTACGCCGTCAATTCGGGTTGGCGGTCAACAAGATCCGCAGTGTCAGGGCAAATCGTGAAGACGCCCACTGGTGAACTTTGTTCCTGGTTTGAACGGGAGACTTGTCGGGAGACTTTCGTATGATCGGATGGACGCTGGGTCTTGAATGACACGCCGACGGTCCGTACTGTGTGTCCCAGTGCTTTGGCTCCTGCCATTATACAAGAACGCTGACACTGACTCAGATGATATACAGCATTCCTCAGCTGGAGGCTGAGGACCTGATCGTTAGAGAACCACGGCCTTGTCGGTTGGAAAATGTACGGCTATTGTCGAGGGCTGACAGATCTCCCAAGAGAAGTACAGCGAGGAAAAGCTGGAGGCGCAGTTCCTACAGTCCCCCTCCAGCCTATATTGCATCGAATGCTCACAGCACCTGTAGTGGTTGCTATCCAAATACAAGAGCCTTCGTGACAACTCTTCAAGGAGAATAGGCCGATTTCTACATCATACGCCATTCAAATTATATCGTTACGCAGTCAACATTGGTAATTTTGGCTCAGCAAATTTGCACATTCCCGTGATAAAAGCCGTCAGTATCAGCGATAGGCACAGAGTATTCAGTTCTCGTATGGGCGGTAAGGCTGTGTACGCCTCCAAGAAATGGGGGCTTATTTACTAGTATATCGATGCAGACACCAATCAGAACGGGACTTGAAATTGATCAACTTTGCCCCGCATAAGCAGTTGAACTCTTAGATCGCTTCAGCCGAATTTTTCAGTCAGCACTTGGTTCTCTTTGGGGTGATTTGTGTGCAGTTGGGTACTTCTCGCGACGACTTCTTAACATTCAAGCATCCGAAGCCCCCTACATGATCGCTTTAAAATCTACATTAGAAACCACACAAGAAGCACTAAGTCTCGTTTTCGAACAGACAAGTGTCACAGGCCAGGCTTCCACCATCGGAATGGCGGACCCTTTTGCGATAACCGGGTTGATTTTGCAAGTTATAGAAACTGCTGGCCAGGTATATAGATATTGCAAGGAGGTCAAGAATGCTGACAATGAGATCCGGGAATTGTTTGGCGAACTTTTCGCTCTAAAAGCAGTTCTTGAGCAAATGAGTAAAGAACGGCAAGGTACACTGAACATAGAGGATCCCAAGTCTGCACAAGCGCTTTCCTCAGAATCGTTTCGTCACGCCTTGCTCAGCGCGAACGGCATCTTGAAGGACATCCTTGACGATTTGATGAAAAGACAACTACGAGGAAAATCATTCTTCAAGCAGTTAGGATGGCCAGGGAAGAAAGAGAAACTTCAAGATAGTATTGTCCAGCTTGAACGTCTCAAGAGTTATTTTATCTTAGTTATGGTGAATGAGAGCTCGTATGTGTCTCTATTTCCTATCTGGGATTGACGCTGATTGATTTACCAGGGCAATGGACAAGGAGGTCCTATCGTCAATAAATTACTTGACGGACCTGGGAACGCTGATGAGACAAGATAGCCAAAGTGAGATACCAAAACAAGCGACCCTTCCTATTCATTTTCGGCCTTAGGGCTATCCTCCTTTTTCCTATCTTTCGAGCCCCATCTAATGACCGCTTTAGAGGACCTGCGTCAGAAGATAAGGGAATGGATATGTCCCTTTGATGTGGAAGTAAGCCATCGCAAAGCACGGTCTGTATGCCAGGCTGGCACAGGATCTTGGTTTATCGATGGTCCTTTTCAACGATGGTTTCGAGGACAGGAGAAGTCTCGATTGCTCTATCTTGAGGGTAAATGTAAGCTTTGGCTTTCCGATGTTTCGCTAAATCTACGTACTTACAAAGAATTTAGCTGGGTCTGGGAAAACGGTCCTTTGGTATGTTCGATCATGGAATTATGCCTTGTTTTATACAGTCGTTAACATGTACTGGCTGTAGTTCTACTGCTATAGAAGAAGCGAGGAAAGCCACCCAAAGCACGGACTTTAGCTTGGCACTGTTCACGTACTGCTCGTTTCAGCTCAGTGCTTCCCAGAAGCTGGTCCATGTTCTCGGTGCTTTACTCGCACAGCTTTCCGACCGCTTTCCTCAAGCCCTTGATGTACTGGAGCCTGACTTTAGGAAGAAGTCACTTCCTTCTCCGGATATCCTTCTCCGGATACTTCGCAGTCATGCGCGTGAGCTTAAACGGCTGTATATTTTTGTCGATGCTGTTAATGAGAGCGATGAGTGTGAAAATATTATAAGCACATTGCTGAGCCTCGCAGAATCTGAATATCAGATACATGTGATGGTTACCAGCACCGCAGCTTCAGTGACACTGAGTAAGGATGATCTTCTGAGAGCACAAATGAAACCATCTTCAAACCAGAACGACATTCAGGATTTCGTGAACGCGCAGCTGGAGACACGTCCAAGCCTTCGTTATCTCCCCCAACACACTAAAAGAGATATAACTACCGTACTTATTGCCAAGGCCAACGGAATGTAAGTACAAACATAGGCTTTCTTATGCAAGATACATTTGAGCTAATCGACAACGTAGGTTCCGATACGTTCAATGTCAGATTGACCTTCTCAGTGCCCAAGCAACTGGTCGAGGTGTCCGGAAGGCGCTTGCGACATTGCCAGAAAGCTTAAATGGAACGTACGAAGTGATTCTCGGACAGATCCCCCCGTATAGCCGTGAACTCGCAAGAGATGCACTTCTCTGGCTTACATTTAGCCGACAACCGATCACTTTGTCAGCATTGAGCGAAGCTGTGGTCATCATCAAGGGAGACAAATTTTTAGATGATGAATGTAGGCTATATTCACCTACAGTCATCCTAAAGATCTGCCAGGGACTAGTGGCGTATGATGAAGTGACTTCGGTTATAACATTAGCCCACTCCTCGGTCAAAGCGTTTCTTACATCCGATGCTATCAGACAGGGCCCTGCCGCATACTACAGCTTGCAGGAGGTCGAAGCTACACGGTGTATCTTCCAGAAATGCTTGACATACTTGATGTTTGATGCATTCCAGAAGCCGTGCCGAAGCCGACATTCCCTCAGAAGGCGTCTGAAGGAGTTTCCTCTGTTGAGCTATGCCTCCATGACCTGGGGACAGTATTGCGGCTTGCATGCCCCTGCTGGCTTCGTGCTTGACCACTCTGAGTTGGACGAGATAATGGCATTCTTTGCAACATGTGCCCTACATAATGGAGGTAACTTTAGATCCTGGGTTCAGGTTTTGATTCCCGAGGCTGCCACCGAAGAGGCTTGGTCCACAGAACCACTATACTATGCGTCTTCATTTGGAATGACACTCGTCGTGGAAAGGCTTATCAAAAGCGGCATCAACCTGGACTCCCCTGGTGGCCGTCACGATGCTACTGCCCTTACAGTTGCGTCATACAGAGGCCAGCTCGCAGTGGTCAAGATGCTACTTGATGCAGGTTCAGACCCAAACTTGAAAGATTGCCATGGAATAACAAGCCTTGGATGGGCAAAGAGGAAAGGCCACCGCGAGGTCGAAACGCTTCTATTGGCATATGGTGCTCAGGTTCAGCTGGGGTATTCCAAAGTGGTTGTGCCAAAGAATACGCAACTGGCAGATAGCGAGGACAGCGACTCTGCCGGTTATGAAGAGTGAGTGGGATAGAAGGCAGTTCAGTGAACAACGCAAAGGACTCCAGAGGAATCAGTCTGCACGGCGTTGATCTAACCCCAGAGAGCTGCTGCTTCGCCAGAGGAAGCATACAGAGTCTCTGCAAGGATGTCCTTCATTGTTTCATACTGTTTTAGTTGATGCAGTATAGTAGTGTTTGATGAAAATAACCTGGATAGAATATCGGGCCACGAAGCCGTACTAGGAGTTATACTACAAGAAGGATATAGCATTATACGTGAATCGGTAGAACTACCGGGGGTGCCTTCGCCACAATATGCATCAGCCCTAACAACGTCACCCCACAACCCCAGGAATTAGGAATCCGCAGCTCCGGTGGACTAATTTCTCCTCCTTGAAGTGGAATCAACGGCCGACGGATAAGAAGTTTGCCGCTCTCCACAGCACCGACGTGGGGAAAGTGTGGGGAGAACGCCACGGGGGGATCATCCGATATGGGGAAGTAAAAAATCCAAGTATAGATAAGCTGCATTTAAAACGTAGCGCCCCTCCTCTTCTCCAGCTCTCTTCAACCAGTCACAGCTCCTTCAATTGCTATCCAACATGACGCGCGCACAATCAGACAAGCCCACGGGCGAGTACCGCCAATATCTACCCGACCTGAGCCTGAAACGCTTCCAGGTAATGCGCACTCAAGACGCGCATGAATATGCCCATAATTTCAAGACCCTTCATAACCCACCATGGCTGCATGCGCTGTACACGCACTGGTTGGATTTATTGCAGGAGCCATTCAAGGGTGTCACGACCGATGGTATGACATTTCATTTCCCACAGTTGCTGCTCGGTGGCTAATATCCAGCCAGGAAATGTCCGACCCGGGCTCTTCACATTACAAGATGAAGATGTTCCCATCGGCACAATAGTAAGTGCAGTTGAGTCTCTACTCTCCATAGTAGACGACAAACAACGCCAAGCACTCTCATATCACATCGACTCCCCCGAATGGCGCACATGGTCAAACCCTGAATTCCTCCTCAGCCACAAAGGCCTCCGTCTCGACGAAGTCAACGCTAAGACCCGCGACGCAATTCTGAACGTGCTCAAGGCTACGTTATCACCAGAAGGCTACGACAAGGCCGTTAAAGCCATGCGCATCAATCACTTCCTAGGCGAGCTCGTCGAATCACCAAAGGTGATGAACGAGTTCTCCTACAACTTCGTCCTGTTTGGACGTCCCTCTACCACCAGGCCCTGGGGCTGGTCGTTCTACGGCCATCATCTCTGTCTGAACGTGTTCCTGTACAAGGGCCAGATCGTCGCCTCGCCGTGGTTCACAGGCGCAGAACCCAATGAGATCGACTCCGGTCCGTATGCAGGCACCCGCATTATGCAGGCCGAGGAGGAACTGGGCCTCCAACTTATGCAGTCGCTCAGTCCAGATCTCCAGCAGCAGGCTCGCGTGTACGCTGAGATGCATGACCCCGCAATGCCACCTGGTCGCTGGAACAAGGATGACCAGCGACATGTGTGCGGTGCGTATCGGGATAACCGAGAGGTTCCGTACGAGGGTATCCTCGCTTCGTCGCTCAACGAGGAGCAGAAGGAATTGCTCTACGGTATATTGGAGCAGTATCTACTTTACCTCCCCAAGCGATCGCGGGATATGAAACTGGATCACATCCGGCAATTCCAGTCAGAGACGTACTTCTCCTGGATTGGTGGTTTTGGCGACGAGGATCCGTTTTATTACCGGATCCAGAGCCCCGTGGTTCTCGTGGAGTTTGATCATCATTCCGGCGTCTTCTTGAACAATGAAGAGCCGAAGAAGTTCCACATCCATACTTTGCTGCGCACGCCTAATGGTGGTGACTACGGATATGCCCTGCGGCCGTTGATTCCCGCTGTGGAGGGAATAGTGGGGAAGGACATTACGTGGGAGAAGTCGGCTCTTTAGGCGGGCCGATGCTGATATTAGATGATGTTATGCGATAGACGTACATAGTGAGCATATGAGATACTAGACCGTGCCAAATGAAGCGTCCATGATATGTTGACTTCCACTTTCCCGGCTGGTTCACTCTACGTAACTGCCGATATACCCGAGCATAACCTAGATCCACCCAGCATTGCTTTACTGAATTATCGGTGGAGAATTCGCCACAGGAACGTACGATCAATGGTTACCCCTATCAGCTATGGCTCGGATCTGCCGAGCGGGCTAGAACTATTTACTGCCTGTGCCTGCTGATAGGGTTCACCGTTCGGATAACAGATAGCTTTGGGGTACTCTCTTCTAAACAACCACATAGCTGTAAGCATTTGGCATACCCCATAAGACCAGGATTCTCAAGAAAGAAATGAGAACACAAGCATATAGTGAATACTAAAATATTGCCAAAAACCCCAAAATTGTGTATCAAAACGCATATATCCCTTGGCCCAATATAACCAATCCAACTCAAACTATGTAGCATCCAACCACCCCTAAAATCCCCATACAAATTGATAAGCTACAAAACAGCCCAAAAGCTCAGACCAACGCCCTGACCACCAGCTTCCAAATTAGCCCGGGGCCCCATATCAATTTCACGCAGGATCCTCCATCTCTAGCCCAATGAAAAGTCAAGCAAAGATGCCCAGCTGTGGAATATCCGACAGCGTCGGAATTGCCGACCCCGGTAATGCCCTTCACGATCGTCTGATTGGATGCCGGATTGCTCGTATTTGAGCTTCATTAGCCCCCCTTGTGTTGGCCGTTATGTGCAAATCAATTTGAAATCCTCGGTGGACAACGTATCTCAATGTTCGACTACATTTATCGTCTCTTGACTAGGCTATCGGGAGGAAAGTCGCGCAAGGAGGAGACAGCTATGGTAAGTTCATCACGTCTTGCGTCCGGTTGAACAAAGACAAAAAAAAAAAAAAAAAAAAAAAAAAAAAAAAAAAAAAAAAAAAAAAAAAAAAAAAAAAAAAAAAAAATCTAACATACTGCAAAGATCCCAGACGAAGTCCGCCTCCACATCATTATAGTCGGCGCAGGTCTCAGCGGCCTCGCGACGGCTATATCCTGTGCTACATCAGGCCACACAGTCGAGGTTATTGAGCAAGCAAAGGAACTCGCCGAGGTATGTATACCCGGACATATACGCCAATATAGAAGCTCCAAAAGCTAATGATACGATACTGCAGGTCGGCGCAGGCCTCCAAATAACCCCCAACGCATCCCGCCTTTTCCACCACTGGCGCCTCCCCTCATCGCTCTGGCAATCGGCCGCTGAGCCAACAGCCCTAACCGTGCACAAATACACGGGCCAAATCCTGGCCCACGAGGCCCAATTCCACACCAACATCCGCGCAAAGTACCAAGCGCCCTTCATCGACCTCCACCGCGTCGATCTCCAACAGGCGCTCTTCGCCCGCGCGCAAGACCTCGGTGTGAAATTCCACCTCAACGAACGGGTCGACCGGCTCGATTTTGACTCCACCACTGTCCATACGCTCTCCGGGAAGACGTACCGTGGCGATCTCATCGTCGCGGCGGACGGGCTCTGGTCGAAATGTCGGGAGTGCTACGAGGGGAGGAAGGACGATCCGCTGCCGACAGGCGATTTGGCGTATCGGATTGTACTCAGGGCGGACGAGATCACGGACCCGAAACTGCGGGCTTGGGCTGAGAACCCAGAGTGCCATTTCTGGGTTGGGCCCGGGGCGCATGCGGTGGCTTATTCGTTGCGTGGAGGTAGCATGTTTAATATTGTGCTTCTTGTGCCGGACAACTTGCCCCCCGGGGTATCCAGGCAGGAGGGGAGCGTGGAGGAGATGAAGGCGCTGTTTGAGGGGTGGGATCCTGTGTATGTCCTTCCTTCCCCCTTCTTCTCTTAGGGTTTGTTGTGGGGGAATGAGATTGGCTGACATGGTCGTCTAGGTTGAACCAATTCCTCAGTTATGTCGATACTGTCGACAAGTGGAAGCTGATGCATCGTGAGTCTTTGAATCTCATTGTCCTTTCTTTTATGGGCTGTCCACTAACGGTTTGATACAGACGGTGAAATGGAATCCTGGATTAATGACAGATCCAACCTCGTCTTCATGTACGCTCCTCGACCGCTCTTTCTTCCTGTACTCTATCTTCCAGCAATTCTGACTAATAACTCCAGCGGCGACTCCTGCCACCCAATGCTCCCCTACCTAGCTCAAGGCGCCAACTCATCTCTCGAGGACGGCGCCGTCCTCGGCGGCCTTCTAGGCCACATGAAGAGCAAATCACAGCTCCCGGAGATTCTCCGCTTATACGAAAGCTTGAGAAAGTCAAGAGGCGAGGCGATTGTTAAGGAGACGTTTAAGCAGGTAATTTCTATGTTTCTCTTACTCTATATTCTTCGTTTCTGTCTTTACTTGGTTCATGAACTGACGGTTCACCGTAGAGAAACGATTTCCACATGTACAACGGACCCGAGCAGGAAAAGAGAGATGAGATTTTCTTATCGCAGTTGGGGAAGGAGATTAAAGGGGCGTTTCCTAGTCGATGGTGAGTGATAATTTTCCTTTTTTCTTTTGTGTGTTATGTGGTTGTAGGTCAGGCGCTGATGTGTATGCGTGTAGGACGTGTCCTGAGGTGCAGCCCTGGTTGTATGGGTACGATGCGCTGCAGGAGGTGGAGAAGGCGGTTGGGCAGAATCCAGAGTTATTTTTGAAGAAGAAGGTGAATCTATAGATCTGTTTCTGTTCTTACTTCCTGGGATATGTGTATGTATGGGTAATTTGATGTGCTAGTTCTCTAGGTATTCAGACACTGATTCTGGGTCGTGAATGAATGTATGGGCAGTTTGAGATGGCGTATGTACAAAGAAACGTAGATGGCTACGATTGCAGAAATCGCATATAATACAGTCAATTGTCCAACATTGGCAGTCCTCCTATATCATCGAAGAGCCGGGCGATTCCTTCAAACGAACAGTCCGGGAATCCAAAGCCGTGGGCCCATTCCTGCCACGATCTCGTTAATTCCGAGGGCCTTGAATAGAGGATTGGAAGTCACATACCGGTATATCAAAAGTACCCTGACTAGGGGTCTCCGCTGCATACGCCGGAACACTTCCTTCAATGTTCCCCATACTTGATTGGGCGTCCGACAAGCTGAATTCTTTGAGATAACGTTTGATTAGATCAACGGACTTCCGTGCCACGACCGATTCATCCATCGCTTCCAAGATTTCCAACGCCATCTCCACGGATCGTCGCAACGGGATAGTTTCAGGGCACATGCCAAGCTTGACCATGGGGAGTAGCAGAGTTGATGTGGCGAACATCGCATATGTTGTGTTATACCACCTATCAGATAAAATTAGGGTGGAGGGAAATCCGAGAACAACATGGTAGAACATACCAGCACCGGAAGAACGTATGGACTCGGTAGATATCATAGATGACTTCAATTGTTTTCATCGCAGCGTCAAGACACTTCCCGATAGTCTGTTCCAGCTCGATCGGTGGATGTCTTAATTTGCGTGTAAAATGACTCAGGAAAGGGCGAAATAGGAGCATCTTGACGTTATAGTAGCCTATCTGGATTAGCCGCAATTTCCGTATGGGTCACGGTGGACGACTTACGAATACCCAGGACCAATCTTTGCCGGCGAGCCCACTTTGGGTCTCGCAGTGTACCGCCAGATGCTCGTTGTCTCAGGACATCCGGCTTAATTCTCTCCGGAAGTCTCAACATCCATCTATCCAACTCAGCCTCGATTTGCAGCGCGACCTGCAATTTATCCTGCAAGGTGATTCGTGAATGATAGATTTGCACAGACACCTTACGAATCATTTGTGCAAAATCAACCATCCATGGTATGATGGCGTATTCGGAATCGTCTCTTTCCGGAAGAGCTCGATTGTGATATTCATCCATTCCTAGAGTATCCGGACGGCCAACAGAAAAGCTCATCTCACTGCCTCATCAGTATACATCACAGAGATTTATAACCTCAGAGAGTACTCACATTTCGAGAGAGAATAAGCCCCTGTAGATAATTAGCACCGAGAATACTGAATAATTCCAGGTGCACCTACCACCAAGTTTTGGAGATCCAACCTGCCCTTTGCTCTGTAGAGTTACGCACTTCCCTGTTGAAACCAGCTGCTAGACATGTGCGTATAGCAAGGCCCAAGTACATATAAGCCACTACGAGGCATTAGCAATACGAAATCACTGCAAGAATAGGATGACTGACAGTTCGGGTTGAGCTCGTTTTGGCAAATTTTAGCCTATCCCATGTTAGTGAAATTATGTGTGTGAATAAATATAAGCCATGCATACCATGAGGTACAAGCACTGGACTGTGTCCAGATTATTCGAAAACTGCAAATAGTTCAGATAGACTTGGGCTTCCCCGAACAACTTCCGGCTCCACTCGAAACGCGTTAAGCCTCCAAGTCGCTCCTCATCCCAAACACGAACCAAGGCGCCAAATGAGAGGATGCTTAGATACAGTGCGACAAAACTTGGTTCTGGTTGTTTCTTTCGGTTGAACCATAGATCATGAGCCCGCAGGCAGAAGTCCTCTTTGTCAATCAAAGGATGAATAAAGTGGATGTTCTCAAAATATCCGTTCATAAATGCATGAGCCTGTTCAAAGTAGTAGTTGTGCTCATGAAGTGCCCCGGGTTGCGCCGGGCCAGCCGTATATGAGGGCGAGAAACTTGAATTATGTAGTGTAGATACTATAGAGTACTCTGGCACGCCATTGAGATTATGTTGCTCTTGAGTTCGGCCGGGCTCGTGCCTCTTTTGAAGATGGCCTATTAGTGCAGTTGATGATGTGCTTCCATGGAACTCGATGCCGTTGGTGTGGTGATTAAGCTCGCTGATTTCATCTTCCACGGAGTCCCCGGCCTCGTCATGATTGTCGTATGACAGTGATATCTCTTCTCTTGGGGTCGAGCCATGCCGAGGCATAGAACACGGGGTTGCATCTATTATGGCATGGGGTACCTGTCTTGTTTCAGGGGCTGTCGCCTCTCTCTGAGACTGAGGAGAGCGCTGAGAAGCAATTTCAGATTCAGCCACGCGGAGCTTTGCGGAAAGCTCATCTACTTTCTTCTCTAAGTCGGAAACATAACTAACAAACGCTATCAGAGACACTAAATACCACACCGCGCTGGGAATCGTAACTCACCTAGCTGAGCGGTCATTTTCACGCTGTCGGTAATTCCCTTGATATACGCAACTGATGCCGCTCTCTGTACAGGTTAGATCTTTTACTGAGTGGAGGCCAGATAAGCGACTTACTCTTGCAGTGCGAGCAAGGGTATGATTCATCACATTTATATTTTTTTGTTCTACACCTGTCGCAGGCTTGAGCAGCACGCGGCCGCTTCGCCCGAGGTGGACCAGAATCATCCACTGTGGTGCGAATTGATGGCGATCGCTGCGTCTGACGTTGCATCATCCATTTATAGTCATATCCGTCACATTAAGATATATTGTATGTATAGATGTATGGGGTGGTGATGCTGGAATGTGCATCCGGGGAGACACAGCGTACAAAGAGTATGCGACGCGACAAAAAGTGGTCGGAATTGCCGAACACTAACCCAAACTGCCGGCCTGTCTAGCCGTCACATGACATGCCCCGCGGGGAATTTTAACGCTATTTTAGCTAAACTTTCTAATTTGTTTGGGTAATTTAGATTGCATTCAGGGTATTAACTAGCGAATGGAGCCATGGGTGATGGAGGTAACCATTACAAGGCAATATCTACATTGAGCCCCTTTGCAACAGATCCAACCTGGGCCGAATCCCATTCTAACTCCCTATCAGGCAGAACAACGCCTTCGAATGGCGTCCCCAACCGATGCACCAGACTCTCAATGCCATCTCCATCTGTGAAAGACCAGACCCGTACGTATTTGCTGCCGAAAGCTAGGGCAAATGTCTGACCGGCTGGAATGACCACCGTTTCGCCTTCACGGAAGACAGCATCCGGTAAACCCTTCAGACGGACGATCAGGGTTCCCTCTTGAATACAAAGGCAGTGATCCACATCGTGGAACGTCATATATTCTGATAGTAGTGAAGGGCTATATTGGTTGGACGATTCGATACTTGAAATTGCGCACACCCCGTTGCTTTGGGTCGTTGTGATAAATGGCCGAGACATAACACCTCCCAACATCCATCTTGGACCGGTGTTGGCACGTAGGTAAAACGGCTGCGAAGAGTCCGGGAGACGTTCATCATATTTTGTCCAGTCTCCTAAATCTGGAGGTTGATAGTTTGGTTGGAAGACGACATCAAACTTTTCCTTCGCAGCCATAACCTTGGGTATCAACAGGGACTTCAAATCCCGGTCGTCACTCTCGGGAACCAGTAGCCCCTCGTAGGGCTCGGAGACGTGTCGGAAGAAGTCAACCCAATCCCCGGGAGTTATCAGGCCGTAGAGTTCTGTATGCGGACCTAACATTTCGGGATTATGAACGACTGTCTAGCGATGTGTCAGATTTTGCTTCTCTTCCCATGCAAAACATGCGGGAGTGAAGTACCGGTGGCGCATATGCAAAGTCACCTGGTCCCATGATGCGGCATCTATCTCCATTCCATAGCTTTAGATAGCCTTTCGTAACTAAGAAAACGTCATGGGCGTGGTTGTGGTAATGGAATCCCGGTGCATCGGACAGCACCGCACCGCTTTGGAAAACAGCCATCAAGCCATTTGTCTGCTTTGAGGACGCTAGGATACGGAATACCCCCTTACTGCCAGGAATTGAAATACGTTCTCCCTCCAGCTGAGGGATTGCGTAGGGAACCCTCTCCGGAGGGGGGAGTTTCGTCCAGGAGATAGCCATCGTAGGATGATGTGAAAGTTCTAAGATAAGCTGCAGAGTATTGAGGAATCTCACAATGCCACTCACAAAAGAGGGGTCTTCGTATTGATCGTCCTTATGTACGAGTACTTTGTAGATCATTGAGAGGGATTCGTCATAATTGGTCCACCCCGCATATCCCCCGGAGCCCGGAGAAGCCGCGAACGAAACGACCGGAATATCCGATGTTGGCCGGTCAATGGTTCGTATGGTGTCATGCTCTACTCTACTTTCTCCTTTTCGCAGCTATGCGCCCAAAGCCTGAGATAAGGCATGGAAATGGTAGTACATTAATCAGAGATTGAAGGAAAAGTCGGGGCGGCCTGGCATAACGAAATCGTATGTTCTTATTGCTACCTGCCAAGGTTGGGAAATAGAAGCATACATGAGCATTGCAAGTTAACATACGTAAAAAGCAGATAAAAGTAACGGGGCGGAAAAGAGAAAAGAGAAAGACAAAAATCACGAAAGAAGGCACATATTCACAGACTATGTGAGATTTACGATATTGCCTCCATAGTACTCCTGCCCACCTGCGACAACCAACAGTAGGCAAGTAAAGTTTGATACCTCGGCCCCAAGACACTATATGAGCAGCGCCAGGCCGCAGTGCACAGGATTCACTCTTCCCGTTTCAGATTGAATATTGCCAACTCCAAACAGTCTTAACGTTATCTCTGGTGTCCGCTATTCTGCGAAGACATTGACCTAGAGGAGCTTCTGCTCAGCGACATGGGAGAATTGGGCTGGGACGATTCGGGGGTGGTGGAATGACGGAGCGAGGAGACTGCACTTCGGACTGTTCCTGTCGCTGCCTCGGGGTTACAGTGCGCACAGACAAACGTGTTAAAGCCCAGTCCCTGGCAGCTACTGCAATCCATAACTCTGGGGAACCTTAAGCTAACATCAGAAGGCTGGGCGCAATCAGGGGAGCAAACCTTCGAGGATTTCCTGCACAACTTCTGCATGTCAGGGCTATTCGCCCTCCACCGGTACAGGATATATGTTCTGGATCAAGATGAATTGTTGAACCTTTCTGATGGGCCATGTTTAAACAAGATGATGGTGGGATCCTCGGCGAAGAAGCAAAGGAGAAACAGTCAGAGTGGACAAGTTGTCTGGATTGCATTGACGATGACCCATTTCGTGGGAGAATCCATACTTAAATACTCTGCTGAACCACTTCCTCCGACAGAGGGGTATATTTTTGCATCGAGATTGTCGGCATACGCATTTCAGAAAAAGCCAAGGTTGAAGGCAGAAACGGGAAGGCAGAAGGATGATGCCAGTAGTGAAGCCAGGCCGCTCCTTGCACAGGGCGATTGCTATTTGTCCTCTATATTGGAACCGTGGTACTATGCCAGGGAGATTGTCCTACCAAGTTTCGAGTCCGTGGACGCTGTTGGAATCCGTATTGGCAGTATCGAATCGTTGTCCAACATCCTCTTGTCGGAGGATACTCAGAATGGATCAGCAGGACACCGATTCCAGTGATTAATGATGTTGCTTTTCGGTAAACTCGGTATTCTACCCATATCAATGACACGAATACGGGCAATGCGGCATGGTTCAGGGTCATCAAATGGCTGCATAATCAGCTCAAAATGCAGAAGGTGAGCAAAGATTGACTACACCCAACAGATCTTTCGAGCCATGCCGGACTGTGGGAACTTTGAGGCATCCTTGATCCATCAAGCCGGGTCAGAACTATAGTTGTTCTTCCGAACATTATCAACCGGACCGAGGGCGTGCCTGCGAGCTGCGCCTAGGGCGGGTCGGGATAAATGCGGCACATCGAACATGACATGGGGATTATCAATCATCAAATAGCGAAAAAAGAAAGGAAAGGACGACCAGCGCTTATCAGCGCCGAGGGCAATAAAGGGTGGGGTGTATGTGACGGGAATTAAAACTAGAGGCATGGCAGCCACACAGTGTTGTGTTACTCAACTTACAAAGAAGTCGAGTTGATCCGTACAGACGTACAAACAGACTGACCGCTTCAAATCAGCCGGTGCGTCGCGTTTGAGTGTCCAGTTCACTGCTACCCACGGATTTGTGCAGGGAAGCATGCAGCCTTGAAATCTTCCCCAGTGTAGGGATGTTTAAACAACAACTGGAAACTCTAGACGCAGTAATAACGCTGGACGAAGGATAGGTATGTATCGGCACTAACTGCTGGCGCTTGTGGTTGATGTGATCAGTCGTCTATTTCCAACGTTCGCAGGATTTGATCATGCGCAAGGTTGAATAGTTGTTGGTAGACAATCCAATTAGTAATATGGCAAGACCCTTGGAGTAAAACTAGATATCTCTGTCTCCTTGATGAGGATTGGGAAAAATCCTTCGATCACCAAGGAGTGGCACGTTTGGCTACTGCTAATGCAGAACCACGCAACGCAGTCGCGCATTCCCCAGTCGTAGTGTGACAAAAGGACCAACAACGGCTGGGGCTGCAATGTCGGAGGAAGCGCTACCTCCGATTGGACTAGAGATCGAGATTTAAGAACGAGAAAGACAGAAAAAGAAAAGAGGAGTATCGTAAGGATCCTATTCAATCAGCTCCTGTGGGAGGAATAGTCACAACAGAAGGTGAACTGCTCCGACGCTAGAACACAGCACCGATATACGTTAACCTTATGGTGGTCTCCTCGGTGTTGAGATTTCCGTGCTCTACCTAGATATGAATGCCCTCATCTGCACGGTGCCGCCTAGCATAGAAGCCGGAAAGACTTGCCGTGGTGCTCCACAACAGTTCAGTGATTTGGTGTAGACTTGTACGCTGCGGCGAGAAAGTCCTTTATTCAGACCAATCAAGCCCATGAAGTATGGTACTGGAATGGCCTGGGATCGCTTATTGGTCAGATGTAAGAGGGTGTTCCTGGGAATGTGATGAAACGGGGCCATCGAGGAGGCTGTCCTCGGATTACCTGTGCGATGCAGAGTGACAAGACTTCGTCACCTTGCAGTCGTCTGCGTGGGGCTTTACCCTCTTGAAGGCAGTATTCGACTGTTATTTGATATTCAAGACCGAGTTTGCGCAGAGAAAAAAGAAAAAGAAAATATGAAAATAATCAAAAGCTGCCTAGTGTTTGCGAGCTCGGACGCCATATAAATGGGACCGGCTGCTCCATTTATTGCGTTCGTTGGACAGCTAAACATGTGTGGCTGGGCGGCGAGGAATGCCAAATAGAAATATAAAAGGGTAGAGAATATCATGCGTATACGAGGCTACATATATGCAAGTAGCCGGACCTACAAATCACGCGCATAAATATGCAATCTGGAATTGGCCTGTAGCGTGCACCATCCTGCGCTCTGTGTATGTACCTCCAAGTTGACTGCCACTTAACCTGCGGCTGAATGGAATCCCGAAATCCAGAGTACAAGTGACTTGTTCGTACAGCGGAACTGGAGTCGGTTGACTCAGGAAATATCAATGTCGCCTCATCTTTGATTATTTGAGCATGAACATTAGGAGACACTTGTCACACCACGAAAGCGAAGCTCAGCGGACACTCGAGACGCACGATCATTATATGTATCAGCTGACTCAACACGGGCCGAACACTGTTGATCGAAACCAATATCTTGCCGAAGATCGGAGAAAAAAGAAGGTTCGATGCAGGCACAACGAAGAGGATTTTAGAACAACCGGCCCCTGTACGCATGTAGTCGGCCTTTTAGTGCGTCACGACTGCGCATCCCGAGTTACCTGAGAGCAAAGGTCGGTCCAAAAGGACCAAGCCTGGAAGGCGAAGGCCACTTCACAACCGGCGAAGCTCGGGCCCAAAGTACGATGCGCTTAACCTTCGAAGCTAATCGATTCCATGCAATGTACTGAATTGATTGGTACTATTGGCCTAAAGGAGAAACATGTCAAAATATCATATAGACGAATGCACCGGCCTACAATTCTCCTAACCCTAACCCCGTTCGATAATACCTAAAAACAAAAGACAACATTCCCAATCATTAAGAGGCGAACGAAAAAAAAAAAAGAAAAGAAAAAAAATTTGAGAGATAGTGTATCATAATCGTAAGTCATGCAATGGCCAAGATGAGACCCAACTCGTATCAAAAGTAACCGGCTGGGTTTCTAAGCGAAGTAATCCGCAGGGAGCGAGGCAAGGATAGCGATAGTACCGATTGCACCAACCACTGCGCCCAGGGCAGCAGTAGCAGCATGACTCCTGAGATTTGCTGTTTCAGAAGTCTTCAGCCGCTTCGACGGCCTTCCGTTATCCGGAGTAGCGAGGGGTTGGCTATCGGACTTTTGAGATGCGGATGTAATAGGTAATTCAGTAAGTTGTGATGGTACGTTTCCGATTTCGGGTACAATGATATGTGGCTGGGCATCAGGAAGACATGAATCATCCTCTTCCACCGTAGGTCTCTCATCCACCGAGAAATTGTTCTCAGTACAGGGGTAAGTATCCTGCATAACAACGTTATCGGCATCCAGAGAATTGATCTCTGCATCCAATGCTTTCCTCTTGAGTCCCTGCCGAGGGATGGCCGTAGCTTTTGACAACGATGGATCAACGACATTATAGGGCATATCGGACTCTGGCCCGGGAATTTTCTCTAGAAGCGATGAAGATTGCACGCCAACGTTAGTCAAATTAGCGTCGTCACTCGCCTCCGTTCGATGGATCTCAATATCAATAGAACGGCTCTGTATGTTTTCGTTACCAGCAGCGGCAGCGGTAGCGGTAGGGACAACAGTGTCATCTCGATTAGTACTATCGACAAACTGGGGCAGCGAGTTGACAAATGGACCATCTTTGTAAGGGGGGCGTGGGCTGCAGTGATCTGAAAAATGGTACGCTGGACCGTGAGCAGCGTGCGCTTGCCAAGGCTCCATTTCCTGTGTGAAAGCAGTGCAATGGAACCCAGCCAGTGAGTGATCAAATAATTTTCCGCTCGGATGTAAAGGGAGTCCCGAGTTCGCGTCATCTCTGATAGTGTCCGGCCAAGACGTGCTCGGTTCATCAAGACTCGGAGAGATTGTGTTAAAGAGAGGAATACTGATTCCGCAGCTGACCGCGGTCTGATGGGTAGAATCCGGTGCGGATCCCTCTGCTTTCTTGCCCTTTGAATAAAGATCCCTATTCGTAGCGTCATAATCACCACATGTTGTGTTTGCTTGTATACCCTGATTGATAGCCATGTATGGCGCAGGACTCAATCTCACGGAGAGCCTATCTGGGTCAGATTCTTCACCATCATATTCCGACTGCGACTCGGACATTGATTCATTCAGGGAATCAGCTTGGTCGTCATCCTCACTCTCCCAGTCACTAGGTTCGGCAACCGACTGTTCTTCAGAAACCAGAACTATTGTACTTTCTGGGTTGTGGATGGTATAGGAGGGCTGTTCGTGAACCTTGTTGCTGGCCTCCTCTGCGACATCAACAGCTGAGGGTGGAGTCATTCTTGGGGTTGCAAGAGGCTGTTCAGCTTGCTCGTTATCGACGTCAATCGGGCTTTCCTGTGATCCGATGATATCACCACCTTTAGGCGGAGAAGTAATTGGGGAGGAAATCTCCATGACCGAGTCGTCATCTGAACCCGAGCCAGGATCAGAGTCAGCAGACCCAGAGCTACTTTCAACAGCCGTCACTACTGGGGCTGGGATTGAATCATAAATCACTTCATTGTCATAATCATCGTCGTCGTCGGGAACACAGAACGTATTAGTTGCCCGCATCGACTGGTGGTTGTTGCTAACATCCAACACAACCTCGTCACTGTATGCTATGTTAGTGAATCCAACACCAGTTTTACGCGCGTAGCATACCCAGAATCTATCCACTGGTGTTCACAGCGAACTTTGAGTGGAGGGAAAGTCTCTTTGAAACCAGGTCAGGAAGGCCTCTGAACTCTACTTCAACAAATGGACTCACCATGCCCACGAATAACCTCTGTTCCAAAAATCACCTCATCGCCACTTTTGACAATAGTTTCCTCCCCAGCGCGTAGCTTTTCGCCGTTCACCCAGGTACCGTGCATAGAGTTGCCGTCACTGAGATAGACTGTCTAAAGCCAAAAGTATAAGTATGGTCCACATGACGGAAGCGAGAAAATGATAGGACCTATTGGTGAAGCACTCTGCTAGCGTACCTTGTTGTTTAAACATACACGCAATGTTGCATGATTCCGAGACATCACGCGAGAGTCAAACAGTCCATTCTGGTTGGTAGGGATGAGGTTCTTACTCTCGCGTTTCGAGGCGCGGCCAACCTCGATATGATCGGAGTCCGACGTGAAGGTCAAGGAGCGATATGGAAGGACGTCCGATACGTTAAGCGGATAAAGGGTGACGATGGCTAGAAGGCAGAGTGGTATAAGCCAGGCAAGATTCAACTAGCTATCGTTGACTAAAGTTGAAGGAAAATTCACGTACCCTTTGAGCCAGGCATCTTGGCTTGTTCAGAACCAATCCGTTCCAGGGAAACAAGGTATAGCCAAAGCCAGTACTAAGCCAGATATTCCCGACGCCAACTACAACGCTCAAGTCCTTGGTAGTTAGTACAACAAGTAATACCAAACCATCCACCAGCTACTTAAAAGCTGTGGAGTGTCGGGGATGTTGCTAGTAGTAAAAGAAGACGTGCTATGTGGATGGCGGAGGTGAGAGGAGGGGCAGGAAAGGGGAAAGGAATGCGTACCCTATGCAATCGGGTCAGCCTGAGTAAGGGACGGTCGCTGTCAGGCAGTGGAACACGACAACCACTACCTTATGCTATCCTGCTACGTAGCAAGCGCACGCATCTGGAAAATGACTCAAGCAAAAACCGGTCGTTGATAGGTGGAAAGCTAGAAACTTCTCGTCGTATATCAGGCAGGAGTTTGATGATATAATGGATGCTACTAGTAGTTAGTTAATAACTACTATGTCCGTGGGTGTGAGAGCGATAAGAGGCGAAGAAGAGGAGGAGGTAGGAACACAGCTTCCGGGTCAGCCGACAGCAGTCCACAGAAGAGAGTATCTTCGCAATCGGAGTGACTCAACAGGAGGAAAGAAGGGATGGATGAGTTGGTATCAAGATGGAGATTCCAATGATGACGCCGATACGCAAAGCACTGATAGGCGGAAGAGTGGGGTTTCCGCCCCGTCAGGTGGACACCCCATGACCATATCATGAGCTGTCTAGTTTTAGTTTCGTCCCTTGAGACTGGAACCCGTATCCATATATAAAGAACTGCCCCCGAGTGTTATTGGCCCACGGTTGCAAAAGCACCAGATTCACACTCCTAGAACCATGAATGAATTGCCAACAAATGCGAATCTAGACCTCTATTCTTGAATAAGTTGCTTACGGAGGTAAGGCAGATACGGTAAGACTCCATGGTCTGACCTCCTTCCAACTCTTCCATTGGCTATGATACACGATTTTTTCCCGCCTTCCCCGTTAAACATGACGCCTCAGGCACCGAACATGCCTTCACTGCAATTTCCTGCTCATTTCAGCCATTCTTCCTACACAAATAAGATCCCGGTGCTGCATCCAAAAGGAACTGGAGTATAACTAAGTGGGGAAAAAAAGAACAAAAGTGAAAGTGACCTCCCTTGTATTACCCGAACAAGGGGACCGAGAAAGTATATGGGAACCGGAGAAAAGAAGGGGTAACAAAGCTAGTAAGTACATGCGCAGATGAAAGGTTCCGGTACCCTAGATGTATCAGAAGAGACTAGAAACTAAAGGATCATGGCCAGGCATGAACCATCGCCTGTTCATTCTAGCTGAGGTATGAAAGGGGGGAAAGGAAAAATAAAAAATACTATTAATCCAACATATACGTCTTGGTCACTTCAAACGCGAAAACAAAAGAAGGCATGCCTCAATTTACAGACCCGGGGGTGCACCGAAGCCAGCGCCCATAGTCTGCAGGCGTGCAGCAAGCTGAGGGTATTTCTCTTGCACTTCGAGCTGTGTCCGGGTTGCCTCGGCGTATGAGATAGCGTTGATGATTTCGGCTTCGGTACGAGCCAGCTCGGCGGCCCTTTCAAAGTACTTGAGGGCCTGCGAGACCTTGCCCTGCTGCAGAAGGAGCTGTGCCATAGTTCCCACAGCGATGTCACACTCGGGGTCAACTGAAGTGGGGTTAGACTTTAATCCTAGTTTGCACATAATAGCAGCGGTGACTCACTGATCAAAGCCTTCTGGCACAAATTCTCGGCTTCTTGGAAGTCATGCTTCCACTGGAACAGAGCGAGCGCCTTGTTGATGAGGGGTAGAACGTTGATTCCCATGGGCTTGCTCTGCTTCTCCATCTCCACAGCCTTATCGAATTTTTCAATGGCCTCGGAGAAATTCTGCTGGTCAAGGAGAAGTTCACCGTAGTAGTTGTAGACATCCGGCACGTCCTCGAAGTTCTTCACGGACCTTCTGAAGGTAGCCATGGCAGATGCGACAGATCCCATCTTGTATTGTGTGACACCCAACTGGATGTGAGAGTAGATGAAGGTACGGTCAAGGTCGATGGATTTCTGATAGTCCTTGGCAGCTTCGGCAAATTCACCGAGGATGAAGTGAAGCTGGGCGCGGTGGTAGTAGATGTCAGCGTCGTCCTTGTTGTGGGAGATGGCGAGCTCAAAGTCATCCGCAGCGGCATCCTTGTTTCCTATTCATTCTCTGTTAGATGTCACATGGCTACCAACGGTACTACCGGAATTGAGTGGGGTTGTGTTTACCAAGTTCAAGGTGCAGGCTAGCACGCTTGATGTAGCTCTGAACCAAGGATGGCTGGAGTTCAACGCTCTTATTGAGGTCCGCCAGGGCAGCCTGGGCATTGCCCTCGAGATAAGTGAAGGTGGCCCTCAAATTGAGAGCAAGAGCTTCAAATTCACCAAGGTCGCCAAGTTCCAGGGCCTTTTCGAAGGCTGTGGCAGCCTCATCATAGCCATCGCCGGTCTTCAACGCCATTGCGAGCATACCCTTGCGCAATTGACCCTTGCCAGAATCCTCGCTCAAGTCGACGGATTCAGCGAGACCTTCTGGGAGGGGCTTGGGACGGAAGCTCTGAAGGTAGTTGGACACGAAGGTCGGGCTGGGGAGCTTCTTGCCCTTAGCTTCCAGGATGGCTTTACCCTTTTGCTCTGCAACCTTCTTCAAAAGTCTCTCAAGAGCGACACGGCTGACCTCGTTAGAGAAGCCGTCGATGATGCAGCTGGCAGTGAAGTCGAGAAGGGCCTCGCTGAACTTCTCGAGGTGCTCATATGCAATAGCTCTCCGGTTCAAGGCCTTGACATACTCGCTATCCATTGAAAGGGCAGCAGTGGTGTCTTCAACGACCCTCTCCCATTCGGACAGCACATTGTAGCAGGCAGCGCGGTTGGAGTAGAAGACAGGGTCGGGTTTGCAAATAATAGCTTTTCCGTAGAGTTCGATCGCCTTGTTGTAGTCCTTCGAGCCGTAAGCCTTGTTACCGGCAGCCTTCAGCTTCGCAGCATAGGCTTTCCGTGTCTATATTTCCAGTGTCAGCGTCAGCGCTCATTTGTCACCACAGCGCCATGTACCCACCTCTTCCGATAGCTGTCCGACAGTAGCTTCGTCAACTTCAGGGAGTTCTTCAGGAGCTTCTTCAGTCTTCTTCTCTATGGGATTATTAGTTCTAGGCTTTGGTGCTGAGCGGTCGGGGGCCTAAGAGATCATCTGAAGGGACATACCGTCCTGGAGAGCAGCAGCTTTGGCCTTCTCTTTCTCTTCCGCCCTCTTCTTCTCCTTCTCCTTCTCCTTGCGTCGCTGGTTCTTGCTCTTCTTCTTCTCTGTTGGTTGAGGAGCTTGAGCCGGCCGGCTCGAGTCGGAGAGATAGTAAACAACACCGGCACTGGTCACGACCACGGCGACACCAGCAATGGTATAAACAAGAGCCTTATTCTCAGACACCCATTTCGAGACACGATCCCAGACTGACGCCGATGAAGATGCTGGAAGAGAAGCAGTGTCAACCACCACGTTCTGCACTGGTTGAGGTAGTGGTGATTCGCTCGACATGATGACCCGGCTAGGAACCCGTATTCCTCAATCCTATCGAATGCTGTGACGATTAACAAAGGGGTCTATTAACGAACAGAAGTAAATAAGAATAAAAGGAAAATCATGGGTTGGGGAATACGAACTGGTCCTTGGTGCTCGGCGGAAGCCTGTCGGCAGAAGGGCTACTTTTTCGGGGTTGGAAGATGGAAGGAAGTCGCGGCTTGAAAAGTTATGCGTCGAAAGGTGGTCCGGCGACGCAGCGGCTTTCCGCCCGGGCAGCTCGTCATGCAACGCAAGCCAATCACACCCACCACAAAGGGATGCTCCAGTGCCTTGCTTTCTCCACAGCATCAGCGTTGAGGGCGAATACCAGGAACCGGACTGCAATCCCCGATACCGAATAAAATTCTACCACGTCCATTTGTATCCAATGTTTTGCTCTTTATTCCTGTATGCTCGGTCGTGTACGCTCTTCGCTCCGGGCTAGTACTAAAGTACTTCATGCAGATCCATGGCCTGTTGAGGAATTTCGACATCACCCCCTTTTAACCTGGCACATTAACCAATAGTACCCGTCGTAATGGCGTCCATTCCGCCAACAACCTCTTCGGAGTCCTTTCAAATTATATCTTCTCTGCGTTATGACCCGGCGATTCCGCGTGCGATCGGTGAAAGAACTGCAGAACCCCGTCTTCTAGCTACACCGTACTACCTTCTGCCTTACCACCAGGACCGGCTCCTTAACGCGGCGATCTGTTTCAATTGGGCAAAAGCTATTGAGTTTCTACATCAAGATTTGGGCCAGTTTACTAGAATTCTAGACACATTCATACCGGACAAATCGGAGTCATGGCGCCTTCGTATTGTTGTTGACGGCAATGGAGCGTGCAAGGTCGAAGCCAACCCGACAGTATCAATGGACCTCCAAAACCTCCTATGCCCTACTCAAGAGGTTTCCCAGTTAAACACGTGGCGTGTATATGTTGACTCAGAGCCTACAACCCCTTCGGACTTTACTACGCATAAGACTACTGCGCGTGGGGACTATACAGCCGCGAGGCATCGGTCCGGGATCCTTTCACTCCAAGAGCAGGCAGAGGTGCTTGTAATAAATCCAAAGGGCGAAGTCATGGAAGGGAGTATCACAACCCCATACTTCAGGCGGCGCAGGCATGGATCTGAGAAGGATGACACGAGCAGAGACGAGCCAGGATGGGTCACACCACCGCTCTCAAGTGGTGGCAATGCAGGCACAACTAGGCGATACGCCCTGACAGAAGGATTTTGCACGGAGGAGGTGATCGCAGTGGCTGATTTAGTAGATGGTGAAGAGTGTTGGCTTAGTAACGGTGTTAGAGGCTTTATCCCCGGTAGGATTGTATTGATGGACCCGAAAGGGTCCGAAAGGGTCCACTTCCACGGTAATACATAGAACCGTTCATCTCAAACCTGAGTATGGCCCCAAATTTATCTTGGGGATTGGTACATATAGCGTCTTTACAGGCCTGAAATGAAGATGTGCAAGGGACATTGTGTGGTCATTGATCGTGTAGCTGCAGGATAATGCATCTCTAAACAAATTCGTCTAAAATTGCAGTGGCTGAAAGTACCACTTGCCTTATTTCTTCTCGACAACAATTGGGTTGGGGTTACCCTTCCACTCTAGTGGACGAGTACTCATAAAATCCTTGAGCATCTCCTCGGTTACCTGGGCCCTGCGCTCCTGGAAACCTTTAACATAAGTTTGCAGCTCAGCAATACACCTCTGCTTCATCTCGCCAGTGAGCATCTCTCCCTTTTCATATGCGGCACGAATGCGCTCGAGTTCTTCATCATCCTCCAGGAAGAAAGTAAGGTACTGGAATGGAACATCGACCTTGCTGTTTCCACCGAGCTGACGCTGGAGTTCAGCGGTGTCTTGCCCACCCGAGAAAGCATACTTATTGATCTTATTCTTGATACGAGCTGGTGTATCGTTCATGAAGATAGCAGACGTGTCCACGCTAGCGGACATCTTAGAGCCGGGGCCTTGAAGGGCAGGAAGGAAGATTGCATGGATCAGCGACGGCTTCTTGTACTTCATCTTCTCGGCGTTCTCGCGGCATTGCCGGAAATAAGGATCTTGGTCGATTGCGCAAGGGATCAAACACGGGATGGAGGAGACCTTCTTCCTGTCCGTGCCAAAGATATGCGGGAAGCTGGTGGCAAAGGCCGAGGCGGACTGAGTCGCACAGAAATGGAATTCGCCAATGTTGTTGCTGTCGTTAAACCCGAAAGTTCCCTTTATAGAGTTGATTGTGATACGCTTGGCCATCCTGCACATGTTCTCGTAGAAAGCGCCGCCAACGAAATCGAAATCACTGAAGATGAACGTCTTCTTCATATCGAAACCAACGGCGATAATGTCCATGGCGTTCGCCTTGGTATATCTCTTTGCGTCCTCCACATCGATCTTTTGCGAATGCATAAATTTCTGAAGGCCAGTTAGCATCTCAAATGGAATAACCGGTCAAAATGTGTGGAACATGCCTCGTCGTCAGTAAGCATGATAACCAATGGGCAATCGAAAACATCTTGCAACCATCTATATAGTACAATATCGTTAGTTATCAATCAATTTGATGTGATTGGCAGGTTCAGAATACATACTTGGTGAATTCGAAGGGTATTGTGTGTCCAACATGCATGCTGTCACTGCTGGGTCCTCGTCCAGTATAAAGGTAGAATGGCTGGCCCTTTTCATAACGATCCAGAATTGTAGTTAATTCACGGTGACTGAAAACAATTCCTCTGCGCATAAACCTGTGAGGGCGATGGCCGGTAACTTTCTCAAAGCGTTCGAGCAAGGCGGGTGTGATAGGAGTGGCACCAAATTCGCGCACCAGCTTGTCATAGTCAACCGGTAGGAGTTTTCCAGATGCATCAACTCCACCAGAGACGTCAAAAGGTGTGATCTTCTGTCCGACTGCCTTGGACTCGGGCGCCTTTTCAGCAAGGCTCAAGGTCGTGAGCGCGGGGGGTTGACCAGGTTCGTCCGCCATGTTCGATGACTGCGTCTACAGAATCACAAAGGGTGTATAGTGTATAACAATTGCTGACTACAGCTCTGTGGCCAAGGGCTAGAACGGAATTGAAAGGCGAGATCTTTGTATTAGCGTTGACACTGATATAATTTGTATCTCTGCCCCTCCAAGCAGACAAATGATGAGTCATCATATCAAGCGACCATCGTTCCTCTTATTGGCTTGTTTTGCTTTATCACGTGGTCCATAGCGGTTGGCACCCCCGCGTCCCGGATTGGGCTAGCGCGATGGCTCTAGAAGCTATCAGAAATTCTTCCGTCGCCGAAAAGAGTCCGGGTCCGAGCAGAATTGTCCGACCACTCAGAAAGGCGACTGAGCAGACGAGCACCCAACAGCTCACAGAGCATCCTCCCATCGCCACAGCTCCTCCCATCGCTTCCCCATCATTAAGGCTGTCTATATGCATTTGCAATCATGAAGTTCTTCGAGAACGTATTTACTTACGATTACTCCTTCCCCGCTGTCTCTCTTGCCTACTTCCTGCGCTATCCTAACCCGTATTCTCGCCATGTCTTAACGACTGATGTTATCGATCGCTACGTCGATCCCAAGACACAACGTCTTCATACAATTCGTCTTCATTTAAAGAAATCAAAAGTCCCGGCTGGTATACTCAAATTGCTTCCCAAGGGCATTGGAGGATCCGACAATTCCGGCCAAAGCTACATTCTGGAGACCACGGTCGTCGACCCCAAGGAAGGCTGGATGGAAAGTGAATCACGTAACATGGAATGGACTGGTATCCTGAGTGTCGTTGAGAAACAGGTTTACCAGCGTCAACCAATTGAAGGGGCTCTTGATAGTCTCGAGGGGCTTGCCCTTGACGACAAGAGAGACGAGCAGACGACCGTGAAGACGACCGTCACGTTCCGTTCTCGGTTCGGACAAGGAAAGCTTCTCGGAAGAAAAAAGGCAGATACAATTGGTGATCACAATGGCGATGTTGAAGAGGATGCGCCGAAGAAGGGCTTTTTCTCCTCTCTAGGGACCGCTGGTATTCAGCGGACAATCGAGCTCATTGGGCTGAAGCGGACCCGGGATGCCGTGCTTAAGAGCAAACAGGGCATGAATGTTGTTTTAGAACGTTTGCGTAGCGGCGGGATAGTCGGTGTCCTGGAGGGGATGCGCCAGGATCGAGAGGCAGCTTTTGGACCTGAAGGCCCTTGGAAGCGTGTTTGGGCCAGGGGCCATGCACATATCGAAGACGATGACAACTAGTCTTTGTTGACTAAACAGGGAGCGGCGAACAATTTGGGAAACATATATGCAGCATTCAAGCATGGAGTTTTGGCGTTTGGGGCTTTTCCGACTGACACTCTCCTACCATTTCGATCTTGCATTCGACTCACATACCTCTTTTTTTTCTATCAGCATTATCATCACACCACAAGCATATTTTGCCGGTCATGTATTCCACGAAGATGTTTTACGAAACAAAATGTCGATTGTATATTAGGAAAGGGGCAAGAGGCCGATCGGTGATTTCACTCATTTGTTGGACACCGACTGTACTATACTATGCATGAATCTTTATTCACCTTGAAATTTTTTTCCCTTGAATTATTGATATTTCTGTTTTTCTTAGCTAGCTATGGACCTAGCTATATAAATTGTGACCGAAGCACTTCGATCGCTAAATAACGATCTCACGGGTGCTAGTTAAATGAAAATTTGTCCACTTAGTAATCCTTGCGAATCGTTTGGTGCAAGGAGTACAACAACCTACATTCACAGGTTGACTCCCACCCACATCTGCACTTCGGTTCTGGCAACCTCTGAGGTGAATGTCTAATATAGGAGGAAACTTTGAATATAAAACTAAAAAATTCAGCACTGGTTGGAATAAGCAAGCTATTGGTTCAACAGCTCCTCGCAGGGACAGTCCGAACCTTGTACACTGCCGCATCTCAAGACGGTTTATTCTAGCCTCATCTGAGGCCACAGTGAGACCAGAGTCAGACAGCAGCCATCACCGTCTACTTATAGCAAAAGAAAACAATACAATATTGGAGAGAACTACCACGTGATACAATCCACGAGTGGCGTGGTGTGTTGTTCAATTTGAGTACTAGGACAGCGTGAAACTGGAATGGAAAACCGACTACCTACTCGTGCACTAAAACGGGAGGGCGACAACCATGAGCAGAGTTCTAGCTCGAAACGACCGCACGGGGCGACGATGGATCCTCTAGCGCTCAAGGACCTGGGCGAGAATTTGAAGATTCTACCTGTGCCTACGGACACTGATAACCTGGAAACGACATCGCAAAAGATGCAGGATCTCGCCAGGGTTGTTGAGCGGGGCAATAGTCTTGCACTGTGGACGGGACTGAAGCTGGCATCGCACAACAAACGCAGGGATTTGGAAAGCTCAGCTAGGGCACAGATGACGGAATCTGAATGGGAGTTGTATGAGCGCTGGAAAGAAATGCAAAACCCCCGCAATGATGGGGATAAGCACAATAACCAAACCGAGCAGCAGAAGCCATTGAATATTCCAGATTTCAACTGGGACGAGAACACAGCACCTGTGCCAACAGGGGCTCACAGTGTCAGAAAATTTACACAGCGGGCAGCAGCCATGGACATTGTCTGGGGCCACCAAGGCGCCACTCCCGAGCATGCATCGTGGCTGACTTTTAATATGCCAGTTATGCTACCCCTCATCAAAGCGATCACGAAGGTCACTAATATCCAGAAGCACATTCAGGACGCTGATCCTCTGGCTGGCAAACTGACAGACATGGAGGCTGCAGAGATTGAAACCGTGCGCAGGATAGTAGCGATCGCAGAGGGAAACCGATTACGCGAATTAGAGCGGATCCGCAAGCTGGCCAAATCCATCTGTGAGTCGACTGCAATCCTCAAGTCTCGTGCAGAGGGACTAGAGAAACTTGAGAGGTAGCGTGTTCCACCGGCTGTTGTCGAGTCATGGAGTATGGCGAGGTGTATACCTGCGAGGGACGGACGAATTAAGAGAAAGTAAGAGGCTTTGCTTTCAAACTTTTGTTTCTCGTGATCATTAACCAGTCAGTCCACGCCATGATAGACATGTAGTGAAAATGGGAATCCAAGATATGAGGTCTCCTATCCTCATTCTCGATCGGGATGCAGGTAATTACTAGATTGAGCGATTCCATATCTCTCGATACTACCAGAATCACCCGATCCGACCGGTAATGACGCAAGGTTCGACTGTGATAAAGAGACCCTAAAAGTTCGCTCGCATCCTTTATTGGACACCGGGGTCGTCGGATATTAATCTGGGTCATATCCACTCATATCCGAGGACGCCAAACCCGAAGAGAAACAAGTCTCCATTCTGGCTGTTGTTCAGTCCTTCTATGGCTGAATTGCGGTGTCCTCGGCTTCTGTACTTAGGCTTAAGTCTGACCTTGGCATACGGCGTCCATTCCCAAACACCAAATAAGGCAATTTAGTAGGGCTAGTTGTCGGATTCCTCCCCAACTATGACGGTTTCTTGTAGAAGAGATTGAAATTTTGGTCGCCAGATGACCTCATGGCCAACCACCCCGGGGAGTGGACAACAATTTTCGGTAGTATCATGTACAACCAGGCAGAAGTCAGCAGATGGCCTTAGCGTACATACATACAGAGTACAGAGTACTGTACATCGCTTAGACGAGACTGCGGTGCACGACAGAGGATCTAAGCCAGGTTGTCTGCACGGAGTTCTCTTGGCCAGGATAACCAGGATAATTGCCATGCAGCTGATATATGCGAGAACAACTCAGGAATGCTGGTTGTATCCCCAGTGTCATCGTTGGCGATTTTAACCTTTCAGTCCTTGTACTACTAGTAATATTGACGGTATTCAGGCGATTTGCGCCAGAACGTTGGAAGCTATTTCCGAGTCACACTCATTAGTGATGGAATAATGACCGCTCAGCGCTACTCAAGGTTGACCGGTATCTCGGCAACCACGATGTAGTATTATTACTCTATCGTTATTGCCATTGCCATTGTTCAGGTGTTGCTAGGGCCTCTTGATCCAGGGGTGGCAATCAACGCTAAGGGAACCCCGTTGGATGCCCGAAGAACTAGAGATAGGAGCCAGAGGAACTGGAGGGAACCATGGTCGTTTGAAATTCTCAACAGAGATTAGTCGTGAAAATTTTAAATACCCTATCCGATTAGGTTTGCAAAACTTGGATGGCAGATGAACTTCCAGCAGAAGCTGCTGTCTTAGTATTTTTACTTTTATTATTAGTGGTATTATTGTTATTGTTATTTTCTTTCTTTTTCTTGCGACCTCTCCTGGCTCAGGTTGTATGAAAATTTGTTTTTCTATCAATAATTTCTCTCGGAGAATCTGCGGCGTTCAGGGTGCGGCTGTGCAGTAGTATTAAGCAACTAAACCTCGTGATGTTTCATTCAGAAAGAACCCGGGTGGGAAAACCGTAGAGAGTTCGGTCGATGCTACACTAAATTGATAGGTGGCAATAAATCAGGTGCTGGTCTGTTGCCCATCCTAGTCGGTAAATACTGATAGGGACTGAATTGAGGAGACAATACGGAGTGCTAAGAGGATCAACTTGGAACACTGGTATGGATTGTACTCTGTACAGTAGCACCACCATCAGTGTGATCGAGGGTCCGGTGGAATTATGTACCGCGCTACTTCAATACTAGCTGGGTTCCTTCCCCCCTAAGCCAAGTTGGTTAACCACTCCCGTTGTTTCCCCGTCGTTAATCAGGTAATACTAGAGATTTAATTAGACATTGACCCATCAGCGGGTATTATTGGCTTACTATTGTTTATGATTTCCTCTAGCTCTTTTTTCTTCCCTTTACCTTCTTCAATATGCAAGATAACTACTGTGTATCTGTAAGATGTGCACAATGCTTTTCTTTTCATTTTATTACTTTTGACACCCTATGTACTGTGAACAGCACACTGTAAGACCTAGTAATCAAGATTCGAAAAGTGAAAAATAAAAATCAAAAATCAAAGTATTACCTTTCCCGGTGATGCCTCGGTAATTGAGTATCAATATTACTCAGATGTTGCTAATTACGGACTGTTGTCCTTCGACTGCCTTAAGTAAATTACATCTTACTCCTTCTCGGAGGAGTAGTAGTACTTCTCTGAAGCACAGTGGGAGGTAACTTGAGCCCGTCACAATACGGTAAGATTGTTTACTAGTTTGAATCTCAAGGTACAATTGGTGGCTGGCAGCAGACTATGTAGGCGAACCCATTGGCCCCTCAGGACCCTCCGAACCCTTGGAAGACCGAAATATGTGAGGATGCGGCGTTTTTAGTGGACGCCTCCTGGCACCCTGGGCGGATCAACCGCCGGAACTGCCGCATTCGGTGAGAAAATATGCGGGGACTGTTCTGTTAGCGTCAGTGACCAAGAATGGCCAAGAATACCTCCTAAAACGCCAGGGAGCCGGCGAAAGATGAGTCTTCTCGAGCCAATCCGGGATCCACACTCCCTGTTTCACAGGCAAGACAATAATAAGTCGCCGGTCACAGAAGGAGAGAAGGAGAGCGAGAAAAGAGAGACTTGGACAGCAGCACCGTGACTACTAACTTTACCATTCATGAATGATTATTTTTCTTTTTTGTTGTGATTCCTTTTTTGCGATCCTTCTTCTATCTGACATTACCTTAGACCTTTCTGGAGGTCCCCTTAGGTTACAGCCTCTCCCTCTACTGCACACCCATAATCAGCTGGCCTCAACCCCCCGTTACTCCCGTGCTGAGAATCGGTCGTTTTTCCCAACTAGCGGAGGGTCCCGACTCGGACCTTGCTCTACCTCGATTCCCCAATTCTGACAACAGGGAGCATTCCCCCCTCCCTCTTTCTTCTCAGTGCGACCGCCATCTAATTTAGCGTTCTTCCAAATCCCTTAGCTTTTTGGTGTCAGGGCGGAAGGCGTTTCACGAGAGGAGGCCATTCTCTTGCTGACACGGAAAACGGTGACCTGGCGAATCTATCGACCATCGAGTTCGGGGTTTCGACGAGCGAAGCGCTGAGGATAGATATCTTTACTCTTTACACTTTTGGGTCGTTCTGCGTTTTGGAATTCACGGACGCGTCTATTATGTTCTAAAGAATATCCAAGGCTATTTTAGTACAAGACTACCAGTGCTGTTACTCACATCCCTTCGACCACCTTCGACTACCATCGACCTTCCTCTTATCACCAACTCGGTTATGAGCATGCCAGTTGTGCTGGCCGCTGCTCCTCTGTTATCGCTGCGCTTCTGAGCCTACTCGGTCATCCTCACGAAGACGGCTCTACTTCAATAGTCCTCGACTTCCAAATGGCGGACCCTTGGGAAACGAGGTCGACGTTCCGACCATGTCTGCTTCTATTAGCGATGTTGTCAACAATTCTACAACCGGGCCTCGCCCAGATCTGTTCTTTCTGGGATGGTGGATGTGTTGATCCTTACGCCCAGACGGCAGTTTCCTTCGACTTTTCTCCTCTCTTCTTGGACGACCTTTCACTATATTATGCATACGACGCCAACTCTCGGGGTAAAGGTAACGAACCTATGACTAAGGCTAGCTTTTGGATGGGTTATGCAGCACATCATGTCGACAGTTCAGCCATCGACACAAATCGCACGTTGGAAGTTGGCTTGCGTGTGGGAAACTTGACAGGTACCCCTTCCGGGGGGACTAATGGATGTGATGGTGTTTGGGGACCCCAATGCTCGATGAACCTCAAGGAGACATTAAAAGATGCTATCTATCAACTCTCTGCCAAGGGAGAATATTACACCTTTCCCCTGGATACTGTGTTGCATGAAATGCTTGTCAACCCGCCCGCTCTTCCCAACTGTCCACCGCCTTTCTTCGATGTCCAGAGAATTCCTGTTAAGCGTACGTGAAGGTCCCTTGTCTCAGGCTACCAGGCTAGTTTGCTCTGTTACTTACTCTTTTGTTAGCATTCGCCTCGGAGACGGTAAACGACAAGGTCGCTACGATGTCAACTCCTGGCTCTAGCGATGACCCCTGGAAGACGTGGTATATTGACAATATGACCGCGAAACAACAAGCAGACCAAGTGGCCGTCGCCATCATCAGCCGAAGTCCTTCGTACGACAGCCCACCCCTGAAGAGCAAAAACGATGTTCAAATAGAACTGGTGTGCCTTCAGGCTCCATCATCTGGGAGCTCGTCATCAAATCAAGATTCCACATAGAGTTCTCGATGTCACGTCGAATACCCTTTTATATACTCTCGGCCACAAGTTGCATAACTTGGGTGGTCATACTAATAGCACCTTGCTGCATTCCACCACTCTTCGCTCGCATGTCTACCACTTGACATGCATAATACTAATTTACTGTTAAAGAAGAGATTATTAGGTCTTCTCACGATCTATGCCCGTCCGCAGCAGGCTCTGAATTTCCCCGGCCGTGTGGGCCATCGTGTTCAAGCTCAATGCGATATGACTGCCGTCATTCCAGGAACAATGACAATGTCGTTAGCCGCTAGCATGGTCTACGAACGTTGGCATTGAAGGACACAGCCAATACTCGGTTCCACTTCTGGGCATCTTGAAATGACCCAGTCCTAATATACGTTGCCAGGATTCTATCAATTCTCAGAAACCTGCTATCGTTTGTGGACATCTAACATTGTCGCATGAGGGTTGGGTTGGGTTGCACGCAAAATCGGTCTCTTGAAGAAATGTGTCCTCGGAGCCTGGTTTACTTGTTTGGTTATATACCGAATAGGACAAAGTGAAATGCTCCTCACTTTCGGACAAAGTTGTGCCACGCATTGGTCGGATTACCCCTATTTGCCCACAGCCGACCGGGCCGAATCTTGCAGCTCTCGATGCTACCATGTCTTTTTATCACAAAGTCGGCCAGTCCATCTGTATTGGTTTTAAATTACCTGGACCACGGAAATCCTCCAAGATCTCCGCCCGTTCACTCAAAAGTATCCTATCGACTTGGGTACCGATTTGAGCTAAATTTCTCATCCGTGCTAGCTCCTCTGGGTTGCGTTTATCGCCGCGAGCGGTCGTATTCTTCTCCCAGTGTCCCTTGGAAAATGCTATCAAGGTCGTGATATGCTTCCGCGAAATATCGAAAACCAATGAACAGATGGTGCCAGTTTCCTCGAGCCAGTTACACTGCCATAACTCTCCGGGCCGGATGCATTGGTATGTGGCTGATTGAAACGCCGCACGCCCCGCCATGGGGCCCCCATGAATGGCGTAATTTATGCGGTCCTCGTTGTAGAACCACATTTCATAGCGCCATTTTTCTGGATTTCCCTCCGCATCCTGCGCTGCATAGTCATATACCAAATGACGATCGCGAATGTCATTATCAAAGGTGGAACCTTGTAAAGAGGGAAGTACCGGCATTTTGAAGACAACAGTGTGTTTAGTCTCGATGCAGGAGCACAATCGCAAAAGTAATGCAAAAGCAATACGAGAAGAAAGTTACCTTCGGTAAATTAGAACAATATATTCATTTTGGGATATAAAAATTGATGATAATGTCTACTACGTAACCACTTCACGGAAGACCCCAAAACGTATCTAGATGGGTCAGTCAATAGCTATAATGATGAACCATTCCCCGAAGCTTTAATTACCTCCCAAAGTTAATATTTCAACTCGGGGTCTCGGAATCTCATGACATCATGATCTAGCCGTTAGCCCCAAGATGATAATCGTGTCGATCCTGAGCTTGGTCGTACCCGAGACAATGGATCTCCGCCAGCATGGGTCCCTGGCAATCGAATCATGATTGAATGATGATTTGATAGTCGAACCTGCCCCTAGAATGGAATTCGAGGCTGTAGTTATAGCATCGTCGTGAAACACATCAACTAAGTGTGGAGTGGAAATCTATCTCTTGAACTGTTCTTGTGGTTGTTGGTGTTGCTCACGTAATCCGGAGATAGGGCTGGGGAGTTCGTAGTTATATATATCTATACTTTGGTGCTCGTGTTGAGTCAAGAAGAGTAGAAATAAGTATATCACTCGTTATTGCTTAATTGAATGTCAGAACTTAACATGACTTCATCTGTTCTCTTTATAGAATTTTGCCTACTTTTCTCCCGTACATTTGATTTTTCCCCATGTCTGAGACGAGATATCGTAATTGTTACAGGAATGACCGGTCTCACATCCTATATCATAGGCTCGAGGTTCATAAATACAATGATTTGTTCTGATCCATCAAGAAGGGGAATAATGGCTTAAGATAGAGTTATGTAAAGGAGCTTTAAATCCCCTGAGGGCTTTCAAGTCGTAGCTTTCGACCGAGGGTGCGCATCAGCCTATAACTTCGACCATGGAGACATTAGGGAGAGCGCAAAATGAGAAGAAAGGAAAACCAGAAGAACAAAAGGTAGCCATTGATACCGGAGTTATTAGTAGTATACCTAGAAGCTGCCTGGAGAACAAGGTACAAAACCCGTCACGAGTAGAATTCGACCAATCAAACCCCACGGTTCCTTAAAGTACCCATGGGTCCTGGAAAACCACTCCATAGTATTTATGTATGTACCTTATTCTCTATCCACCGCTTTATGTCCAACATCATGTTGGTTATCCATGTGTATAATTGAGTATGAATCGCCCAACATTACTATGTCCTTGCCTCGTAAGATGTACGTACTACTAGTAGTTCTGACGCTTTCTCCACCAAATTCATTTCTAATCTCACTGTGTCCAGTCGATCTAAAGATCAGCGCCACGTGCATCCCCTTTCCAGATAAGGAAGAGTCAATACCTGCCCGCTCAACAACTATCACCCGTCCCTTATAAGACAATAGTGCACTCCGCAAATTCAACCGCCATGCTGATAGTCGCACGTTGTACTCGCTGTCACTACATTGTTAGGGGCCGTGGGCGTCGTTTCGTCTCGTCTCAATTGCGTCCGATATAGCGAACGCTCGTTGCTTATTGGACTCATGGGTTACGCGTCCCATTGGATAACAATGCAGGCCATTCTGGCCGGGGTCAGCTCAAACGTAGCAGATGCCCTTGCTGCCTCGTCACTGCCTGGGGCTCCGTCCTATGTAGCCTCAGCTGGCTTCCCGACCAGCGCCTTCTCGTACGTTTCAATTGTTCAGACGCAGCCCCGACTATAGAAAATACTCACAACCCTTGATCTAGATCTTATTATTATCTTCCTGCAGAACCAACCCAAGAGCCGCAACCGATCATTCATGACCCTATCTTAAATATCACATTCCCTTATGACTTGACGAATCCTGATACTATCCCTAAGGACAATAACGACCCCGTCTACTTCCCAGAGCCATCTGCGAACTTATCGGAGCATCAACAGCAGGCATTGGTTCACGGAGTAGTGGCCAATGTTACCCGCATCATCACTGCGAACAATACGAACAGTAACTGCACCACTTGCAAGGCAGCTTTGGCCGCGGCTAAGCCGGCTGCTTTGTTTGCGCCTGTATTAGTGCCCGAAACGTTGATCGCTCTATGTAAAAAGTTCAAGTTCGCTTCAGACGATGCATGTGAAGAGAAATATACGGCGGGTGTCTTTGGAGCGATCTGGACTCAGGTTCTAGCCTATGCAGACGTTCAGGGTCTGGACGGCGACTACATATGCAATTCCCTGAGCAGCACTTTCTGCAGTCAGCCTGTGACGAACCCATTAAATGTGTCAGATTGGTTTCCAAAGCCAAAACCGGCAAACCCACGCGTTCCTAGTCCTAGTGGTGAGCGGATTAAGGTGCTGCACTTGTCTGATTTTCATCTGGATCCACGTTACTCCGTGAATTCGGAGGCAAACTGCTCGTCGGGCATGTGCTGCCGGAGCAATCTATACAACTCGTATTCAGAGGACCAGGTTCTCCTTCCAGCTTCTGTCTATGGATCATACAAATGTGATACACCATATGACCTTGGTCTTGCCGCTCTGGAAGCTGTTGGTCCTTTGACTGGAACTGACAAGGACAAGAATCCTTTAGCCTTCACATTGTATACAGGAGATTTAGTCTCGCATGATGACCCTGCTACTCAAGTTGATCGGGCCTATACGCAATATACGGAGACTAGTGTATACGGCATGCTGAAGTCGTACCTCTCAGGTCCAGTCTTCGCTGCTTTGGGCAACCACGACACTAGCCCTGAGAACATTGAATCTCCACACACCCTTCCAGGACCATTGGGCCAGCAACAGAGTTGGAACTATGATCATGTTGCAGAGCTGTGGCGACACGAAGGGTGGATCGATGATGCCGCTGTCCAGGAAGCCAAGCTTCATTATGGGGCATACAGCATTAAAACCCATTATGGATTGCGCGTTATCACGTTCAACACAGGTAGGGGCAGTCATCTGGACCTTCATAATGCGATTTACTGACGCGTGACATGTAGATTTCTGGTACAAGTCTAACTATCTGAACCTTATCAACACGACAAACCCTGACAATTCCGGAATCTTTGCTTGGATGATCTCCGAGCTTCAGGAAGCAGAGGACCATGGCGAGCGTGTTTGGCTTGTTGGCCACGTTCTGTCCGGATGGGATGGGTCCAATCCTCTCCCTAATCCTACGAATCTCTTCTACCAGATTGTCGACCGCTATTCCCCTCATGTTATTGCAAACATATTCTTCGGTCACACACATGAAGATCAATTCATGGTATACTACGCGAACAATGGCACAATGCGGAATGCCGAAAATGCTTTGACCACTGGCTGGATTGGACCCAGCGTAACCCCTCTGACAAATCTAAACAGCGGCTTCAGATTGTACGAAGTGGATACAGGGGACTTCAACATCTACGAGGCATATACCTTCTTTAGCAACGTGTCCGATTTCAGCTCTCTTACGGAGACGGGGCCTGTATATCAGTTCGAATATTCTACCCGGGACACATATGGCTCTGCCGCTGGGTGGGACAAGGAGGCCCCCCTGAATGCCACATTCTGGCATCAGGTTACCGAAGCTATGGAGCGGGACGGAGACTTAGTAACCCAGCAAAATGAGCTCCAGGGTAAGATGAGTGTCAAGAGTCCTAAGTGCACGACTGCGGATTGCTGGAAAGCCAAAATCTGCTACATGAGGAGCGGAAGTGTGGCCCTCGGCAAGCAATGTACTCAAGGGTGAGTCTACCACATTGGTTGAACAGCACGCAATATACTGACAGAGGATGAAGGTACGGGTCTGTCCAAAGCGCATTTAAGCCATCTACGAAGTGAAGCCATACTCGTTGTATGGGTCTTCTACTAGTATACCAGAACCAGAGTTATTTGCTTTTTAACCACTTAATGTACTCTACACATGTATCATTTGTGCTCAATGACTCGATAAACTTTCTTGATGTTCATATCGTCCGAGATCATAGAAACTCAATGTATAGGTTTCGGGCATCATATGAGCTCTTGTCGGGAGTTAGCGCCGTGTTATCCAGTAACTACGCAGACCTCGTAAGGTAGCCAGGGAACCCTGAACCATGCCCATCGGTAGTGGTCTAGGAACGACCCGGTTATTTCAAATTGAACTGGTGTGGTTCAGCAGACAGCAAACTAAGTACCTAGACTCTAACTACCGAGTCACGCCACTGGCGCTTCCATATAGCTAAACTGGATCCTTTCCAATACTGATGAGGCTCGCTCGTCCTCACTGTCTTCACTATGAACGAATACTTCCTGGTACAAAGCTATGGGCTTCACTAGGATGAACTGGCAAACAGGATCCGTCTAACTTTGGAGCTATGATCCTGAGTATGGGATGCATGAGAAAATCTTTATCTCCATCGAAGCTAACTATATGCGTCGAAGCTAGAACATGCCATAATTGGTAAGGGGGAGATCGATTTCAGAGAGACCCTGGATCTATAACGAAAGTATAGGGTTTCATTGGGCGACAGAGCGCCCACCTTTGGAACCGATCGTCATCGCGGTCGGTTTAAGTTTGGAGCCCATCGAGAGTACGAAGGAATGGTGACGGCATTTATGTTTCATGTCGGATCGAGGCGGAAGATTGTATAGGATGATGGGCTGAGGAAGTTGCACAGAGCACTGCGTTGCCTGTGATACTTTGTTGTTATAGGATGCATACTATAGCGGGCTCGCGCTAAGAAGAAGTGATTAGGCACTGCCTGACAACTATTTCTCAAGGAGACGCGGTTGGATATTCGCCGAGGTGGATTAGGTAGTATATAATGTAGGATACCATCATCTAGTTATTCTTTGTCTCTATCCGTTTAGTGGAAAAAAAAAATTCTGCTGGTGGTGATTTCATGATTCGCATGACGTCGCAGCCATCCCGCAGCATATCGTCATCGCCCGCCCACCCGGACATTCCGTTCATACAATATCAACCCCATCATCCCTATCATCCCTCCTTACATCTGTCAACCCATCTTTAACTAGCTCCATAAATTTTGCGGCTTTTTAGCGCCTGGGACGATTCTTCTCCGTTGCGAATACCCTAACACAAACGACGCGCTTCACCGCACGCGACTGTCCGAGACTAGACATATCATATCCACTATCACATACAAAGCCCTAAGCTGTCGAAATGGCTATGAACGCGATTCAGCTCGGTCTCCGACTGTGGGAGGTATGTCCCGCTCGATAGCGATGGCAGTTCAATATTGTACCAGGTACCACAGAGTTAGCTAACAAGATGCGCTTTGACGTAGTTCCTATGGACCCTGCTGGTCATGGCCCTCATTGGTAACATGATCGCGGGTGCATTCAGCGGAAACCCTGCGACCGTCAACTATGCCATGTTTGTTTCGGCATTTTCCATGTTCACACTGTTCTACTTGGTGCCGGCAACGATTAATATCGACTGGGCGATCCACCCGATCATCGTGATCGTCGTGGATACTCTCAATGCGATCTTCTTCCTTACGGCCGGTATCGCATTGGCAGCGAGGCTCGAGGCCCACAGCTGCAGCAATAACGTACGTGTGGTCCACGAACTTCGGGATCTGAGATGCACTCCGATCGCAGCAGTGCTATCACCAGACCCACCCACTATTGAGATTGAGATCCACCGGCTGATTGTCGATCATCTAGGAATACACTCTCCACAACGAGATAACCAACGGCTCCGTGCACCGTGAGAAGCGTTGTCGTGAGGCGCAGGCGTCGACTGCTTTCCTTTGGCTTGCCTGGGCTGGATACACGGCTTCCATCGCGCTTTCAACTCTGGCGGCCCGCCGAGCCGTCAGCCATCGCCCTCGGGTGGGTCCTGCCCGTGGAGCCCGCCCGAGCATGGCCCAGGTCTAAGGAGAGAAATCATGGGGAACAGAGTAAGATGGCCGTCTCTTCGGATTTGCTATGAGGAACTGACCGTGTTACTTCAGACAGGATCTACGGTGCCAGCTGTCTGGTATCCCATGATCTTACCTGTGCAACTGCATGAGTCATATAGCTTATGTTTTAGTCAGTAATCGTATGACGTGTATACGTTGTCAACGCTTTGGAAACGCCGTCAATTGATGAACACAACCTATCGTGTCTCGCGGTAATATGAAAAACGACTATGCCTGCAATTCTATACTAATTACATACATATGTTAATAATACTCTACGGGTTCGTGATGGAGTTGCGGGGCAGTATATGTATATCCACTCTAGCTGTGGGCAGGCAGCTAAGAGCGAAATGGATATGGAGGAGATGGAGAATAATTAGGTGATTCGGAGAAGGTTGGAGTTTTGTATCTACTTTGCTGTATGTTTGATATCGTAATGTTATATGAAGCTTAAGTTTGATATTTTGTATCGTCAGCTGTAAATATAGGAGTGAACTATGATATATGGATACGCGTATGTTCAATTAGATTAACCTTTTTATGCAATCCCTCTGACAAGCTGTGAGTCACGCCTCCAGCCCCCAGTCTTGCCCCTCTGGTGCTCTTCAACGACTCAGAACACTGACAATATCGAAACGTCATACAAAACGAAAAGTGATGGATAAAAACATTCATAAACTCTTTTAGTCAGGAAAACAGCTACACAGACAACCTTAGAGAACTGACAGCTCATCGACAAGTTGTGGCTGCACGTTTACGATGCCAGTCTTTCGGACCTCTTCATTCACCTCTCCAAAGTATCGTCCGGAGCGAAAGCTATGCAAGCATTAGTGTCAGATCAGAATGCTAGCATAAAACTTGCAGTCAGCCGTCGCTCACCTCCAGTGAAGATTAGCTTTGACAACATTCTGTACTCCACGAATGTACTGTTGAACTTCCGAATCGACACTCTCGCCCCAACTGGGTAGGTCTGCTAGCGCAAGGTACCAGTCGTGATAACGGGAAAGGAGCATACCACCGATGTGGTCAAAGGCCATCTGTGCAGGCATTCCCGCACGTCGACAAACGGCAACCATGTTGTGAGCTACACCTTCTTTCTACAGTTCCGGTACGTCAGAAGAAATATACTGGGCGATCTGGCTTTATAAAGGTTTCATAGATACTGACCTCTTCTTTGCAATACGAGAGAATATCGTTTTGCCTATGGTCGTTGAGCTCGTGGTTCATCTCTCTTCGAGGTTAACACTCACAATAGAACGAGGTCAATTCCGATTCTTTCTATCTCTTTGATGCTTCTAGTCTCGAAGACTGAGTCTGGGATATGGAGCTTGTGGCCATACCTGCTGATTGTTAACGGCCTGCGCGAATATACCTAGAGTGACTGCGGTGACGTACTCAACTAGGGCAAAGAGAGGTGAAACTCCGGCAGACTGTCTACGTAATGCGAGCATCTCGTCTAGTGTCGGGTACTCACCCCTAGAACAACTGTGGACTTGTTCGATGGCTCCATTGCAGTAATCTCTCATAGCCTTTGCAAACCTGCGACGGACACCTTGATCATTCCTTAGTCCGGGCACAAGTAGTCTCAGCCTTGAGGATCATACCAACTGGAGAAGTCTATGAACGTTAGCAAAGCTCTCCCGGCAAGTAAAAAAGAGACAAAAGAGCAGAAGAAAGGTACCTTGGTAAGGCGATGCCATACGGAATTATGGACTTGAACCAGAGGGTGCTCTTCGCTATCATCTGACACAGTCCCAATATCTTGCATACCATTTAGGAGACTGTCGACCAATTGTTGAGCTTGTATGGGGTCATTCTTTAGACCTCCATTGTCGAACACTGGAGTGAAATGGCTTAGTAGATTTTGACCAGGAAGACAATAACTGCAAAGCTCACTGTCATCGAACGGAAAGACCTAGAAGTGACAACACAGGTTAGCAGGCCGATGTCTTCGATGTCTTCAAGGGCATCGTGTTATGATCGATACACATACCCAGTTGCCCCAATCACATACTGTCCGAAGCTCTAAAGGAGAAGCATCTGGTACTACGATTGAGCAAAAGTACGAAAAATCGCATTTCGTGATCACTCTTCGAGTCCTGTTTCCAAACGCGCATATTCTGGAATATGCTTAGAGCTGCATGTTATGACTTCTGTAGGACGTACTGACCTTGCTATCCAAAACTCGGACTCCTCCTTTACCGTTTCATAACACCTGTTGATTACTGGCTTCTCCGATAAAAAGAGCACAAACATGTTAGGAAGGCGTACAGAGACATGGGCATCTCTACGCGCAGCGTTCCTTGGCAATATTATTTCGTCAGAAGGTTGTGAAGTTTCCATGGTAAAGACAAATAAACTGATGAAAGCTTCGGCGTGAGAATTGAAGGGGCTAATTACTGAAATTAAATAGGTATTCTATTAGCCGCTACCATCCTTAAATACTGCGATTATGATACTCATTTTCCAGGCAAGACTAGCCATCCCTTGGATGATCGCCAAATCCACAAGCAAGATTCAATCATGTCAAGGTCTGTCCTTTCTGGACAAGCCTGACTCACGGGTTACACCGATGATGTGTTTTCAAAGGATGCTCATTTCCTGATCCTTCTACCTGCAGACAAAATAAAGAAGGTGGATTAGTTGATAGCCACAGTTCACTAAGGATCGTCCCAACATTTCCGTCTATACTTCGCCACAGAGGCTGAGGTTCATGCACTATCGATCTTTAGATCGGGATCTCGTCCATGACGATCATGGTTCCTTGTTCAGGCCATATCTAAAACTTTATTGTTGCTCAAACTAATTCGATTTATTGAATTATAGGCCTGGGCGGATCTCTTATCCGTCCCCCGACGCGATGGAGTGAGTTTAGTCAAGTGGGGAACCGTTCTTCATTAATGGATTTAGCGCGCTTTATGGGGCATCGACCAAGTCATGGTTCTGTGTCCGGTTCCAATGGAATGGTACAGCCACGTATAGCTGCGTGTGGATATCGGTTTCTTTCATATGATTTCTTTATCATCCCAACCTCCCGTCAGCCCACATAATGTTGGCCAATATCCCCACTGTGCTCCTCGAAAAAGCAGTACAACACCTTGATCCATATACGTAGTTCGATTCAATTGGACTATAAGGCGCTGGGCGCCGATCTACATGGTTTGGAGTCCTCCTCTATGGCCTCGGATGGCCTCCAGATGCGAAACTAGCATCTGTTGTATACGGCGCACTCCGGGGCACTAAAACCTGACGAATGTGGGGACAGAATAGAGGTTGGGTCGTCTCGGGATGTGAGAAGGACAAACTCGGCCGGATGTCGTCTGAAATGGGCCGTCTGTACTGAACTCAGGTATAGTACCGGCTCTATAGCAAGTAGATGAGCATAAATACTCGCATCAACCCTCAATGACCGAAAATGCACCCAGCTTTGTTTACATTGATATCCTCGAGCTTATCTTCAAGTCATGAACGAGATGGACACCAGCCTGCCTCCTCACTCAAACCTTGGTGACCCTATAAGCAAATGGGGATACTCTTTTACTTGGACGGATAGCCATCTCTCTAGAGAGAAGACAGAGCCTCTGCGTCAGCAGTTTGACACATTGGGCGCTGCTGCTCTGGAGCGGCTTCAGTTCATACGATCTTCATTGCTAGAAGATAACAAGGTAAAAGGAACCACTCCACCCTCCAGCGATCTTTACACTATTCTCCGAGACCATCGTGGGGAGGATGAGGTCTTAACCCAATTCTGGAAAGAACTTCACACAGTCCCAGACTGGGTTGACTGGGAGCAACTTGAGCGAGGCCAGCGGTTTTTGCATCGCTATATGATTGCCAACATTGTCGGCTTCGCGCTACAGGGGTTTGTAGCAGAAAATTCTGTATAACTCCCTTTGGCCGACGTGAATCCATTGAAGATTGTATGACTGACTCGGATTCTACATTCAGGCAGCCTCCGGCGTCGTAGAAGTCCTGGTCCGGACTGGCAGCTTCTCAACTCGTATGTTGCTAAAGAGATTGCTCGAGACCTTCCAATGGTTGGTTCATGTTACTCATGACCTCGCTACCATCCAGCCCGGCGGCGAAGGCCATATTGCAACCGTCCGGGTCCGACTTCTCCATTCATCCGTTCGACAGCGCATCTTACATCTGTGTCGCACAAAACCTCAGTATTTCGATATCGACCGTTATGGTGTTCCTGTCAACGCATTAGATAGCATTCACTCCATTAGCACTTTCTGCTGCAATCCAATGTGGCTCCAACTGCCTAGGTTTAAGATCACCCCTTCCACCGACGAGGTCGAAGACTACATCGCCCTCTTTCGATACCTTGGTTACCTTCTTGGAACACCGACATCATACTTCGAGACTGTGCAAAAGAGCAAGCACACAATGGAGAGCATGGTCGCCCACGAGCTGCATACCACGGAGACGTCACGCGTAGTCGCTTATAATTTTGTCGAATGCGTGGCGAACCTTCCTGCCCCGTTCCATGTCTCGAAGAAGTTCATTGAGGCTGGTAGTCGGTGGATTAACGGGGACGAGATCTGCAACGATCTTGAGCTTGGGAAGCCTGGGTTCGTCTACCACTTCATGTTTGCCGGATACTGTGTTCTTGTTCGAGGGCTTGCTTGTCTGCAGCGGATGATTCCTATGTTTGACGAGTTCATGATTAAGGTAGGGTTTACAAGTCTGGCATGTCGTGTGATTTAGCTGTACTAATTTCTATGTATCAGCTCTCCCGAGAGCTCTTGTACCAGGGGATAGTGCTCCGAGACCGCACGCTTTTTGACTTCAAACATATTCCGCGTATGGGCAAAACCATTGGGAGAGAAAAATATAGCCCCGGTGAAGGCAATCGACCTTGGAAGGCGTGCAAGTATCCTCCATACCTGAATTATACTTTCTATGATATCACGGACATAGGGTATCTCGAGCTGGTGTGTCTTACTGTGGCTCTTTTTACCGGGGGACTTTTGACTGGTTGTGTGATTAAGAGTGGACTATGGGCTTACAGTAGCATGCGGGATTTTACATGATTTGATGAATGAATGAGGCCGGTGGGCTATATCAAGCATGTTATAGGTGCGCTCCCTTGAATGTCGTGGGTGTGTACGACTGGGATATGGGCCCCGAGAACTCCCTATAGTGGATGTGAAGAAATATATTTCTTGTTAGGGTTCTGCGCATGAAGATAAATCGAGGAACACCCCACTTTCCTGGTTCGCCGCAGTATCCAATTTTATGAACCGTCAGTCTACATTATTAACAATTTGTTATGCTCCGGTATTTGCCCTGTCGGGCTTTGATCTTTGGGTTCAATAGTAGGGCGATGGATGTCCCGAGGTTGATTACTTATCGTCTCGGGGCCAATCGAAGCATCAAGTGGTCTGACTCGGACTTGTATTAAGTGCAATGTGTATGTTGAATGCCTAATATTGAAACTGGACTTTGGAAATTAAAAAGTTTGTCTTGCTTGCTTTGATATGGCCAGCCAAAGCGCGGCCAATCGTTTCGACCGGGATCGAGTTCAGAAGCTTAGCGTGAAACTACCGAGGATTTGTCGCTTGGCGTCAGAAGAGATATGAATACATCCCACGTGTATCAACTTGGGACTATACTTGAGAGCACCGGCCGAGTGTGACGTCCTCGAGTATACTTGCATTGTTGTTGTTGTTGTGTTTGGGTTGAATCGAGGGTTATGTTGTGTAGAAATAAATGGTGGTGTTGAGCAACCAGGACAGATGTGTACCGTGACAGTTGTTTCCTGAAGGATTCCTAAAGGATTAGAAATTAACCAACAATGACTGAAGGAAGTAAAATAAATCAGGAGAGAGGGAAGTTGTTCCTGACAGGCGGGGCAAGGTGCGAGAAAGTAGCCAAAAAACCCCCTCCGCGCGGCCCGTGCAAGAATTTCTCCAGAAGCTCTGGTGAGTGTGTTTAATTGTGTTCTTCCCTCCACCAACTCCTTTTCGTGGCCTTTTCGCTCCCCATCATCAACAAATCACACTCCCACCGCACACAATGGCTATTCAGTGAGCTTGCCCTGCCAATTATTGGCAACGGGAGTGCGCTAATTTCCCCATCTAGCTACTTGATTCTCCTCTCCCGTCAGGGCAAAGTGGTTCGTTTACCCTCGTGGCCCACCCGACTTTTTGACCGGTCCGGAAGTTCGGCTGCATCTGACTGAATTCTTTCTCGCAGCGCCTGGCCAAATGGTTCACCACTCTTTCTCCCAAGGAGAAGGCCAAGATCATCAAAGATGTGACCCAACTTGTCCTGTCCCGTCGGACAAGGATGTGCAACTTCCTCGAGTATAAGGGTACGGATCCAGCCACTTCTATACTTGCTATCCCACAACCACCCCCCCTCCTAACCGACATTTGTTACCAGACAGCAAGGTTGTTTACCGCCGTTATGCTTCCCTCTTTTTCATCGCCGGATGCGCTTCGACCGACAACGAGTTGATCACCCTCGAAGTCGTGCATCGTTACGTCGAGCAGATGGACAAGTATTACGGTAACGTCTGCGAGCTGGACATTATTTTCAACTTCCAAAAGGCATACTTCATCCTGGACGAGCTACTGTTGGCGGGAGAGATGCAGGAGAGCAGCAAGAAGAATGTTCTCCGGTGCATCAGTCAACAGGACAGCCTGGAAGACATGGAGGTGAGTTATTGACCGCCGTATCTTGCTTAGAAGTTCGCATAAACGATGGTAGGGGTCTGAGGGTACTATGATCGGATGTGATCGTATCCATCGTCAGAGCTCTGCCGAGGTTGTTTTAGTCTGTTCTTTTGTGATGCTCGGTCCTCTTTGCTGCCCCTTGTTTCTTGGGCTTGTGGTATCTTATGCGCGCGTTGCTCTTCCGCTCCACTTTGCTATATATCACCCAATTGTTTTGCCTGCAATCCTTTTTGCCACCGCGGTCGTTTACTGCGTCTCGTGCGTTTCGATCCTCCTTTGGCCTTCCCGTCGATCGACGCTAATATGGATTGTCCTCATTCTAGGTTGAGGAAGATGTGGTTACGAAGATTATGTAGCGGCCTTTTACATTCAGCAACTGAGCGTTCCTGTGTTTCTATATTTGGATTTCCGCTTTAGGGAATATTGGGAGGACATATTGGCGTTGGACGTACATACTAGGCGTTGTTTTCTACCCAGTTCACGACCACTAATTAATACCACATGGCTATGAACTTGCTGCAATTATTGGATTTGACCAAGGAAAGTGACTTTCATCCCAATGTTTGGTACTGACCCTCGTGTTCTGGATCGGCCCCCGTGAGGTGGGTGAATGATATCACTGGCCGACACCGCCGCCACGTGACCCGCTCCGACCCGGAGGCGCAACGCGCAACTCCCCCAGGCCCCCAATTGCCGTACGATCGTCCATCCCCCCAGTGTCCCTCCAGGATCTCATTCCATCTTCCTTTCCATCTGCTCTTATTTGCCATGGCTATCTGGCCGTGATTCACTCAAACTACCCACCTGTTGTCCATTGAATAACTGCCCAGCCAGCCTAGCACTTGTTGCCAACTCACGACCTCTTATCTCCGATCGGCTACGTTTCAGCCGACGTGGACGCTGCCTTATCGCCTGGGATACCGTTGATACCTGGTTCATCTGCTGGTTGCAAGAAGAGACCCTCTTGCCTTTGACAGAGTGTTAATCGCCTTGTTTATCTTGCGCCTTGGATCGACCGGTCAGGACGCTTGACCGCTATTGTCAAAGATGAAGGTTCGCAATCCAATATTCCCCAATATCAACATCCATATCCCTTATCCCGTACTAACGTTTTGCTTGCACTAGTTCCTTCCCCTTCCTGAGATCGAGGACGTGACGAGTTCCCTGAACTTCGACACTGGCGATTGCCACATTCTCGGAGGCTGCGATCTTTACACGACAAAGGCAGCACGTGCGGACCGCAAATTGTATAAGAACATCGAACAGTCGCTTGAAGCACAGTATGAATCAACTCTTCGCCTGTCCGCATCGTTGTCGCCGCCAAATGCGTCGGACGCGGCCGCCTCGCTCAATCTATCCCGGTCTAGCCCCTTCGGGCCCCTGAGCGACCACTCCAGCCGGAGGACCTTCGCCTATCTGATCGCAACTTTGAACGCAAGCCATCCAGATTACGACTTTTCTCATGTTCTGCGCCCGTCCGACTTCCACCGCGAGAGAAATCTCAAAAGAGTGATGAATACGATCGATTCCACGTTATTTAATCTCCGACCGCGTGAAGCCATCGACCTCGCTCCCCCATCCCCCGTGACCATCTCGGGGTCATACAATGCCGGGGCCTCTGCTACATGGGGGCCGAGGATGTGGCGAATAATCGATGAGCAGCTGTCACTCAAGGAGTGCTCCATCTACTCTTACTCCCCGGAAGAGGATCCTTCTGATGCGGACGACGGAGCGATCTGGAGTCTACACTACTTCTTTTTTAACCGTATCCGGAAGCGTGTCTGTTATCTCTACCTCAGAGCCATCCCAATTCTCAGTCACACGCCGAGCGATGGAGTCGCTACGCCGACCGCAAAGAGGACGTACGACGACGGCTATCTCACGCCGGACCTCGGATCAAGTAAGCGGGCCCGCTACTGGCTCGGCGAAGCAGTGCACTTCGAAGACGAGAGTGAGTCTGACGAAGAGCACGTCGGCAAGCCTGCCCGACCTGTTGTGGACGAATACGACAACTACGTGCTCAGCGACGAGGAATTCCGATCTAGATCCGGTAGCAAGGGCACGGTACGTGCTATGAGTGAGGAAATTGCCGACTCGATGGAGGTTTAACTTTACGATTCAACCCATTACGACTTATTATTGCTTCGCTGTCTTACCTTTTAATCTTCCACTGATGCCCCCTTTTCTTCGATTCAATATGGATATTCTCAACGTTTTGCCCAGTTGTTTATTATGTCGGCCGCATCTGCACAGGTTTGGGGCGTTTGGTGACCGGCAGGGATGATAATAGGCCCCTATTGATGAAGTCGTTGTTTCGCTGTGTAGGTTTTGATGATTTTGCGCTGCATACCCAATTTGTTGCGGCGCGCCCGGGGCGTTGTCTTTCCGTTCATGTATGTACAATTCTTGATCACTGAATTAATTATGGAACACCACATCAAGTGAACAGTAGAACCCAGTAATAGAAGAGAAACGAAAACTAAACCTCAAATAACCCTTAAAACCCCACTCCCAACAAGAACCCATAGAATAATCCATCGGCAAGGCCAGCATTCCATAAGGTACGAAACAACAAAGTGGTCCGTGCACGACGGGGAAAGCTGTCCCTTCCGATCCGCATATACATACACGCCCGAATCTCACCAACCCAAACAATTAACCCACCTCACTCTCTTTCTTCCCCTAAATACCGACCAAAATGGCCGACGACGAAGAGCGCACCAAGGCCGAGAAGCTAGCGGCCGCGAAAAAGAGGGTACGTCCTTGCTTATCCCACCCAAGGCCTTTATTCCATTGGAACCAAACACACGACTCGGCGAATACATGTTTAACGTAACTTAACCCGAACAGGTCGCGCAACTACAGAAGCAGAAGAAGAAGGCGAATAAGAAATCCTCTAATTCTGAGGCTTCTGCGGCCAAGGAGTCTTCGCCGAGCACTGAAGACAAACAACAAGCGAAAGAAGAAGAGCAGCCACAATCCCCGAAAGAGGAATCGGAGTCGAAACCAACAGACGACGTCCAAGATAAGGCTGAAGAGCAACAACAAGATGAACCTGAACAACCCGCCGCCGCCGCCGCCGCCGCCGCCGCCGAACAACCTACCTCCCCTTCCCCCTCAACGGAGCCCCAGCCCGCCGTCAAAGCAGACACGCCGTCGCGCCACGGCCGCCAGCCTTCGCTGTCGATTCAGTCGAAGATGAGGTCGTCATCGTTCCGGAAGGGGTCTGTTTCGCAGGGTAGTGCGTCGCCGCCGTCTGCGATGCTGAAGTCGCCTTCTTTGCCGCCGTTGACGGCTGACGGGGACTCTGTGCATGAGGTGTATCGGAAGCAGGCGGGGCGGATTGAAGAGGTGGAGAAGGAGAACCGGCGGTTGGAGAAGGAGCTTGAGGAGGCGACGGGCCGGTGGAAGAAGACGGAGGAGCAGTTGGAGGAGTTCCGCGAGGCGAGTGTCGATGTTGCGGAGTTGAAGGAGAAGTTGGCGAAGGCTGAGGAGAAGGTGAGGGAGGTTGAGGAGTTGGTTAGTCTTCCCTCTTTTTCCCTTTTTCATTTTCTTGCTACGGTTGTGATGTGGACGTGACTATAGCTATGTTGGGTTTGTTACTGACGGTGGTTATAGAAAGCGGAGATTGCCTCACTCCAGAGACAGAACTCGCATCTGCAAAAGACGCATCGGAGTACTGCGTCGCCCGCCTCGGCGGAGTCCCCTCCTGCGGACCTTGTGCAGCAGCTCGAGTCGAAGTTTGCTACTATTGAGGCTATGGAGCTTGAGATCTCGAACCTACGCGCCCAGCTTACGGATCAGTCTTCATCTAGTAGTGCGCACGAGGCGCAGATCAAGGCTCTGGAACAGAAGCTATCAAGCTCCGAAGCAGCGCTGGAGAGCGCGCAGAGCGAACTCACGGAGACTAAGAATGCCTTAACCCGTGCCTCAGAGAAAGCCGTCAAGGAAGGGGTGGATAAGACCTCCACAGAAACCCAGATCAAGAACCTAGAACGGGAGCTCTCGGAAGCAAAGGAAGGCAAATCCGAATCCGAGAAGAAGATCGAAACGCTGGAGAAAAAGATCGAAGCAATGGGCAACCTGCACAAGGAGTCCGAAACACGGCATCAAGCCCGTCTGCGCGAGAGCGAGAAGGCAGAACAAGAGGTCGCACAGCTCCGGAGCCGACTAACCAGCGCCGAGAACGAGAATCTCCGGTTGAAAGAAGAGCAGGAGACGCTTCGCAAGCGCAACGCTGTTGGCGCGGACGACGACGGCATCGATGAACTCGAGGACGAAGAACGGTCCCGGCTGGAGCGCCGAATCCGCGACCTGGAAGGCGAAATCTTCGACCTCCGGCGCGGGGTATGGAAGGAGAAGCGCGAGGAACTTGCCCATGGCCGTGAACCGAGCGTCGCTTATGCTTCCAATGCCAACCAGGCTGCGAATGCATTCGACGATGTTGACCTCATCGGTGGAGCTCCTGAGCATGCCCGCCGACGCAGCGTGCAGCAGCACTCGTCCTTCTCGACTGTCCTTTCTAGCGGACTCGCTGCCTTCACTGGAAGTAACACACATGGAAACAGAGCCCGCGCGCCCTCGAATAAACAGCACACCCCGGGTACACGGGGCAGCCTTGAACTCTTATCCGAGGAGAACTTCGACGACGAGTTTGACGAGGCGGAGTTTGCCCGCGCTCAGGCCGAGGAAGAAGCACGCAAGCGCGTGGAATGGGTCCGTGAGATCAAGAAGAAGCTCAAGGACTGGCATGGCTGGCGACTGGATTTGGTTGACAGTCGGGCTGGAGCGGCAGGGGCTGGAGTGGGAATGGGCGAGATATTCGAGATCTAGACTTATATTTCATACTTGAGCTGGCCATCTCTTTATGTATTGTTTTATGAGAAGGTTCATGTTTCACGCTTACGGACTGTGGTTGGATGGAGTACGGCGGATGCGTAGATATCCCAATTGATGATGTTTTATCCTTCATTTTTTCTCTCTCTCTATCACATCTTTCCGGATGCCTTAGTTCTTGTAGCTGTACCGATATGTACCAAGCAATCCATAGACAAACAACAAACAGGGAAATAGTACAAACAAAAAACACCGAAAACAAAGACACCATTCAATTCAATCACAACCCAACAATCCAAACAAAACAAGAAGAAAAATCAACTACTCATCCGCCAACTTCCCATCAAGCACACCTTCGGACCTCCTCTTCCTCCCTCTCCTCAGCAGCTCCCGAGACCACCCGGCCATCTGATAAAGCCAACCCCCGGTAACCATGACCCCGGAAACGGTATTCACGAGCCGAATCAACAGCGACAAGAAACTGGTCCTCTCCTGGCTGATCATGAGCAGGATCGGTTCGATGTTATACTTGAAGAAGATGCCGGGGATGTAGTAGGGGTTTTCGGGCAGCTCAGCGCCCTGGGTGGTGGCTGCGTATTGGTTTGTGAAGATGACGTTCTTGGAGTGGGTGGGTTTGGAGGTGTAGAGAGTGCTGTCGAGGGCGGCTTGGTGGCCTTTGGAGTAGATTGTGGGGACGACGGAGAGGAAGTACTGGTATTTGTAGTAGTGGGATTCTGTGGTGGCGATGGTTTTGTCGAGGGGGTTGAGGAGGGTTGGGTAGTGAGGTCCGAAGGAGAGTTCGGTGATCATGTGGGAGAAGTTGAATGCTGTGATGCATTAGTCCTGATCCTGAATTCTATAATCCATGCGCAGATCACAAAAGAGAGAGAGAGAGAGAGAGAGAGAGAGTGTGTGTGTGTGTGTGTGCGCGCGCGCAGAAAAGAAGGAGGAAAAAAAAAAAAGAAAACATACTCGAATGATCCAAATGTCCCCCCATATCCCTATACCCATGACCCCTGGCCGTGATGTGGAAATCTCCCTGCACCTTATTCCCCTCCAGACTCCCATAAATGCGACACGAGTCGACAGTATCTCCCCTCCGCAGCTTGGGACCCTTGGGGAACTTCCTCCTGGGGTTCCGCCTCACCTCACCCAGTACATGGCCCACATGGGCGTCCTCTTCCTGCGCCTCCAACCGGCTCGGATCCTCGCGACTAAGCGTCTGATACTCGTGATCGTAGTTGCGCTTGTCCGTCCAGAGCTTCCAGCTGGTGGGGTCTTTCTTCAGCAGCTCGCCGGCGAGAATGCGGTCGCCGGAGGCGTCTTGGATGTTGACGTGCAGGGCGTCGCAGGGCATCTGCACGACGATGTCCAGGTTCAGCTGGAGGTCGTGCGAGACGCCCTTTTCGACGCTGAAGTGGTGGTTCTCGGAGCCTTTGAACCAGGTTTTGAATTCGGAGATGGAGAAGATGCTGCAGATGAGGAGGATCAGGACGGTCCATTGGCCGCCGCGGCGGGAGGGAGCTGTGTAGTCGGGTTTGGTTTTGGCTGGATCGTGTATGTTAGTTTTCTTTCTTTACATTTACGGCGGGCTTCTGTTGAGTCCAAGAGACGTACGGAATGCATCGAATGTCTTCAGGCCGCCCTGCAGCCCGGACTTCTCCCCGAACGCATCCTCGTCGAGGCCGTGCGATGCGAAGCCATTCATGACGAATCTGTATGGCAAGGGGCGGATAAATCAATCGATTAAGGCATGAATGAGAATTGAAAAGAAGGGAAAATGAATGGACGCCAATTGGGCCGAGGGGTGGGTTTGGTAGGGTGGAAATGAATGGGTCGGGGAAGAACAATGGAGGCGGAGCAGTTGCGCGCTTGAGGCCAAGTATTCAATTCGCTGCTTATCGGGAGATCTTATCTGATCTATGGATGTATTTGTTTATCGCCGACCACCTTCAAAAGAAGTACCAACTGTTTATTGATCTGTAGAAGAACATCTTTCTCGTTGCGATGGACCCTCCCGTCCATTTCTTGAATTTCCATTATATGTACACCACCCAGAATCTATGAATGCTTATGATAATTAACTATACTCGTCTTCGTCAGTATATGCATCGATGCTCTGATTCTAACATAACCCACGACTCCTGACACTCCCACCATCCAAGAACATGGGTAGAGCTGAAAAGTGAAGTGACAGAACAAAAAGAAGTGTAAATATACAATGTCCTGTGCGAATGGAAAATACCATCGAGTCCATCGATATGGGTAAAACATCGGGCAGATATGAAACGAGCAGAGAAGAAAATAAAATAAAAAAAATAATGATAAGATCCAAGAGGAAATTATAATCAGCGAGCGACAAGGGGTTAGACATGCAATGTGGAGCAATAAGCTGGCTTCTGAGGTCGTAACAGAATTGCAAACAGTATGCTCAAAGAAGGAGACAAAACGAAGGCATCGTGTAAAAGCATGAAAATGCTCAAGGGTATAAGATGAACTCTTTCCTCGTCCACCTCTATCGGCGCAGTTTGAATCATGAAAGGGGTACAAAACCGCAAACATTCCCGACCTCTTTATGCAACTTAATAGTCAAACAATTATTATTACAAAAATGCAATGGAAAGGAGAAAAACAAAAGGAAAAAGGCATACGAAGAAAATAGAGAGAAGTTAGCACCCTGCCCTATTTAGTTCTCTAATGAAGGTTAGCAGTCCGTACGCCAATATTCGGTAGAGCATTCAACTCACCAGGCTGGTCGCAGCCGCCGCTGTTGCGAGGTCTGGCTTTCCACTGATGCTCCTACCAGCAACGCGAGGCAATGCTGACCCAGGAGTCGTTGTAGAAGTAGTTGTACTTCGTTTGGGGGTGGACGGTTGGACACCGCTCACCGTTGAGTGGCGCTTTCCGGCTATCGGCTTGACTGGAGAGCTACCTGAGACATCTCGGCTACGGAGAAAGGTGCCATGTTTGAGACTCGTGCTAGGTGGTTCTGGAAGTGGGCGACCTGACGACGGGGTTGATAGAGTATTCCCCCGCTTGGCTGGGGAATTCAAACTCGCTGTATATGTCCTGGGCCGCGAGGGCATCTTGAGCCCTGTTAGGAATTCATGTCTGAGGGCATCGTGCGGACTAAGTCGGCGAGACGGGTCCCAACGAAGGCAGCGGGATATGAAGTCAAGGAAAGCCTCGTCGTCGCATTTCAGGACCTGCCTGAGCTCCTTCGAACTTGGGCGCCGACGTCGACCTTTTGAGGAGACCGTTAATCTCGGTTTGCCCAAGGAATCAAAGAAGAGCTTCTTCCGTGTACTCTTCTCAATCAAGTGTTTCTCTGGAGGCCCGAAAACCTCCATGATACAAGCAAGCTGCTCTTGTTCATTCTCTCCCGGGAAGATCGGATATCCCGTGTACAGCTCAGCCAAGATACATCCCAGACTCCACATGTCAATGGGCATACCGTATGACATGCCAAGAATGACTTCTGGTGAGCGGTAAAAGCGACTCTGAATATAGGTATACACCTTCTCGTTCTCAAAACAGCTAGAGCCAAAGTCGATAACTCTGATCTCGGAACTCATTGGGTGTACAAGGAGAATGTTCTCGGGCTTGAGATCGCAGTGGATGACTTTCTTGGTATGGAGAAGCACCAGTGTACTCAAAATCTGTTTCGTAAAACGGCGGATGACCTTGACAGAGAAACCTTTGAAGTCGTGTGCTTTGATGAATTCATATAAATTCATTCCGAGCAGTTCTGTAGATATGCAGAGGTGACCCCGGAAGTAGAAGCTTTGTGTGAAATTGACAACACTATGCCGACGATGAGGATCCCACTCTTTGAGCTTTTGAAGCAGATTAACCTCAATCAAGGCTTGCTGGTGGAACCTCTTCTTGTTGCGGATGATCTTCACAGCAACTAACCCGCCTGTTTTGTGATCAACGCATCTTAGAACTTGACCAAAGCTTCCCTTGCCCAAAACATCGATGACTTCGTATCGGTAGGCTAGGTGGTCCCCAATGACAATATTGTAATCACCGCGATCATCGTCGTAGCCGAAGTTTGCGGCCTGCGCATTCAAGTCCCCTACATGTTTCTTTGCATGTTGAGTTCCGCAGAAAAAGATATCTTTGAAGTCAATAATTTCACCACGCTCAAAGATATTAAGATTTGCCATTTTGAGAGCCTGAGCTGGGCTGACACGTTCTTTCGGTCCAGCTTTGCGGCGCAGTTCATCCAACTCTTTCGCCGCGTTTTCGAAATCTTTGCGCCTGCCATTCATTTTCCGCATCTCATCGTCAGCTATCTGAATATCGGGGTCAACGTTTGGATCAGAAGACGTGGAGTTAGCGGCAGCGCTCGACTTCGCAGAGTTGAGGATCCTGTGAACTGGCGAGAGGATTGATGATGCAGAACGATGGGATGCGACATCACTATGACGCGACTCGTTCGAGATGCTGTGCTCTAGAGCAAGACTCTGTTCGCTGCTGAAACTGGGTTTCCGTATTGGCGAGCCTGCCGCGTTTGATACAGAGACCTGTCGCTTTGACTTAAAATAGCTTGGCTTAAGCGTGGGACTTGTATTTTTGGCCGTTGATAGGTTATTCCAGGTTGCAGACGCTGGAAGCCTAGGTGGCGGCATGGGCTCGAGTTTAGTGGGATCTGTACTTGCGTCCGTTACCTGTTGAGGTCTGGAATTGCTCCTATGACGGGTTATCGTAATCTTATTCCTAAGAGAGGACCCAGAAGTGCTGTTGTTGTCAGGATCAGACGGGGTAGACATCTGACTGATCGTTTCTGCATTGGAAGAGAAAGCAGAAGACTGGGTTTGAGGGCGTGGACCCGTCAGTTTGTGAGACTGTGATACTCTGTAAGAGTAATCCGCACTGGCCTTTTGGCGTAGATTATTGGCATCACTATTGCTCTTCGGGAGCGAGTACGAGACATAAGGAGAGTTTGTCCTTGCCCCAGCAGGAGTGTTGTCGAAAGATGCCAATGCGCTGGAGCTGCTGGCTGTCCTCAACGTAGCACCCGAAGACGTACTCACAACAAAATGCGCAGTGCTGCTCCTTGCTTGTGTGCGTGGTACAGCGTCATCTTCGACAGCGAAGAAATTAGCTTTTGAGGCAGTAAGAGGGGTACTTGGAGTCTTTGCGACAACCTGACCCGTTGGCGTATGTGATTTCGCATCCTCCTCTCGGTCTTTCATGGCTTGGATCTTGTTTGTCATTGGTGTACCCAAAGGTAGCAAATTCAACGGCGGCAATTTCAGTGGCTGAAGGTTCCTTTTGCCCAAGCTAGCGGTTGGTTTGTGCTTGGCTTCCGGAGTCTTCAACGCTCGTTTGGCAGGTAGATCCATTGTGTCGTCTTCAGTTGCGCTAGCTGTAGGGTTTGTATCTGACTCCGTGTCCGACTTGCCTTTCAAAACAGCAATATCCACCGGAAGGTGTGATTTGCGCGGAACTGTGAAATTTGGTTGCTCGGGCTCCCCCTTCGGAGACTCGTAGGCCTTAGGAATAGCAGGAACAGGAGGTACTTCCTCGTCTGCTGCCACAGCATGCTCTACACGAGGTTTAGGTGTAGGGAGCCTAGAAGACGATGGAGCCTGAGCAAGCCGGGTTTGTAATGATCCCCCAGAATTCCTTGCCGAGTTATGACTTGTGGTCGACGACAAAGATAGCCCAGAGCTATAGGATTTACGAGACGGATCAGGGGTGGTTCTATTGGAGGAAGGAGTCACACTCTTCCGAGGAATATAAGACGGCGACTGTGCGCATGAGCGAGGACGGACGGGTAATGTATCGGTCTGCGTCGGAGGAGTATAAGGCAAAGGAGGCGCCTGAGGTGCCGTTGACATACGCTTCAGCCGTCGTGCGTCCGTCGGACTTATAGTACGAGCCCCTAAGCCTGTCGCGTGCGGGGGCATTACAGAAACCCTCTTTGATGCAGATGACGGAGTCGTAAGCGGTGCTTGTGCATGCTTGACTGGCGTTCGGACGGCATTGGTTGACGAAGATCTGGAATGATCCGCAGATCCAGAGGTGGTCAGGAACGTTTCGCGAGGTTCCCTCGACGGAGGCTGTAGGGATTTGGCTTTGATATTTCGTGCACTGGTTGGTAGTCTCGTTGCATCGTTTGGCATAGATTCAAGATTTTGAGTGCGTGGGTGCAGAAAGTTGTGGCTTGTGTCGGCACTAGCCTTCCTACTCGACAAGCTTTGTCGCCTCGCAGAAGGAATCGAACCTTGCCCTATGGACTTACGTGAATTCCGTGGAGCAGCGTTGTTTGCATTCGGCGGTTGGGCGAGACTTTGACGACGACTTCGAGTAGCTGTAGCCAATGTCGGTGGTCGGGAGGGCACCGAGTCGCTCGGAGGGGTGCTAATGGTCACACTTTTCCTCCTGATAGAGTTGCTCCTCATCCGTCTAGACATACCGTTCTCATCATTCTTATTCAGGGCGGAATTGATTGGGGGGAAGCCTGAAGCAGCGCCCGCGGTTCGGGGCAAGGGAAACTGATTGAGACTTGATTCCGTCATTATGCTGTTGTGGAAGTCGTCGAAATTGACGGGCGTGAGGAATTCTGCGTTCTCGGGTGGAGTCTGGTTAAGGTCTGTTTTCAAAAGATTGCCCATGCTTGTGGATCGCAGGCTAGCAGGGAAATTGTTACTCTCCGTCGAACCATTCGTGGAATCGATTGACGAGTTAACGGAGTGGAAGAACGACCCGGGGTGATTGCTATAACGATATGGATCAGAATCATACAATATACCAAAAATCCAGAGTATTGGGCCTGGCGGCAATGCGTGCAGGGGAGTAGCAAGGACACGAAAGCGAATGGGGAAAATGAAGGGAGAAAGCTCCGTCTACCTTCTTCGGGCAGGCTCCTGCGGTCGCGGGCCTTGCGGTGCCTTCTGATCTCGAATAGAGAACCTCCTCCTGCTTGTCACATTTGAGTTTGATCCCCTTGTCTCGGTTGGCGAATAGGATGCTTCTGAAAGGAACGTTGTTGAGGCGTGTTTTTGCAACCGTCTGCGTGGGGGACCTTCTGCAGTACAACGAAAAGACGTTAGCGGCCAGCTGCAATGGAAACATTTCCATCGCGCCGGGTGAACATACCTCCTGAGCCTGAATCTTCATTTCGAGACGGACTCGACGACCTCGATTGAACCTTACGCGACTGCCCCTTCCCTGAATATGGCTGGGCCGGCAGCTTTTCCGGCATCCTCAGACTCTCCGACTGTGTCGTCCCCGAACGAGATACGGATGCACCTAGGGCAAGAAACTGGTGGCTGAATGGCGATAAATTCGATGTAGAATCCCAATCGCAATGGGATTAAGGAGTAGATGACTTCTCTGTCTCTCAAACAAAGCAGTGCCTTGACCAACAATGTCGCGCGACCCAGCAACGGTGGTTAGCGGTCCATTGCGGGGGTCAAGAACAGCAGTCTCTGTTCCAAAGTATAGAAGGGCAAACCGAAGGGGAAAGAGACCTCCGGGGGAAAAGTTGATCGCTGTCCAATCTCGTTTCAAGTTCCCCTGAAGGAATAAATATCGGCGCGGCGGCGATGTCGATGACGGAGGGAGACTCTGCCTGGGGCAGCAGTTCTGATGGACTTTTTGGCGGTAGGGAAAGAAAGTTACGGGTCGTATATAACCAACCGGTAGAACAAAGCAATGAGGAGGAAGGAGCCAAGAAAGAATTTCTTTAATCAACAAATCTAAACAATTATTCCTCGGCTTGAAACCTGCCAGGACCTGCCAGGTGTAAGAAAATAACTATTAAGAAATAGGGAAAAAAGAAAAAAAAAAGATAGAAAGAGAAGTTGAAATCCCGGTGGAGACCTGGAAGAAATTACCTGTAAACATAACAAGCCCCAACTAAGAGATCAACCTCTAAACAACCATCGCCAAAAACCCCCCTGCTCCTTTTTGCTGCGAGAGTGACCCCGTTGCATGCCTGCAAACAGCACAAACAATGTTGTGTGTTGAGATCGAACCCCCAAAATATGGATATTAGGTTATACTATGCATTACCTAAGGTATACCCAAGGTAAGGCTGCCAACCTAGTCTAATACATACCGGGCAATACCAAGGCGGTACCATGTTGGTAAAATAACCATGGGTTGGTATTGTCATGATGATACGCCCCCCCGATAAGCTAGGTTCATTCACAGTGCTGATAGGAACTCGGCTCTCCGCCTTCTAGTAATGTGATGCATGTGCTTCCGCTTGCAAACAGCCGAGCGACTTTCATCTACTGCTATTGTCCGCCGTCGGAAATGTTTTTGCTTACTATCGATCTCTTCCGGTAGCTGAATATAACATGGAAGAACATACTTCTGACGCTATCGTCAACCGTGACGAGCCTGTCCCTGTAATCTCCGTGGGGAAACAAGGGGACGAATCAAGAGATTCTAAACCTTCTGCTGGACATCAGGGATCCGTCTCGGGTGCTGGTCGGTCCTTGCAAGATAAACTATTCGCCAAGTATGCCCTCACTGGATCCTCTCGAATTTCTGATCTCCACGGGCTTCTGTCGCTGACTAGTTGTAAAAAGACTCTTGCAGCAAGTAATCCCGGCAGAAGATGTCAACGACGACTCTGTGGTCATGGGCGACAAGCGGCCCGTCGATCCCAAACGGCCGGCCTTCAGTCTGCCCCTGATGGCTAATAACTTCCGCAGATTCAATGCAAGGTATGTATCATGTATCTGGGCGTGTGGTCTGGACACGAGCACAGACTGAAATCGTTGGCAGAATTGGGATTGTATTCTCATTTCAGACGCGCATGGAGCGTTTGCTCAGCTGGAAAAAGTCTTCCCATACTTTCTCTTTTCTTTTCGTCTACTCTTTCGTCTGCTTAGACCCTCATCTCCTCGTAATCATACCCATCGCTTCTGTCTTACTGTTTGTGATGGTCCCCGCGTTTCTGGCACGCCATCCTCCACCTCCATCAACATCAACATCCAGTATCACTCCTTATTACTCATACCAAGGCCCAGCACTTGCACCAGCCAAGACGATCAAGCCGGCACCAGAGACATCTAAAGATTTCTTTCGGAATATGCGGGACTTGCAGAATTGTATGGCCGATTTCTCTGACATACACGATGCAACGGTTTCTGCATTCGCGCCTCTGACGAACTTCTCCAATGAAAAGGTGTCGTCCGTTGTCTTTCTAGTCTGTACAATCATTACGGCTCTGTTGTTCCTGACTGCGCACCTCCTGCCGTGGAGATATATACTCCTTGTGGGTGGCAACGCTGCTATTCTGTCCAGCCACCCCAGCCTCCAGGAACTATTCCAAAATATTGCAGGCGACCTTACAAATGAACCCGCTGGGGATGCTCTCACAACATCCAACAATGGCAAGAAGGATACAGTGGACGTCCTAGGCGTACCCCTGCCATCTTCTCCGTCCGCAACTATGTCTTCATTAAGGTCTTTGGCAGATATCTCCCTAGACACGTATCCCGAAGAACGTGAGGTGGAGATCTTTGAAATTCAATACCGCTCTCTGGCCCCTTATTCTGACGCACAATGGGACCACTTCATTTTCAGCCCCATGCCATACGACCCACTATCCCCATTGCGTATTGCTGGAGACCGTCCTAAAGGCTGCCGGTTCTTCGAGGACGTTCAGCCGCCTTCTGGCTGGGCTTGGAAAAGCAAGAAGTGGGAACTTGACCTAGATTGCCGCGAGTGGGTCGTGGAACGAATGATTACTGGTGTCGGCTTTGAAGTTTCAGAAAGTACCCCTGACGAAAGCGCGGCTAATGACGAAATTGGGGGTTGGGTCTGGGACGCTGCATTAGGTAATGAGGAGTTTGACTCCGACTTGAAATCGTCCGGAATGGGAGAAGTGAAGAAGGTCAAGCGGAAAGGAAAGGGACGCGCGTCGCAGGATTACGAGGAGAAGGGAGGTACTGGACCATCAGTGATGGGGGAATGGAGAAGACGACGATGGGTACGAATCGTTCACAGGACAAGTATGCCAGCGGAAAGCGATAAGGCATATACGGCCAGTGAAGATAGAGATTGATGCTGAAAGTACGCATGATCTGTAGCTGTTAGACGCGAGTTAATTTGTAAATAATGCATATTCTTTTTATGAATAATATTCATATGCGCGGTATCCACCCGGATGGTGATATAAACTAGTGTCGATAGTCAAGTATCATCCTATAAGGGATCGGTGACCCATCAAACAATTCAGCAAGATACCTCAGAGAGGCACGTTAGAGATACACGGCTTTTGAGCGCCGAACTACGCTGCCCAACAATCTCAATAACAATACATATATAACACTTAGATATCTTCTCAGCCATTGTATACAACCGTATATAGCAGGAGGCCAATGTGATGGTCTGCGCGGGCAGCATCGCCGTGAAAATATATAAACGCGATATCCAGATATGTTAACTTGTCTCAGTGTATATGACCGTCAGGGTAATCCCACTGGGTGTCCGGAGACGATCTTGCAAGATGCCAAGGTTATTCTGATAATTCCTATTCTCTTAAAGTGATGAAGTGCTCTCCAAATCACTGCTCAATATTTCTTGCCTGACTCTAAACGGCTTGCCGTAGTTGGGCTAGATAGCGCACGGCATTTGCAAGATTATCAACCTGATCTAAGTCCACTTCCTTCCGTAGAACTGGACCTTAGCTCTCGGATATGTGATACAGATCGTTGCTGAATAGTTATTTGATTAAAGTCAACGTAATAAGGCTTCCACAATTTCTAAAAGTGTGTAACTCTATAAACGAGGCTGAAGTAGCCAAGCAAATGCTCAGAATATTCTGTAATCAACACATCTCCTACACTCTAATTAGCGAGTATCAGACTTTTCCCTCCAAGGGCGACAGTGCCATGCTAAAAAAGTAGAAAATATGTTAGACCGAGAGAATATCTACTTTAGTCATGTCGAGTTAATATAAGACTTCTTGAAGATGAGCCACGTTGCTAGGCAAATATATCACGTGCCAACAACCAAGACATCTCCAACATCAAGATACTTAGATTGTACAAGTATCCTTCTTGTCCGGGAGAGACCACACTGTAATGTTATTACAAAGCAGAAGGTGTTTGGTTCCTATGTCTATTCTCTACTATTCCCGTTTGTATGCAATTACATGCCGGCCATTGTCCACTATGACCGGGGGAAAGGAAGGCTCCGATACAAAACTTTTAGGTACCATCTCTTGCCGTAGTAAGCGTTGACTGCTCATAAATTTTTAGATTGTGATCCAGGGGATCTCTACACTTATTCGGCTCAGCGATGGATCTGGAACGAGGCGCAGCAGCTGCAAAACAGATACGTTTCATTCGATCTAAATGCTTTGATCAAAATCGCGGAGGAGGCAGCTGGGGATAATGCGGTTTGCGTCAATATCTCGAAGCTCCCGGAAGGGAACTTCAACAAAGCGTTTCTTGCTACCGTGCAGGACGGACGGGAGTTGTTAAAATCCCAAATCCAAACGCAGGACCTAGCCACTACACAACCGCGTCTGAAGTGGCAACAATGCAATATGTGCGAAACCCCAGAAGGCAAACCAAACATACAGTTGTGATAGGTCTTTGTTCTAACGTCTTTTAAGGCAAGGGAAAGCCTCCACCTTCCTGTCCCTAAGGTTATCACTTACTGTTCCCGGGTTGTGGAGAGTAAACTAGGCTCAGAGTATATTGTCATGGAAAAGGCCCAAGGGATTGAACTGAGCCGCATGTGGGAAAGCCTTAAGCCGCGGGACAAACTATCAATCACGGAGCAAATTGGCTCCATTACCTCCACACTCTCTAGGGCAGGGTTGCCATATCATGGTTCATTATACCTTCGTAAGGATGTCTCAGAGTCTGAAAGCATCAAATTCGATGATACCTTCGCAATCGGACCGACAACAGGGAGAGCGTGGTTTGATGACAGAAGAGGTGAGGTTGATATCCATAGGGGCCCCTGTAAGTTCCCTCATCTCCCCACCAAGTATACATCAAGTTGATTGCGTCGTATACTAGGGGCAAGTTCGAGCAGCACCATGAATGCGCTGGTTAAGCGAGAGCTAGCCTGTGTGAGTAAATTTTCAAAATTTCCTCGAGATACCCAACAGGGCATTTTCAATGGACCTGGTGGTTATCATCCTACAAAAGAAGCAAAATTGTCTGTTCTACAGGACTTTCTTAAGATATATCAACATATCTTACCAAAAGATGATGGGCTCAACGCGGGTATAATCTGGCACAACGATCTACACTCCGACAACATCTTCGTTGACCAAGATAAACCCACCACGATAACGAGTATTATCGACTGGCAAGCTGTTCCTATTTATCCGATGTTCCTTATTGCCTACCATCCATCTCTTATAGAATTTGATGGCCCGAAGCCAGAGCGGTTCGTTCGACCTAGCCTTCCGGAGAATATCAATGATCTTAATCCCCAAGACAAAAAAGCCGCTAGTGAGCTGTTTCTTGCACAGACGCTCTGGCTTTACTACGAGACACAAGTGTATAAGGAAGCCCCGGACTTACTTCATGCATTTCAATATCGGGAAACCTTGCAGTCTGAGCTATTAGGTCTAGTGGGGTCAATATTTGATGATGGAGAACCACATGTCCAAAAGCTTCTTGCTGATGTCACGAGGGATGATGTTTGGAGGCAGCTAGTTGGAGAGGATAATTGCGGCAACTCAAGGGTTCCTTGCCCCTTGAGCTACACAGAACATGACTTGGTTAAGCAGAGCGAGGAGTACGCCAAATGGGAGAGAGATGTCGAGCGTAAAGCGCAAGTGATTAATGAGTTAGGAGTGTATACAGGCTGGAATGGGGCTGTGTCTCCTGATGATTATGATGAAGTTGTTAGCAGACTTAAACTTGCCAAAAAGAGGTTTTTGGACCGGGAATCAAAAACTTCTGAGGAACGAGTGTTGTGGGAGAAGGCATGGCCTTTCGAGGATAAAGCCAGTGAATGAAGGGTACTTTTCTATAGCAGGTTGGTAACCAGAACGATGTGACACGATATGGATATCAACTAATATTTCCCAAATAGGTTTGATAGGGCAGATTCCTCCTTTATCAAAAACACTACTGCCTCCGACCATGTCGCATACTCTCTCTCTCTCTCTCTTTCTCTGATCCTCCAAGTCATTGAGGCCATTCCCCGTCTATCTGGAACCAAGAGTGTGCAGTGTTGATGAGTGGCTCAAAACCCCATAAGAAGAAATCAGGGTTCAGTGAATGAACAATGGGTTTGAGTTTAAGCAAATAGCTGGTTGGCTACATAATTATGAATCCGAGATTGCTAGCTGTACATTTTCACTCAAAGTCAAAAAGGTCACGGAAGGACATGAGCTTGGCTCGTTCCATCTTGGAGGACCATCCCATTGCCTCATTTCTGGATCATTTAACGACTTGGAGTTTGACAAAGATACCACAGTAAGTGGAAAAGAAGATGTCAATTGAATGCGTCACAAAGGTTCCCCAGCCATTCTTGACATATGTCTCACTGGAATGAAACTAACCTTTCGTTCACTGTCATATACAAGTCCGCCTCTGCGCATGTTTCGTCAGAATGAGCGCATTATACGGTCACTGAAGTCGAGCACAAGAGTTGAATCTATTTAATTTAACTATTTCTCTTCATTTACGTCAAGCCCGGTGCCGTCCAGAATGGAAAAGCAGCGTAATGAAAGGTCCATCACATCGAGCCCCCTAAGCTCCCCGACTCATGTGTCCAAACCACACTCGCTGCTCCGGTCATGTGTCATTGCCCCATGTCTGTTCTTAGCCGTGATCTGCTTCTCTTCTTTCCGTTGTGTCGATGCGAAGCAAACGGGATACACACATGGAAGCTCTTACGACGCGACGCGGAAAGTTCCCTTCGAAGTCCACATCGAAAGCCGCTGCCCCGACGTCCGGGACTGTCTACAGAAGCTCGTAACCCCTGCATATTGGCAGGTGGAGGATAAAGTGGACTTTAGAATCAGCTACGTGGGAGAGTGAGTTCAGACCCAGCAACAACCATCGATATCATCCCAGAGCATACTTCCAGAATCCTAACTCCCAAATGACTAGGGTCTGGGAAAAGCCAAGAAGAGACGTAACCTGCCAACACGGCATGAACGAATGCAAAGGCAACAAATTTCTCGTGTGTTCCGAGAAACACGCAGACTCTATCGGCGATGCCCTGGATTTCAATACCTGTGTGCTATCAGATTATGAGCGCGTTCCGGATAAGGGGTTGATTGAGGAGTGTGCGTAGGACCATAACGTCGATTATCAGAAAATCAGTGACTGCGCGAACAGTGAAGAAGGCCTAGAGCTTTTGATTAGCAGCGTCGAGCGTAGCGTTGCCGCGAACGCGAATGCTAGTTGCACTGTTCGTGTGGATAATAAGGTGTGGTGCATCCGGGATAACTATGAGTGGAAGTGCCCACCTGGTCGTGGTGTTGTTGAGAATTGGGTTCGGGAGATTGAGAAGTTATCCGGGGATGGAGAGGACGGCACTGGATACCTGTATCTGGCTAGGTAGCACTGAAGCTATGAACTGCTAGCAGAGGTTAGTTTGCTAGATATTAACAGCATAGTGGATACGTTTGTGTTGGAGAATAAGTAAATAAATTTACTAAAATTTTACAGGTCTTGAATAGATCCATCTCACTGCGCGGATTCTCAACATTAAAAGCGAATATTAATCTTGCTACATGATAGGATCCTCGCTAATACGATTAAAGTATACCATGCTCACGCCAGTGAGATAGAGTACGAAATATTCCACGGCAGACCCGCGGTTTCTGGTGTGGATCAGGATTAAACAATATATTGAAAGATGTTCGGGTTGCATGATATCACAAATCAACAGGCTCCTGGGTGAGGTATGCCGTGAAGGTGGTTAATGGTTGTGTAGCATCCTTTGCACCTTTTGCGACCAAATCCCTCGTGCGTGGTCCATAATAGCCAAAATCCTCAAAAAACCCCATAGTTTCAACTAAGCTATCGGCATGGTCAGGGGGAAGATAACTTCTAAATGTATCCAATGACACCTGCTTATACTTGACTGTCTTTCCGAGGGAGCTGCTCAGCAGGCTCGCAACATCGTCAAATGAATAGAGCTTCTCGGCCGCAGCAATCATCTCGCCCTCAAATCTGTCCGGCTCTGCAAGAATCGCCCCGACAAACTTCCCCGAATCAGTGATATCGATGAGTGGCAGCAGTGTATCGGGAGAGACGAAATTCACAATGCCATACGTCCCATCACCCAGATCCTGAGGCTTCATCACGTTGTGGAAATTCTGCATGTAGCACCCTGGGGCAAAGAATGCGCTCTTAATCGGCAAGGACCGGATGTATTGCTCAGTTTCTGCCTTGCTATCGTAGTAATCAACCTTCCGATAGCGGCCGCGAGAGATTTCCGTTACGTTAGGCAGGGTACTGTAGATTATGTATTCGAGCCCTGCCGCAACTGCGGCATCTGCGATAGCCTTCCCTTGTGCAATTTCACGAGCCTTTTTGTAGCCCTCAGTGGTGAGAATGAAAACGGTGCTCGCACCATCAAGGGCTCGTTGAAGGGATTGAGGGTCATCTGCATCGGCCTGGACAATTTCGACTCCCTTGGCTTGGAGGTTGTGAGCGGTAGGCTGAGAAGGGTTACGAGTCACGGCTCGAACACGGTAAACCTGGGAGAGCTGAGGATCGTTGAGGACATGGTTGATGACGGAACCGCCCTGGTTTCCAGTCGCTCCAAATACGACCAGTATCTTGGACATGATGATGGGTGTGGAACTCTTCAACGACAGAATGAAACGATATAGTACGGGATGGAATGGATCGCTGTTGTTAAGTTTTATAGCAGGCCCCGAGATGGGCTTTTCATAACTGTGACTAATACCTACCTGAGTTTCTAATCAGTTATGACAAAACACGAACAACAATCCCCGGAAAAGAAGAGAAATGTCTCCGAGGTTACAGGCAACATAAGCCTAGGGGGCTTTTTGACTCGGTTCCCCAGGGCTCTTCATTTATCGGCCGAAGTTTACCATCGAAGGTTGTTCTTGGCATTTTCGGCCGAAGGACTTTCGGCGATTGGCACGATTAGATCCTTATTGAGAAATCCACCTGTGTTCTAGACTCCACATCCCCACTCAAGTATATGCCGCAACTGTGAAGGTGGGTTACAGTTTCGGTTCTCTAACTTTCACCTCAGCCAAAAGTCTCCGCCAGTATGCCTGGACAAACTTTCAGCGCACTCCTGATCAAGCCAAGCCCTTTGCAACGGGTTTAACGACGCACCAGAGGTTGTGATACCCGACCTGATGAAACGCCGCGAAGTTGAGAGCCAGGACTCCGTAGTCAGACAATTGTTCTGATCTGCTTGAGCTGAGTACCAAGTCCTGCCCAGTAATTCTGTATAATGTGAACGGAACTAAATTCTGTATGCCTGTGCTGCAGCAGAATGTGACAACCTCTGAACCCCCTATCGCTTCCAGACGCTAACGACTTGAGTTGGTGGCTGAGGTCTGTTCAATCGTACTATTGTGATCTAGTTCTGCCAATAGAATGGCCGTGGCACTAAAACAGCATCATAGCGGGTCTCATCGGCTGTTCTTTCAGGGATCTTTAGGCGCCCCACAATACTGAAGTTCTAAAAGATGCACAGAACTGGGGATCTCCCTTAGATATTGAAATGGGCCAAGAAATTGGCATTAATGATGACGACGCCGTGCAGCTGGTAAGTGCTAGCATTCCGCTGCACAGTATTATTGTTCTCATAGGGTGATGACATGGTGCAATCTTGAGGTATGTAAGCCACACCAAGATTCGGAGATAAGGGAGTAGAAAAGGGGAAAAGGAGGACGGTGGTGAAGAAAGGAGAAGAACAGGATACAGTTGGAGTCCTTCCGGATGAACTATATAAGACAGACCTGCCCTGGGGACTCCATTACCGTCTTTATTCTTTATCGAGCAATCAACTTCTATCCAAAGCGTTCCAATAGGAAGAAGTAGCACAGCAGCTCAAAAATGAAACCTTCCACCTACCTTACGCAGATCTTGATAGCTGCAAACCTCGCCCTTGCGCGCAGGGTGACCTTTCCCAGCCGCAACTTCACTATTGTCGGCGAACTCTACCTCCCTGAGTCCTCAGCTCCCAACCGCAATGGATCCGCCATTGTAGTCGGCCATCCCTACGGAGGTGTGAAGGAGCAAACCGCCGGCTTGTATGCAAAGCACCTTTCTGAAAACGGGTTCCTCGCGCTGGCATTCGACGCCGCGTACCAGGGAGAGAGCAGCGGCTCTCCCCATTTTCTTGAAGATCCCGGGCAGCGAGTTGAAGACTTCAAGGCCGCCGTGAGTTACCTCACTACTTTGGACGAGGTTAACCCGGAGAATATCGGAGCCCTCGGTATCTGCGCCTCGGGTGGCTATGTCCCTTTCGCGGCCCAGACCGATCTGCGCATGAAGGCCGTTGCAACTGTCAGCGCTGTCGATGTCGGAAGTCTCTTCCGTGAGGGGCTGAAGTACACCACTGGGGCATTTAACCGCACTGTTATTGAGCAGCGACTGAAGCAGGCTGGCGAGCTCCGTACGGCCGAAGCGCATGGTGCTGAACCTGAGCTGTCTCCAATCGCTCCGGAAGACCCGAACAACCTGCCTCCCGACCTTCCCACCTTGTGGCGTGAGGCGAGCCAATACTACCGTACCTCTCGTGGATATCACCCCCGGGCCCCGAACCGCGTTGTTACTCGCAGTCTGGACCAGGTCGTCAACTTCTGGGCCTTTAACCAGAATGCCTTGATCTCGCCCCGTCCCTTCCTTGTCATTGCGGGTTCTGCCGCTGATTCCCTTTACTTCAGTCAGCAATCGTATGACCGTGCCTTAGAGCCCAAGGAGCTCTTCCAGATCCCCGGCGAGACCCATGTCGGACTTTATGACAACACTACCGTCAGTGGTCCTAAATTGGTCAGCTTCTTTTCTCAGCATCTGCCGAAATAGGGATGTACAGTTGGGTTCAGGGATGCGGCGGAATGCAGGGTGTGGCCGAAGTTCCCTTACATGTAACTGTATCTCGTATGTATTAGGGATATATTTGTTCTTGAAGTGAGAAATGTATTCATAGTTGGAGGGTTGATCTATACTTGGTTACAGCAACTAAGGATCTAATAGTCAATTAAAGATGTCGCATAGACTGCCGAAAATCGACGCAGCAATGTACTCTCTTGACACGAGGCGTCATTAAACGCTGTGTAGGGCGTATCTATTCCCTCATAAACAATAGCACTATCTATTCAGGACTTACAGGAGGAGTACTGCTTGCAATATAGACAATTTTGTAACCAGGTAAAAGCTAGGCAGTGTATATGATGATATATAGACTATAGAGGAAGCTACACGACTCTAGATCTGCAATGCGCTGTATTCTATCTATAAATCCCTATACTGGAATATAGGCCGATTTCCTGCCTTCTCAAGAGACAGATTTGCTTATTTTCTCTAATTATAGATGGCTGGACTATCAATCACTCGAGTTGATATTTATGCAGGAAAGCAATACTGTGAGATTCGTAGGTATTTGAATTTTCCTACTGGGACGTCTGTGACGAACATCGCAGAGTCTCATCTTTCCAGGATTCCAAGTCCTCCGCGGAAGTTTTAAGATCTGCTTCTAGTAGAGCAATTGTTTCAGCACCCATCAATAACCGCCTCGGCAAGGGTCGCTGGGCCTGTCCTGTGACAACGTCTAAGAGCACTCTAGCCAACTGTTCTGGTGTCGAGAACATCTCCTGAACTGCAGGGTTGCTCATATATGCTAGCAACTGATTGAACGGGGAGGTAGGGGTATCATAAGCAGGATGGCGAGCGGCAAACTGGATATTCGAACCAAAGTCTGTCTTGATCCCTCCAGGGGCAACCACCATAAATTTAATATTCCAAGCAGGATCCATCTCCTTGGCAAACGATTCAGTGAAGCTGCCAAGGGCGAATTTGCTATTGAGATTTTAGCAACAGAAACGAAAATATTGGAGAACATGATGGTTTCACAGCGATATTTGAAATAAGTTGAGATATGAAGCTGGATCTGACCTACCTAGCGTGATAAAATGCACTACCGGGAAATGTCACAAGCCCACCAATGGATGAGACTTGCACTACGGTGCCACCCTGACCTGAAGGGTTCACCTCTCGAAATATACGAACGGCCTCTTGTGTAAGGAAGACCGGACCCCAAAAAAGAGTTTCCATTTGAAGACGGGCGTCTGACTCTGGCACTGTTTCGGTGTCGCCCATCACGGCGTACCCGGCATTGTTGACTAATATGTCAATGCGGCCAAACTTCTCTACAGCCGTAGACAAGGACTGCGTGATATCACTCTTCGAGGTGACATCCAGACCGAGTTTGAGGACACGAGGCCCGTCTGGTAGGTAGGAGAGAGATGCAACATTGCGAGCAGTGGCCACGACGTGATGGCCGGCTTGCACGGCAGTCTGGACCAGTGCTTTGCCAACCCCAGATGAGCAGCCGGTGACTATTTATAGATTATGCGGTTAGCTAATTGGTATCCTTCGATATATCAGATATTTACGTACTAAACCAAACAGGCTGCAAGTCCATGATTATAATGTAGGCGGAACGCTTTGTCTTGTGTGGGCTCTATAAGTGGCCAAGCGCATTAATTAGTTCAATCAAACGTGGAAACAGCATTATATATCTTTCGAAAACGAAATATTGGGCTGCGCATCCCTTCTTCGGAGATATCAGTTTAGACGGAGTTGACGGAGTTTACATGGTCAGCACGGCAGTTTAACTGCGTGGCTTTTGCGGATATCAGGGACGGGTCGGCGATTGCCAAGGTGAGTGGATAAACGTGAGTGAAAAATATTCCAATGGAATGAAAGGCAGCAATCGTTGGTGAGCATATCGCCCCACGTTGTAGATGTGCTGGAATTATCCATAGATTGACGCATGGAGTCAGATCAGCAACTAACCGGTTTCCCATCGGCCGAAGAGATGTTCTTCATCGGCTGATGGGCGGAGGGTTTAGCATTAGTCAAATCCCACGCCATTCGTTTAGTAGAGTTAATCGTGGATGAAGTGATCATGACAAATAGGTCACTTTGAATACTATAATGTTAAAAATCTTGGTATACGCAACTTACGGACTATATAGGATTGGGGAATTCTCATTGCATAAGACTCCGCTTACCAAAGACAACATATGAACATAGTTGATATTGGTATATGGTATTGTCCTAATGTCCGTGCTAAGAGCTATGAGGCCTTTCGACGTTCCCCAGGAAAGGAGGCTGGAACCGTCCGCGTAGCAGTTGAACAGGTTCCTCCACTCCAGTCACAGGAAGTTCTCATGCGAGTGCATGCTGTGTCCCTGAACTACAGAGATGTAGGCATGCTTCATGGCAAGTACCCAGTGTCCGTGAAGGAGGAAGGCATTCCCGCGTCTGACTGCGCTGGGGAGGTGGTGGCAATTGGGTCTGCGGTAACAAAGGTCTCTGTTGGAGACCGCGTGTCCCCGATCTTCGACTTGAAGTTTATCGATGAGCCGGATCCCGAGGGTGCGGTTGCCCAGCTTGGCGGTAATGTCGATGGCGTGCTACGACAGTATGCAGTGTTCGACGAGAAAGTGCTCGTTCGCATCCCACAGCATCTCTCCTGGGAAGAGGTACAGCTGAGAGTTTCATGCTACGTTGTTGATCTTCTAGGATGGACTAACACTTCCGTCAGACGGCGTGTATAACTTGCGCTGGGACCACGGCTTGGAATGCTTTGGGTATGACAGGACCCTTGGACCGGAGACGATCTGCTTTGATGCTAGGTAATGTATACCCTCCATCCGCGGGGTCTTACAACGAAAAGTCTAATACGTCGGTGGTCGCAATATAGGCACAGGAGGTGTGAGCATGTTTGCACTACTGATCTGCTTGGGTGCTGGCATCCATCCAATTATCACCTCTTCCTCGGACAAAAAGCTTCAGACTGCAGCAGCCCTGGGCAAGGAAGGGACTGTTGACGTTATCAATTATAACACCACGCCTGACTGGGAAAAGGAAATCCTGCGCTTGACCAAAGGGCAAGGCGTCGATATTGTACTCGAAACTGTAGGAGGTAGCAGCATCGAGAAAAGTGTTAAATCCGTGGCTACCCGTGGTCTTATATCTTGGATCGGGTTTCTAGGTGGACTGGAGCTACATAAGTTTGTTGATGCGTTGGGAAGTCTATTCTTGAAAGTGGCAACACTCAAGTATGTCCCTACCCTGTTCCCCACGATCCCCTTTGCCCGAGTGATAACTAGGGCCGCTACTAACAGTCTTTCTCCAGGGCAATTCAAGTCGGCTCAAAAGCTGACCAAGAGGGCCTCTGTCGGTTTCTTGAAGAAAAGCAGATCTCACTGAAGCAAATCATTGGCAAAACATTTGAATTCAAGGATGCTCCTGCAGCTTTCGATTATGTCTACTCGGGCCAGCAAACAGGGAAGGTTGTTATAAGAATTTGAGTCAATCATATTTTGTTGTAGACGGTGTTGGTGTACCTTTTACTCTGTTCATTTCTTTTTATTTCTGTTTCTAACTCTTCTCTTAGTCCATCAACTTACCACTGTGTTAAACATCATCCTATATTCAACAAAACGATCTGTACTGAGTGTCTCTGATACCCAAAAAATGGAAAACACGCCTAGGCTTGATGCACTCTTCCTTATGGTGGTGGAGATCTTGAAAAGCAACAAAGTGATAAGAAGATCAACCCAGCCTTGAGACCTACGTGGGTGAGCAGGCTTTCATCATAGGTAATACAATGCTGTTGTAACACACATACACAATGGTGGATATAAGAGAAGTTAATTTCCGAATACACCATATGAAGATTCATGTTTCACGGCTATAGATTGGTAATGAGGTCGCCTTGGCCATGCCGTGAAAAACGGTTGCAGAAACGAACAAATGGACCAGCTTAGTTCGCCCACGAGATTTCGGTGCGTATTGAGCTATAGATATGTAAGATATATAGAAGGACATCTAGAGACAGAATAACGCATTATTAAAGAGTAACTACCTTACACTATCTTACAGAAGTCCAACTATTTCATTGCAAATCTGGACGACTGTTCAAAGCAATGAAACACAAGGACTTTCATCTCGAGCGCAATATTAATGTAAAGGGGGACTTAAAACAAAATTAATTTTCTATCGTATCATTGTATTTATTCAGCTTCGCCAAGATGCTTCTTGAGGAATGGAAGCACTTGTTCAAGTGCGGGCTGAACAGCCTCAGGTTTATCATAAAGGTTATAGTGCGAGATACCAGGAAGAACAACAATCTGCTTTTCCTTCGCGCCAGCGCGGCCATAAACCTCCTGAGCGTCGCGGTAGGCACCGAAGCCACCGGGTTTGTCTCCGATAACGACCATGAAGGGTCGGGTCAGGAGTACTTCTGCATGGTTGAAGGCATCCCATGCAAGAGCGGCACTGTTAAATGAGAACAAACCGCTCGTGGCACCATTGGGGGCCTGGCCACGAGAAGTCTTGTAGTAATCGGTAGCCTCGATAACATCAATATCAGTCGTCGCCTTCTGAGCATCGGCGACCGAAGGGGGGAGGTAGTTCAACACAAAGCGCTCGCCACCTTGGGCCTCAAGAGTTCGTTGATCGGCCATCTTCTGCAGAGAGCCAGCAGGGTTGAATTCACCAAAGGCCTCGCGGGTAAGGCGGCCGAAATTGACTGGTGTAATGCCAACACAGCACTTCAGGCGGTAATCTGTCATGGCTGCATTGATCGCGTAGCCGCCACCACCGCAGATTCCAAGAACACCAATACGCTTCGGGTCCACATACGGAAGTGTCTGGATATAGTCGATCACAAAGCGGAAGTCGGAAACACGAAACTCAGGATTCTCTGTAAAGCGAGGATGGCCACCGGAGGCACCCTGGAAAGATGCATCAAAGGCAACAACCACGAAGCCGGCATCGGCCATTGCTTTGCCGTAAACATTGCCAGAGGTTTGCTCCTTGCAGGAACCGATCGGATGTGCTGATACAACGGCGGGGTACTTCTTTTTCTCGTTGAAGGCAGGCGGGAAGTGGATGTTGGCGGCGGTCTCCCAAGCGATATTTGGGATGCTAACTGTCTTAATTGTTTGAGACATTGTAGTGATTGCTTTGATAGGGGTGTTAGCTTTTGTGTGTCACTATCTTTGAAACTATGGAAGCGATGTGGATGGGAAAGGAGAGGGGGACGAGAGTTGGCTCTACTTATATGACTTTATTGGTGACGTCGAGATTAGGGTTTGGCAGATCATCGGCTATCGCTGTCGCTTCGGCCGAAAATATGAATCCACCCTATCTTATCACCGATATATCGGACTGAACCAGCAGGTCGGCCGAAACACGAGCGATGTTTCCTTCTGCTTTAATGGTACTCTAGCAGTGTAGAGTTCAATAACCTTAGTTGGCTCAGCAGATATGTCAGCTCACATACGTCATCGTTTGAGTTAATCGCTCTTCGGCCGATGAGCATGTCAATATCGAAAAGCTTAACGGGTTGGTTACCCTCATGTTTCGGTTATAAATATCCGCATCAATAGTCACTTCCATTACTTCTACATCTCTACTACTATTTCGTTTTTGGATATTCAACAACACCCACAATGTCTGCGATCAGCATTCCCAAAGGCTCCATCAACCTGGCTGGCCTTCTCTTCCAGCCCTCTACACCGACTTCAACCAAGACATCCGCCCTGATAATTGTCCATCCTGGTGGCAGTGTCAAGGAACAAACCGCCCAAACATACGCAAAGAAACTGGCAAACGCTGGTTTCATAACCATCGCCTATGATGCGTCCTACCAGGGTGCCAGTGGTGGAGAGCCCCACTTCCTCGAAGACCCGAACGAGCGAGTGACCGATATCTACGCCGTGATCGACTACCTTCAGAATCTCGACAGTGTTGACTCCGAGAAGATTGGTGTTTTGGGTATCTGTGCTGGGGGTGGTTATGCAACCGCAGCGGCCAAGGCAGACCATCGGTTGAAGGCCTTGGCCACAGTTAGTATGGTCAACATCGGAGATTCTGCTCGTAAGGGCTGGGATGGAGATGAGGACCCGTCGAAGCATGTCGAGGCACTTCGTGCCACTGCAGCCCAGATTACCGCCGAAGCCAAAGGTGCCGAGCGCGCCGCTGCACCCTACGTGCCTCCACAGCTTGACAACACGACCCCAAGGGACATGCGAGACGCTAGCGACTATTACCTCACCCCGCGTGCCCAACATCCCCGCGCCCAGAATAAAATGTTGTACCTCAGCTTCCCGCGGGTGCTCACTTTCGACGCCTTCCACCTGGCCGACGTGTTCCTGAAGCAGCCTGTCCTGCTCATCGCCGGTGACAAGGCGGGATCTCTCTGGCATACGGAGCGATTGGATAAGCTGATTGGGGGTGCGGCGAAGAAGGTCATTGTTCCAAACGGAGCGCACATGGACTTTTACGATAACGAGGCTTATGTTGGGCCGGCTGCTCAGAATGTTGCCGAATTCATGAAGCAGCATCTCGCCTAATGGCTCTGCGATGTTATATAGAGTGCTATATAGTAGTGCGATGATAGTGATATAGATAATGACTGAGCGCATATGATAGTGATATAGGTGCCATATGTAGCTGTCGCTGAAAGTACCATGGGTAATATCTTAATATACTTTAACCAGGGCGTAATGCTGGAACTGCAACTAATTTAGCCACGTCATGGTAAGCTTAGCACAGAAGTACGGGGAATGAGAATGTCTAGCCATGGAAGTAATCTTGGGAGTCTTTAGGGCTATGTATTTGGAACACCTGTCAAGGTCTGCTGTGTGACGGCATATCTGCAACAGTAAAAAGCATCGGCCGATCTAACGGTCGACTTTGCCCCAACGATCGGGAGCCCCCATTCAACAACCAGCGACAGTTAGCGCCCTTGATAGTTAACACTTCATATACTAACTGCCTAGTCACCTGGTTGAACGACGATTGAAACCATATAGTATAGCTGTTAGGCGCTCGTTAGAGGTCTTGAACTTGGAGATATGGTCTAATATTGCGAATGAACCGTATGAACCAATTATAAGGATTTCTAAGAATGCATGTTATATGTATCATGGTCACTACGGTGATCTGAGGCTGTACATGGATCTAGCTTGCTTGGGTGCATGAATAGGACAAGGTAGCCATCACTCCATGGTTCAAAGCCAAAGGTTCCATACAACACTTATTATACATGTTTTGCACTATTCAATGGGACCTTGGTAACAAAGCCATTGCATTGGGAGGAGATCCACAAGCTCCAGAAAAGTTCAACGGCATGGAGGTTAGCATGAAGGTAAAGCGGCCATTCCGGTGACAATACTTAGATACGGACTTTAAGTCCCAAAGCTCACCAATGTGAAGACCTACCAATGATAAGAAGTGGGGATGCAAGACTATATGTGCGGGTTTGTATCACGTCAGCCATGACATTCTCACAGTATACCGTAGTTGATATGAAGTGTCAGGGGTAGAAGAAAGTACCATAGTCTATTCGATTCTTTATGGCCTCTTTCATGACATTCGCACTGGTCGAGACGGCAGTTCGTGCATGGCGAGCCCTGAAACGCTACATCGCATCGGACCTTGCGGGCATGGCAACGTGCGCAAGCTATTGGGGCACGCCGGGCTTGACGAGGCTGTGAAGACAGCATGTTCGTATTATTATTGGCAGACACTTCCATGTCTGCAAGGGTGTGGTCAAGATTATAAGAGTAAATGCCCACAATTACTATCGGGGATGAGGCTTGTGTTCGTGTTGCTATGAAGGCCCTTTCAGTTTCATACGCGACAGTCCCCAGAAATAGCGGGAGTTGTAAAATCGAGTGAGCTGGAATAGCTGACCCGTCTCAAACTTTAGTCGGGTTTTCTGAGATATAGTCTACCGGTTCGCGGTCACTGCGTATCATTATATATGAGGTTCATCTGGTATGTGCTGGTGACGTACAGCAAGCCACAGTGCCTTCTTCAAACCCCTGACAAACGTCAAAAGAGGCAACATTAAATTACAGCATGACGTCTCAAAGTAAGAAAGACTATTCTTTTACATAGCTGTACGCGATGAGTTTTCGTTGTACCTCAGATGATTTAGGGCCTTGATCAAGATCGAACTTGGGTGCCAGAGCTGTTTAAGGTTAAGTGATTCTGCTTTCCCTTACCAAATGCCGAACCAGGGACAACAGGCGCAATTACTAGTCCGGCTGACATAAAGCGGACGAATAACTATCTAGTTACTTAGATTAGGTGTCTTTAAACTCCTCTCTCTTCGGTTCAGCCATTGGCGGTACGTTTCGGAGCCGTACAGGCTCGTCGGCCGAAGCGTTAGGCATTGCCAAACATTGGTCGAATGCAGATGAGAAATCCTCAAAAGCACTGACATCATGACTGTGCTTTCTAGGTTTTACCAGAAGAATTAAAAAGGCACCAATCTCATGGATCTCTCTGCCCCCAAAGTTCTAAATGTGCAGGGCTTTTGTTACCAAGGCTTGCACTCAACACCCCATGACAATGGCTTCACGATATTCTGCCGTACACGAACACCCACAGGGGCCTGGAGATGCCCGTCCAACGGCGCTGCAGATTGTCAAGAACGAAGGCGTTGAAAATGCGTTCGCCGGAAAGGTTATCCTCATCACAGGTTGCTCATCGGGCATTGGTATTCCCACCGTCCGAGCGCTCTAAAAGACGGGTGCCACTCTTTATCTGACTGCACGGGATATCAACAAAGTCAACGAAGCCTTGAGTGACATCATTGACAGTCCCCGTGTCCATGTCCTGCACCTTGACCTCACATCCCTTGCCTCTGTTCAGCACTGTGTTGAGGAATTCACGTCGAAAAGCCCAACATTGAATGTGCTCATCGAAGATGCAGGTGTTATGGCATGTCCAGAGAGCCGAACAGTGGATGGGTTTGAAACACAGTTTGGAAGTAACTACCTCGCACACTTCCTACTCTTTTACAAGCTGAGACCTCTCTTGCTGGCTTCCTCCGCGCCTGACTTGCCTCTCGCGTCATTATTGTTGCCTCCAGCGCCCACCGAATCTCTCCTGTCCACTTCGACAATATTAGTCTTAGCGGGGAGTATGGGCCTTGGAAGGCCTACGGCCAGAGCAAGACCGCGTTAGTGTGGGCCGCCAACGAGATTGAGAGGCAATACGGGCCCCAAGGGCTGCATGCCTTTAGCCTGCACCCCGGTGGGATTCAAACAGAACTGCTCCGCCATGTCACAGATCAACAGAAGGCTGACTGGGCTGACAATGATGTATTGTCGAGGTACTGGAAGAGCCCTGAGCGAGGAGTAGCTACGACTGTGTGGGCATCCGTGGCAAGAGAGCTAGAAGGCCAGGGAGGCAAGTATCTAGACAATTGCCAGATTGCTGAGCCGCACGATCCAAGTAAAGGAGATTTTGCACCGGGCTATGCTCCATGGGCCTATGACGAGAATGGTGCGACAAGGCTCTGGTCTACTACCCTGGAAATGCTGCACCTAGACGCTGAATGACTCCACCCTGCATGTTACTTTGTCACATAATATCAAATATTTAACATACAAAAACAATATGTCCTTATCCATTGCTGGTTTACTGAGATGAACTATGTCAGTAAATCCTTCTACATCCTACCATCATGTTCTTGACTGCACCACTGCTACAGGTCACTCTTCATTTCCGGAACGTGTACCTAGGTCCTAGGCTGGAACATGTAGCCACCAGAGTCTACCAGGGGACTTCAGGGAACTGCGGCATATCAGCTAAAGCCTGTGCGGGTTCAGGACGGAGGTATATTTCTACACAGCTATAACATATATATATGTATTTATTACCTCAATTTATTAGTTCTTTAGAAAGTCTCAATGGTCAAATACATATACATATTTTATTGCCTAGGGAATTCTGTCTGACTGCTGATAGGTCTGGCATAGGAGATCCGCCAGCTGAGCAGCAATTGGGGGTTACATCGAGAGCGAATTAATTGAATTATAGCGGACAGGCCGAAGCTTTCGGGAGAGCATCGTTGCTTCCTAGGGTGGGACTGAACCCTATCAGAAACAAGAGTGGAGACCGGGGTGATCAGCTACAGGCGTCTGCGCTTGCACCGGTCAACAACAAGACGTGTTTAGCGTGTGATACAAGACGGGGTTCCCTGTCACTCCAGCCTCCTTATGATTTTCTTCTCTCTGGTCGCATCTTTCCTGGGTTCTGTCCATGCCTCAGCTTCTTCGACAGAATGTTGTCCCGTCGCAGAACCATCGTTGCGGCCTTCCTGGCCGCTTCCTGGCCGCTTTCTGCCTCCTTAGTGCACATTATTTCTGGCATAAGGAGCCTCCAAATCTAGTACGTCCACTACAAGAGAGACGGTCTCGCTTATGGCAGCATCTGCATCCTTTACTGAAAAAGTATGTGCCCGATTGTCCCAAACCGATCCAGAACGGCAGCCCAGGTCTCCCACGATTTGACGCAATACACGAGACCCCTCGCCAAAATCTCCTTACCAACGTGGATGAAATACTACAGCCCATGCAATCAGCCCACGATGGCGTTGTTCAGGCCATCCAGAATTTTGACATCGGTGATGCTTTCGTTCCGGGAACAGTAGGAATAGTGTCATCGGCCGGAGGCACATATTTGCCTACTTTCGTGGTGTCTCTATCGTTGCTGCGCCGGACGGGATCGACGTTGCCAGTGGAACTCTTCATGAAGGATCGGACAGAGTATGAAGGGCATATTTGCGAGGTGGTTTTACCCCAGCTGGGGGCAAAGTGCTTGGTGCTCTCTGAGATACTGGCAGATGGGAATGAGACCAAGAGCATCCAGCCCATAGAAGGGTTTCAGATCAAGTCGTTCGCCATGCTTTTCTCTTCTTTTGAGAAGTTCCTATGGCTGGATGCCGACTGCGTTCCTCTGCATGACCCCATGGCACTCCTCCAGTCTGAACCTTTCCCATCCACCGGCCTAGTCACTTGGCCAGGTATATTTCAACATTTCGCGTCAGCCCGAACCCCCTTCGACAACACGACAAGCTACCAAAGCCGGGGTAATTCTTGTCTCCAAGTCAACTCATACCCGCAGCTTGCTCCTTGCTGCGTACTATAATTACTACGGACCTAACTACTATTACTCGCTACTCGGGCAAGGTGCACCGGGCGCAGGCGACAAAGACACCTTCCTCCACGCGGCGACTGCCCTAAACCAGAGCTTTTACGCCGTCGGTGAAACCGTGGTTGATCTCGGAAATCTGAAGCCCGGAAATCCCCAGGCCGCGATCAATGCAGGATACGTCCAAGCAGATCCGATCCAGGACTATGATCTGACAAGCCAAGGGAAATGGCGAGTCCGGGATCCGTCCGTGGCGAAGCCGCCTCGTGTCTACTTTATTCATGCTGGTGCTCCAGAATTCAACCCAGGGAAGGAGCTTCTGGGGCCGAAGCTGCAGGGGTTTGATGGAAGTCCAACGAGGTTGTGGACTTATCCACCAGAGGCTATGAGACGGCTCGGGTTTGATGCTGAGCGTATATTCTGGGAGGAGACTATGTCTGTAGCGTGCACAATGGAGTCCGCCTTTGAGACTTGGAATTCTAAAAGTGGACTTTGTGACACCGTCCGGGCCCACTGGAAGGCCGTTTTTGAGAATCCGGATATCAAGGTGCCAAGGCTTACTGATAGCTAGATTCTTTCTATCCACAAATTCTCCTTTCAAGGCATATCCGTGCCAATCATGCTGTGTACATTGTGTGACCATTGCAACCAACAGACTAACTTAGTAACTCATGGTGAACAGGCCATAGCAAAATATTCCAAAATGAGATGAAACGAGGAAAGGAAAACACAGAAAAAGAATATCGAAACACAGGATACCATACTATTCCTTATATTTCGATATCATTCACATCAGTGGTCACCAAGGTTTGCTCCAAGACATCAAAGTTCCCGGCGGCTCCAGCCTGTCTGGAATTTGGTCTGATTAAACCGGGGTAACACGTGGGCTTCGGTGTTGAAAACCACTTCAGTGAGCGGGAGAAATTCCCTTGGAGAGAAAAGAAGGTATAAATACTTCAAGGTCTCGGTCTACAATGAGTTAGTACTACCCAACTCCGAACTCCGCGGGTTATGGCGAGAGATTGTGCATTTTACCAGCCAAAAGCTTTCCATATTATCACGTTGTGGTGTGGGGACCTTGGTGACATCCTGCAATGATGTGTATCCTTCGCCATCTTTCACTACCATGTGTTCCTTGAACGCCTTGAAGATCTCCCATCCCCACTTTCGGTAGATGGGATCGTTGGTCACACGATACATCAAGAAAAGACTTTCAACCGTTTCTGGTCGCTGCAGATTATGTGCATCCAGAGGTTTGATATTCAAGTCTTGCTCCCAGGAGGACTTGTCGTTGTTACTTCTAGCCATGGGAGGTGAACGAGATGATGGCCCCATATCGGCCTCGTCGACCTCAAACCAGGTAATCTCCGGAGCTAGACCAGAGGCCGTGACTGCATACATCGCCCAGCATGTTTTCATAAGCTCCCGTGCCAGTTGCATCTGTTGCTCTTTCTGAGAGTTCCAGCCGGGCAGATTTCGCGCCTCCTTCTCAGTCAGTCCTTCAGTCGCGCCGATCACGATGGAGCCCGGTAAGAAGCAAACAAGATGATCCATTTTAGGGGATAATGGTCCACCTATACCATGTGGCAGCTCAGCAATAAACTGAAGCTTTGAATGCTTTGTACAGGTCACTAAATGCTTTTGTATCCCGGCCAATGCTTCGTCCCACATCTCACGGTAAACTGGTTCCTGTCCGGAAGTCTGTAAGTATTGTTTGATTAAGTATTCTGTATTCACATCAGCCCCTTCCTCTTCCAATTAAAGGGTTGCCATGGGAGTCTACCATAGTATGAATCCCCGCGACTTCCAAGACGAATTTCTTTGTACCTGAAGTGTCCAGTATCTGGGTGCACAAAGATTGGGTGAAGGCCATCCTGCATGCGATGATCATCTATAACCTTCATGACGTTTTCGGCCTTACGCCAGTAAACCTCTTTATCGGTGAGGTGGGCTAGATACTTCATCTCCAGTTGGAGTGTGGTGACTTCAGCCGTAGATGAAGCGCCACCATCTGCATGAGAGGGAAGGCCTTTTCCGGTCCCAATATTAACGCTGGCATATGGGATCCCTGATGGGGAGTCATATGCACCAAGCAGCCGATCCGCTAGATCGACAGCTCTGGACAGATATATATAGTCCCGGCGGGAGGAAATGTCCGGAAGCAAATTAGACAAGTAATGAGCAGACAGGAGCCCTCCAAGCATGCGGATGGTCATCTCAAAAGTGTTCACATCCTGATCTTGATTATAAGTCAAGTCACGGTTAAGCCACTTCCGGGCGTCGGAAAGCTGCGCGGTCAGGTTCATAATCATCAATGTATCTAGGCTGTCGACGATGATCCACCCTAGACCGCTGGGGCTCATTTGTGAACCAGTTTTGGAGATGGGATGAAAGCGATCCTGCCCTGTTCGAGGTATCAGTGATATTTATTCGCGCAAGGTGGTCCATTGACCTTTCCAGATACTGTTGAGACAACACGACGAAGCATATATCAGGAGAAAACCTACCCCAGGCATACTTAGCGTAAGCATCCCAACTAATCACGAAAGAGTCTTTGACCTTCTCCCGGTGACTAGACCAATAGCTGTCTTTGTCGATGGGTCGAAGAAAGTCCAAAGACGTTCCCCAGCCTCTGGTTTGAACGTGTCTTCCTATTATTAGGGCTAGTAAGCTGGTAAATACATATTTACCAGGCCAACTTAAGCCAAGCAAAGGACACCATCGAGAAGCTCTGGGTTTCTGTGACTGTGCACGCTTTTGCTTCCGCCGAACAACCTTTGATGACATTATTTCTGACAGGATATCTGATGGAAGGGATTCGGGCTTGGGGCAGTCAAATAGGGGCCTGTGGAGTAGGAAACAAAGAGAACAACCGACGGAATTAACGCCGAGGGACTTGTCCCACTCTATGATTTTATCGTGTGTCCAATATGCTTGGATGTGATTGGCACTTAGCCCTAGTGTTGTTGTGCCGTGACAAGGGTTTTTCCCTGGTTTTGGGCTTTTGTCGATCATTGGAGTATGTTGTCGCACCTGAGCTATTAGTAGATGCAGCACCAAGAGGAGTCTAGCGCCTGCACTACATTAGCTCTACACCGGTCTTAGGAAACTAGGCTCCCTCGAGGGATCTCCGACTCGCCAAAAGAGCTTATTAGGCGCCCGGCGTTGAGACGAAGGTTTGTTTATTTTCTAACCCGTTAGTCCCCACCCCCCTTTGCTTCCTGATACTCCCTTCCGCGTTGATGTTATATACTATATCCTATTCGGAATATGACTTCTTGAGCTAATTTTGTCTTTACAGGTGAGTCATAAATCATCAATAACAGAAAGGGATTTCTCTTCGCACGTCCACTTAACGGAGATTCCACGACAGTGTACTGGGAGAAGCCATCTGTGTGGCCCAATGTCGGTGACGTTGTATCCAGCTGAGACGAGCGATGGCACAGTCACATCATTTATTCCTCTCACCACAGTGTGGCTCCCCCCTTCAGGATGTGCAAGTTACTTTCGCTTGAATGGACCAAGTCTAGTAGCCTGGGACCCTGGCTACGGACTAGATATCGATACAAATGTGAGATGTGCACCCTCAGCAGTAACAACCTGGTGGGAGCAAGGAGCGTTAGGTGGTGGAGGTTCCGAGCATACAGCAGTCAGCATTGGCCCTCTCACATGCCCCGAGAACTTCTCAACCGTTGCGTCTTCTGTCAAAAATGGTTCTAGTACGCTAGCCATGTGCTGTCCTTCGTGAGTTGATGCATCGCTTGATTTTCTAGATGGACACTGTCATCTGATACTCGTCACATCAGAGGATATTATCTGGCAAATAGAACGCCAGGTAAAGTCAATGGAGACTGCCTATCCGACGTCTCCTCCGGTATGACCCTTACTTACGCATCAACCCCTTATAGCGACAAAACTGCCTGGAAAACAGAGACTACCACGGTGTCCAAAAGCTCAACGGTTGGCGCAATTGCCGTGGTTGGATGGAACATCAGATTCGCGACCCCGACTCCCACTTTGACACCCACAGCCACGTCAACAACGACCTCTGGCACCCGCAGCGCCTCCTCCGAGACAACCACCAGTATCACCACCTCATCGACACACGGTGATCTCACAATAGGCGCCAAAGTAGGCATTGGTGTAGGGGTAGGAGTTGGTGCAATCGGTGTGATAGCATTACTAGTCGCGTTATATTTCTTTAAGCACCGAAAGCGCCGAGCTCCGGCTGAACTGCCGGCTGAACTCCCTGCTCCGGACCCAAGACAGCCCCCCATGTATCAACCAGTTTGGCCGCCTGTCCCAATTGCAGAACTTCCAGCGACAAAGGTTCGTCCTGGTCAAGGGTCTATGGCCCCTGCGGAGTTGGGAGGCTGACGTCGGATTATGGGTGGTAAACATGGTATGACAGGCCCAATACCCCACGGTGCTTTTGTATTTTATTTTACGGACAGGATATTTGATACTAGTGATTAGTATGAGTATATTCGTGTGTATTAGCATTATAATGTACAATTGTTGAAGTGAAGAACCACTATTACGGGGTATAACAAGCTTCTCCATACTCTCTGGGTGGTGGTTTCTGATGGCGCTCGATACTATGGTATACATCTTGGAAAATGATGCTTAGTGTGTACAGTAAAGAAGCGTTGGGAATTACGTGGAAATGCCAATGACAGTTTGAATCGGTCAAGTGAAGTCGTGATAAAAAACAGCTTCGTATTTTCATTAACAGGTTTTTACCATACAACAGGCCACGCCTCTGAACCTTTTATACCTGGAACGGTCGACAAAGGTTTAGACTGAGTGAATACGTTTGCATCGTCAATGAAACATGCCTTTGGTCACGTTAAATCCAACCATTGCTCAAAGTGTTCTAGGGAACAGGACTCTAAAACGCTGCGTGCCAAGCAATCCAAGCGCTATATCCACAAATTAAGCTTAACCTTGGGTTGAATTGTGGGGATGAGTGGGGCCGCACATTCAAAACTCTAATCTTGTTACAGCTGTGGGGCTCATGGCTTTGGCCCCCAACGGCAAAGCGGGTCTTGTTTAGTGTTAAATACGAATACCTTACCTATTCGCAACTATTTATAGGTTTAAGATTACCTTTTGTCCCAGGTAGGTTATAACGAGTGAACACTGTAAGAAGCTTGGGAAAACCATAAGAATGCAGCATGATGGACCCTGGTCGGCTTCATTACTAGGTTACTTCAACAAATTGCGAGAAGGATCGGTGTTGCCAGGTGGTTGTCGTAATGTTCGACGATAGATTTGAAGATACAATACCACCGGCTTAGCACGTTGTGTACTGCCCCTTTGGCAGGAGAACGGGTTTCTCTTTACCAAGGAGGGACTGGTTGCGATCGGTAGCATGGTGACGGGGAAATGAATGTTCGTCATATATTCATCTGCACTTCGAGCGACTATACTTATATTGTTAGGCGTCCTATTCTGTTAATTTATATGCAGTCAGCAGCCCCTCTTTGGGTATGTTGGAGAGGCGGCGCATGGGAGGGGAAGAAAGTTGTCGTAATAAGAATAAAGGGTAAGTGCTCTAGAAAAGAGTGTCAAGATACGGTACCTTTTATTTTCTATCCGAAGTTAACTATTCCTGTAAGATTCTATTGTTCTATTTCAAAATACGTTAGCCATGGAGAGACCTTTCTTATATGAAGATGTCGAAAGCTTTAAAAGAAAAAGGAAAACAACAAAAGCAAGTCACAGAATGTAATCCTCAAAAAGACTGAGTAGGGAAGAGATATATCAAGGAACATTCACGAGCCAGGCCACATGTTTAGCAAATTGTATGAACTGCCAAGCAGAAAATAACCCCAGCATGAATGTCTGTTCATAGTTGACTTTGTGAAAGTCGTATCAGGTGTCCTTCAGTGCAAATCGCCTTTTTGTCGATATGAAGCAATAAAATTGGAAATAGATTTAGGTTGCATGGATCTTGAGCCGTCCCACCGTAGCCATCTTCATCAGCACACGACCAAGGCCAATTGGGTTCAACTGCCCAGGCAAAGAGATTTTTTAGTTTGGCCAACAAGAGTAGGAAAGGTATCCATCCTCTACTTGCTCAAATCTATCCAATTTCTCCAGGTAGCTTCATCATAAGAGGTTCCTGGCATCCACCACTGACATGCTTTTTTAGCTCGGGCCTGGTCCGAACAATCCAATCAACTGATCCATAATTCAGCCTCGCGTCTAATTCCAACCGTTCCATCTCCCTGACATCCGGGCGTAGGTTGCCATTTGTGAGATATAACTGGGAGAAGGAAGGAAAACTGCAACCTCTTATTGGGGGTGTGATTTCCAAGCTGGAAGGAGTCCGTAAGCGAACACGTCAGATACACCTTACGTATACCGGTGTGCACCGTACTAAAGGTTGCCTCTGACAAATCTAATTTAAGATTGGCGAGATATAGACTGGGACTCAGGCACAGTGCCCCACATCATGTGATATGTCCTGGGTTCCTATATCTATGCAACATGCCCAAAAAGGGTGGACGCATCGTCAACATGTTAACCGGTGCGGCTGGATCGGAGCTGATTTCGGGCGCGTATGGACCACAGAAAGAGGAGGATGTACACATTGTTCAGCTCAGTTGGAGTTCTATGTCTTGTTAAGACCATATCTCTGCTTACTTACTTTCTTTTGAATAACCTATTTTACTTTAGCCCGAAAGTATGAATGTATCGGATGCTTATCCAGGACATCAGACTGGCTGGAATATTCAGTATACAGCACTGTAATTCTAATCCGCAGTCACATGTGATGGATAGATAACTTGTCGCGAACAGACTGGGATATAGGCCGGGGTGGTATTAATTCCTTATTCAGAGGCTCTCAGCTGTGATGATCAGTATTTTCATTCATTCTAATTTTCTGAATCTAGAATCCAAAGAGGCTCGCCCCTTCGGCGGCCCGGATGCATCCCGCAATCCTACAGGATCGAAGGATTCCGCTCAGCTATTAACCTTACTCACGCGAGCAAGGTAAGCAGGTATAAGGATGCTGATTCGGACACCATGCATAATGTGGATTGGTCATGCGGAGGATATTATCAATAAAAATTGGTTTGAGCGATGGTATTGGAAGTATGCTGGCAGTTTGGGTTGTCTGCCTCCTTCTACTCCGTCAGCAGGTTGTATCAGACGACACACTCTTTTCCTTCTTGTATATCGATTCAGTTAGTAGACCATCACTTCTTATCATATATAAGACTGCTCCTCACCAGTTCCTAGATACACTACTTCTCTCCTTGGACTTTAACAGACCAAATCTTGTCCAGTTCCAGATAGTCACCCTTCTTTCCCGTCTTTCTGACACGCTTGCGCTTTTGAAGTCTCCATCAGGCACATAATCAGGTATATCCTCCACCTATATCTCATCAAGTCACACCGCTTCTTATAGGCCCAATCGCTAAGAAGATACACCACTTTACCAGGTTACCTGACAAACAAGCCCAGAAGACCTTCCATCTTCCCGAAACCGCCATAGAACCCTCTGCCAAGATGTGCGTCAAGTATAACTGTGGACATGCCCTGTACTGCGACACTCCCTGTTCCAAAGTCAGGGATATTGGCTGCCGATGTTCTAGCTGCGGTTTTCCGTGAACGAGAGTAACCATCCGAACGATGAATGAAGCGCCTAGAATTTGCGCAATCGTGGGACAGAATGAAGAACGAGGATGCCGTGAATAGTGAAAGGGTAGTGGATAGTGAATATGCCCCTATCTAGAGGGTGAACGAAATCTGCTGAGGGAACTGCTTCACGGAAGTCACTGTCATTATAGCGCAGACACTCGTTTTTTGGCAATATTGTTTATTATCTGAATTTTCTTTAAGCACTAATACCGCGCCTATGTCCTTGAACATTGTGAATCCATTGTAGGGTTCCTTTTGGGCGTGAGTCATTGCTTGGACGTGAGCGGCTAGTTGGATAGTGGTCAGGGGTCCTTCGGTTTTGGAACGTATATCATAATATTACCGAGGGATGGTTGAACGGAGTTTCTAATACTTTCTTCTTGACTAATGGGTAGACACAGTAAACCAAGGCCTGGCAGATATGTTTGTGGTAGCACGCGGTGGAATGTCCTTTTCGTACATAAAGCACGAGTGCGGAACCCAAGGATACAAATTGTAGCGTTTTAGGTCCGCTGCGCGTTCACAGCATTGAAAAGAGTCTTACTAAAATTTCTTACGTATACCGATGTGATCATGTGTCAGAGACAGCAGCCCTGCGCTCTTGACCAACTCCCCTCAACTGCATATGTTTGTCTCTATTTCAGTCCATTGGGAGGAGCACTAACTATCTAGCCGTCACATCAATGTTCACGTACTAAATGGTGCAATCTCTGCTGCAGACAATTGTTACAATAGTTTACCTCGTTTTTATGGATCGAAGTAGAAACTAGCTGTGAACAAGACATGTCATCAAAGGAGATTAAACCCCGGGGTCTCTTTTATGGTTATTGTCATCTTTATTCTTATTTTTTTCGTTCCCACTAGTGGCCTTAGTCGAAAAACAATCAAATCAAAAGTCTAATCCTGAGGTCGGATTGGCATCAATCCACTTCCCTTGTCGACGCCAATCTCAACGCTCTCGCATATCGCGTATTTCATAACGACGGATGCAACTGCTAGAAAGCTCACAACACATTACTCGGGTGATTAGTGAGAGCCATACTCAGCCTATCGTCTCCATCCCAGCTGCCCATCATTGACTCTTGAGGTGAAGCGATAGTCTAAGAATGTGGAGTGAATCGGTGTGATTCATACTCGCAGCTATTCCTGATAATCCCCATCTTTTTCATCCCGACTGTTTGGGCATGCAAATTGATATGCGCGATCAACAGCATCATCTCGAATTCCTTCAACCAAATGACATCGAAACTCTTCGAGGTCCAGGTAGAACTTTCGTGACGCATCGAAGTTTGGAAAGCTATCATGGCAGCGTAAAGGGATTACATCGCCAGCGTAGATAGGAGGTAAACCTCCGGTGAGCTCAGGGAACACTCGCTAGTAAAGGGTCATCAAAGTTAGCTGTGTCTGCAACCAAAGGAGAATATTATAGGTGAAGTGCTCACAGCACGGCCTCTTCTGTAAGGTTTAGAGTCCTTTAGCACCCAAAATTCCAAATCGGCGGTAATTGGACCAATCCAATCCTCGACCTTTACAACATCAACAATATCATAATCAAGTTCCTTAGCCGGGGTGCTGGGGATCTCTGTTGCTCGGTCTTGGTGAACATCGTTACGTGCCGCCAGTGACAGAATAGCGGAATGTTTACTTTGTCCAAGCGGGTTCCCGAAGTCTTTCAGAATCTTAGCAGCACGGGTTCTGAATGCGTTAGTCTTCTGGTGGTTCCGCAGCTGTTTCTTATCCTCATTGAAATCTGCCAGGATAACAAGCTGAACTTGGCCACGACCATGGAGCAGCCATTGCTTCATATCAAGTATAAGATCGTCATATGTTTCACTGAATGCCGATTCAAAGATAACAGTACGATAGCGACGGTATGTCCGTAAGTCAGAGAAAAGAAATGATAGGTCAGGGGACTTCCTTAATGCCTGATACTTGGTGCCTTTTTCTTTGATTTTACCATCAAGATACAGTGAGGGAGTTCCAAGCCGGAGACCTCTGGCTTCTTCCGGCGTAAGGATCTCGTTCTGCAGTCTCTGGAAGGACCAACTCCCAAATGTCCCCAAGGCTTCATGGATACAAGAAGTCATTGCATAAATAAACAGATAATCTTCCTCGAAGTAGTATCTCGCTCCAGCGTTGTCAAGAAGCTGCGTGATCTGTCTGGAGTGTATCAGTTCGTGATCGAGTGGAAGGTCAAAATGGGATTCCCGATGGCGGCTTGAGAGATAGGTCTTGATCGTTCTGATGGTCTTGTCTAACTTTTGTTGGACTTCATCCTCGGGTGTGCCTTGTCTAGTGAGACCCTGTACGAGTATACGTGCCTCAGATACCGAAGCCTGGGACGTTGAAGTGACCGACGACATGTTTGAAGGAGCTGTCAAGGAGCGAAACAAAGCGGACTCGGAAGAAGGAGGCATGATGATCAATAGTTGCGGTATGCAAAGGTGGAAGGAACGATAGAGGAGTTGGTGTGAAGTTTTGGTCCTTGGAATCACATGACATTGGGAAGTGAGATCAGATGAGATCATGATTCGCTTATGGCTTTGCTCTTGTAAGTTCGGATATCTGGTACAAACCGGAATCTGCTTTTGGGAATCTTCCTTTTGTTTGGCCTTCTTCTGGTTGGATTGTAAAGGCAGTGGAACCTGACATTTATTAGTGTGTCTTTGTCTTTGATGAAAGAATGCCAACTCACATATGTCTGGTACAAAAACTGATCGAACAGCAAGTCCAGACGACCATAGACCTTCTCGAACGGTGCCAAGTTGAGCTCTAAGGACTCATTATTGATAGCTGACGCGGGTGTAACGTGCTGAGGGGACGCCGGGGAGTCTTCAATGTTCTATTCAGAGCTCATTTTGAGTCCGTTGTGTCTGTTGAAGAGGAGGTTAGAGGACGATTCTTTCCTAACTGGTTGAGGAGGCATTTCTGCACCAACACCCCAGAATGCATGACTTACAATTAAAACTGGTTGCTGAGGCGTGAAGACAGAATCCGACAATATCTAGGATGTGTACTTCATGCGATGAACAACAATAAGGAGAAGGCAAAAGACTTGCGTACTAGATGCTTATGGAGATTGGATGAAAGACGTGAGATGGGAGATAAAGCAGCTGAGGTGGGAGATGCAAGATATGGGAGGAAAAGGCGACAACCAAGTCGGTGCAAGTGGAAAATGATGAAAAGTAGAGGAATGATGATTTGAGAATGGCGCACTACTCCACGCTTCAGAAAAGAGGACTCTCTCTGTCTACAGCTATTGTGGGATCAAGTTCCCCTGGTCCCATAATCCGCTGGTGTCGATGACAGAAAGGTGGTGAAATGATATATCTTCAGTAAAGATATTGGACGATTTCATATTCGGGTAAAGCGGTGTTGTGTTGGGCATGTTTCTGTTAGTCACGAAAAATTATTTATCAGTACCCTAATCCGACCTGGCCGAAAATATAAATAGAAAAAATAACTAAGTTTCTACAGTCTCGAGGTGTTACCGGGAACAAGTTTATAGATTAGAATTCACTTGGCTCATAGTGAATAAGAATACGCCACATACCCCAACTGATACAATTTGCCCCCCGAATGCTGTGTTCATTGTACCTTATGCCAGGGAGCATTGGTATACGATTAGGGAGTATTACTCCTAACAAACACAAGTGAAAGCTGTACTCACTCACGCAGAGAAGATTTTACTTTCTGGGCAAAGCCCCCTGATGATTTATAGTGAATTTGCCTTGTAGATCACTTGTGTTTCTCTTCACTTAGCTCTCTACCTTAGCCTCTCATTGAATCTGGATCCACCCTTGCCCTCCCAGATATGGCCTAGTGTCTTCACCTCAATCACCTGTTTCTTTTCACTAAAACTATCTCACGTCCTACAGACACTCCTAGCTTACCATTATCTTCCCACATTCTCCCCCGTTTAGTCTCGTCTTCCCATATGGGGAGAACGCCATGGGCTCTTTTACTGGCCTGTTTCTGTAGCCGCCTGCTGAGGTTGCCGATATGTCGTTTAGGGAACGGTTCGGGAAAGGCGATTAATCACGAGATGAGCTGCAAGATACCCACCTCGTTGTGCACTTTGTGACCAATGGAGGTATTTGAATTGGCCTTGACTATGCCGCACCGTTTCTCACAAACGAAGACGGGAAACTCCTGTTCCCCGCTCGCACCGTCGCGCTAAACCTGACCGCAAATCCAGAGAGTCGAAAAGATATAGCATTCCTATTGAATGCCAGATGGATAGACTATACTTCGGAGGATGCACAGAACAAGCGTAACAATGAAGAAGCGCATAGGCTCCAACGCCAGGTGTTTGATTTCCCGAATAATGCCACTTGGAATATAGGCCCGTACCGAAATCAACAGGGGAAGGCACTGACTCAATGGGGAATGTTCATGGCGAGGGAGAATACCAAACGCGAAGGCAATGGCATTATGGACCATCACGCCCAAATATTGTTCGGAAAGCACGACAAGACTAGGATTATCTTCACATGTGCCTCTTTCCTGGAGTACCAGGGGGAGCTGGAAATCACGCAGTCAGTGTGTCTGCCAAACCTCAGCTTGTTGCCTTTATCAAGGTAACATGCTCCGTTATAATGACACTGGTGAAATTCAAGTTGCCGCCCTCCGAGCATGGAGCGTAGAGCAGTTCGTTCCTCGGGATGCGACGGTCATTAAGATTGGTTCCAACCATCCAATAAGCTCAGCCTGAAGAAGGAGTTCTGCACTGCCATCGTGATGCCCAACATATTCAATCTGCCGTACGAGTCGAGTGCCCTATTCTATATGCCTGAGGCGAACTTTGGCTTCTGCCACAAGTTCGCCGTCGAGGTTAGCTTGTTAATAATAACTGAAAGGTCAGTTGGAATTCGTTGCTGGTATACTCTTCGTGTCTTGAGCCCATCTCACAACTTCCACAGCTCTAGACTATTTCTCTTAAAATGGCTACCAGTGATGCAGGATTCTGCCCATTAACAGAATATGAGGAACCATACACCCCTACACTGATCTTGCGTTCCTGACTTCCCATATAATTTCGACAGTTCTTGGGCACCATATTTTCTTTTCTAAACTTTTAGTCTTTTGGAATCTGTATTTACGTCAGATGCGGCGTAGCTTATGACTGATAGATTTAATTTCTGATTTTTGACAGCAATTTGCGGAGGCAAAATTTCATTCAGCCTTGGAACCTCTCCCAACATACTCGATTCCATAGCACCCCAGCACAACAACGGACAGTGCATGGCTATCGGCCCGGGACTCATATTCCTTCCTATTGACATCACGTCTTTTATTGAGTTTGGGCTATGAGATCGGGAGAGCGGTTCAGTATTTCGATACCTCTATGTTTGGGGCAAATTCAGGGTTCTATCAAAAGTTTGCCATCGAGGTTGGACACCGTGTTATCTTCCTTCCCACAGCGATCAGCATCAGGTTTCTAGCCGCACGGACATGGCAATATGTGGATGCGATCAGAGCAACTATGGTCGAGAACCATGCTAGCTTCCTGGGGCTCTCTTCTGAATCCTAATTTCATGAAGTGGGTCATGATTATTGACACGAGAAGCAAAGGACGGACTCAAGGAAGAGCAATCCCTAGGCACAGAATTGTACACGGATGAATTCTCTTCTAGTCTATATGTACTCCAACGCTAATGCAATTATGTGATGTGTTGAATTCTTGATTCAACCTAGCCAGTAAAGACTCGGTTTTCAAAGCAAGCACTGATAAAAGATTGGGAAACAGTCACGGCCCTCTGTGATACTCAACCTGCTCGAGGCAAGAATTACAGTACCAAAGCCAGGTGAATCCATGTACCTCTTAGGCCACGAGGACCCCGAATAGATTCTGGTGGGGCTTTTGCAGTTAAAGCTTATTCCATCATTTGCGCAGGGACTGAGCTTGATCAGTACTCTGAACACACGATGAGGTGTCAGCAGTCTCCATATCAGACTTCTCCTTTGCGATGACTGTGCACTATTATTCAGAATGGATGCTGCTACATGAGAAAAATACAAGAAATAAAATTGAGCGAAACAAAGCACATCTGTTTGCTTTGGTGCGCTGGGGAATCAATACAGTTTTCGCAATAGCAAGGTTTTAGGCAGCACAGCCTCGTAATCCCGCAATCCTTCGGCCACCGAGACAATTTGGTAGCCTTGTATTGGCCTGTCAAAATACTTAACACACGTTTAACTATTAAAAAGCTTGTTTCGCTGGCTCCAATGAGAGTAGGCCTTGGCTGGTTGAGGCTCTTATTCTGTACAGCAATGGGTGCAGCCTTCGGATATGTACGAATAGGGGACTGTGTCCTTCTATATTTTGTTATCTACATACGTGTTCAAAGCGACTCTAGAATGTTGTTTCTAACTATCAATCTAGTATCTGTTAAATGTCCTAAGTGCTTGTCGCCGTATATTAAGGTATAGCCCCCCTCCATGATAATATTATCTTCATACTTATCCCCGAATTTAAATTATTATCCCAGACCTGTTACCATCTATCCCACAATGGCTTCCATTCCAGTCTACACACAGCGAAGCACCGAAACGCTCCTTGATATAGCTACCGATGTTATCCAGATGCTTGGCCAGGCTGACCAGACACTTGGAGTCGCAGAATCACTAACTGCAGGTGGTGTGATGGCCGCACTCACCTCTGTGCCAGGCTCAAGCGCAGTCTTCCGGGGAGGGGTTGTGTCCTACGCAACGCCTCTCAAGCAGCAGCTCCTAGGCGTGGAATCAGACCTGATCGCTACTATGGGTGTAATTGACCCCAATGTCGCAACCCAGATGGCCGAAGGCGCTCGCAAAATCACAACTTGTGACAACACCCCAACAGCATGGGGAATTGGGACAACGGGAGTTGCTGGTCCTGCGTCTCAGGATGGAAAGCCTGTTGGCACGGTATACATCGGCATTGCCTCACCTACTGGTACCCGAGCTTGGGGTCCCTTCAACTTCCCTGGAACTCGTGAGCGTATCCGCGAAGCAACTGTGCTGGAGGCCTTGTCTCGACTGCGTGAAGAGCTTGTTGCTTACCGGGATGGTGTGAGAAAATAGGAGAGGATTAATGCGTGGTTTGTCATAGCTCTCACGCCTCGTTCAATGCCCACAATTTTGCCTCGTACGATTAACCGAAAGGGTTAGAAGCATAAAGTACCAGGCAGTATATAATGTGAGGAAGAATGCTGTATATAGTTAGTGATATCATGTTACAAGTAGCACAAGTGTTGACTCTAGCTCACGGACACCGTGTAACAGCATGCATCAGTTCAACCAGCAGTGTACCTACTACTTCAATCATACACGTGGTTAGACTCGAACACAAAAGACATTCTATACTAAATGTTCTAGGCGGTGAGGGGACTAGTATAGCCTCAGGCATACGGAAATACCCCGGTCCGCGCCCAGGCACTTACTTACCGCATCCGTCCGAAGGCGGGGGAAGCATGTCGTTCAGTGGTTGGAACTCAATTCATATCTCGGATGGACGACAATCTGAAGGATCAACTAAAGCCATCCAGATGCTTCTGAATAAAGAAAATGATGCTCTTTATTCTTGCCATTCCGTTTGGGTACGTATTTTGCATCGATGGTGCAATGTTCGTCTTTGCTAACTCGCTCGCAGGACTCGGCCAATGCCCGGTTGTCAGCATGTGCCATGCGATATGTCTCTCTCATTCCGGGCATCATAGTCTTAGTCATTGGATTGAGCCATGCGCTCAATCGTTCTTCCTTGGTCCGCTGTCCAAAATGGATGCGGCCTTTCGTTGCTGAACAGCCACCATGTCCTGAGCTGCCATCAGAGAGGCCAAGACAAAGAACGGGATGGGTGATTGCCCTTCTTGCGTTCTCAACAGTTGGATTCGCAGCTGAGCTCACGAAAATTGTGCCATACGCGCCCACGCCGACCAATATTATTCTCCTAGTATCTTGGGTAAGTCACGGCTATGGTTTGGCGTAACGTACACTAAGTGGAAGCGACGATCTAGGCAGTTGCAATTGTTTTGATCGCCATAGAACGCCCAAGGTCCTGTCCAGTATCGATGCTGTCTTTCTTTGCTGCAGAGCTGGCCGTAGAAACGGCATTCATATTAAATCGTGACGCTTATGCAGTATCGAGGGTTTATACTCATTACATTGCCGCTAGTGCTGCCGCTGCTGCCTGCGCAACTATCCTCTGTATGCCATTTCGCGGACCCTCACTTCCCCGCGTTGATATTGGCGTCGTGGGCCAACCGCCATCGAGCAAATTTCGCAGCCCCGAGGACAACTTACGACTTTGGCAATTTCTTACTGTGTCTTGGATGGCCCCGCTGATGGCAGCCGGCAAGAACAGACAGTTAAATGAGGATGATGTTTGGTTCTTAGGTTTCGAGTTTCAGCATCGTAGACTGCATGAACGGTTCCGCCAGCTCCGTGGATCTGTCATATCTAGGCTCCTTCAAGCAAATGGCATCGATGTCCTGATCATTACCGGAATCTCTACGGTGCAGATGCTTTGTGGTTCGTGTCTCATTCCTCCGTGATCTTGGCTGGTGTTAATCAGCCTTACAGACTTTTCAACGCCCGTGCTTCTGCAACAGCTCCTCAAGGCAATGAGCGACCCTAACGCACCAAAACGTGTTGCCTTGACATACGCGTTGCTGTCAGTAGTGCTTCGTTTGGTTGCAGCACAGTCTCAGGTATTGAACCTTTGGTACGGTAGACGCTGTTACGAACGGAGCAGAGGTGAAATGATCATGATGGTATATGAGAAGGCATTATCGAGGAAGAATATCTTCGATCAACAAATTGCAGAAAGAGGGAGCGAAAACGAGCGCCAGCAAAGTGAGGACAGTAACGGTGAAGTGGCGCCCAATACTAAACAGAGGAAGCTCTGCGGACTATTTCCGCTGCGACGGGCCACTAGTAAAGAAAAAGGGAAGACCGCGGCTTCCATGGGAAAGATATTCAATTTGTTACGTGGAGATGTCTACGAGGTGGCCCAACGGTTCTGGGAAGTCGACACTTTGGTCGACAAACCCCTCGGTCTTGTCATTGCCACGGTCCTCGTCTGGAAATTGCTTGGGCCCTCCTGCTTTCTCGGGATCTCCGCTATCCTGATAGCTCAGATCTTAAACGCTTTCATAACACGTATGCTCCTTCGATGGGAAAGAGTGCGCAGATTAGCAACAGATACTAGACTCCAGATATCGTCTCAGTTCGTGGAGGCCCTTCGCCATCTTCGCTGGTATGGCTGGCAAAACCATTGGCTCAGTCAGGTTATGGATGCCAGGCAATCTGAACTGAACCTTCGCATCGTGACTAGTCTTTTCAATGTTTTAATCCGCTTTGTCAACACCTTCGCCAGCGGCCTTTTCCCGGTCGTGGCCTTGTATGCTTATACATTGCTGGCTGGGAACCCCCTACGTATTGACATTATATTTCCAGCATTGCAGCTCTTCACGATGCTGGAGCTTCGACTCAGAGAAATCCCCGGTCTAATAACAGTGCTTATCAATGCCTCTATCGCCATGGAACGTATAGAGGACTTTATGGCTGAACCTGACAAGCAGAAACAGGCAGCAATAGGAACGAGCGCTGAAGCTCCACTCGTGTTGGATTCTTGTTACTTTGCATGGCCTGGTAGAACATCACCTGTGCTCTCTGATATCAACTTGAAGGTTTCTCGGGGGTTGACAGTCATCTGTGGTAAAGTAGGGGCTGGGAAGTCAGCACTGCTTCAAGCCTTACTCGGTGAACTTGATAGACTGAGTGGTGTTTCCGAGACCCCCAGTGAGATGGTCGGATATTGCTCTCAAACTCCATGGTTGCAGAGCATGAGTATCCGTGACAATATTCTGTTCTCCTCCGCGTATGATGAACGTCGCTACAAACAAGTTCTCGAGGCCTGCGCATTACTTCCAGATCTAGCCAATTTCAAGCATGGCGACCTTTCATTTGTGGGTGAGAATGGTATTGGCCTCTCGGGTGGGCAGAAGGCACGTGTGGCTCTTGCACGGGCAGTTTACAGTTCTGCGACAATATTATATCTTGACGACCCTTTATCCGCCCTGGATCATAACACGGCAGAAACCATAGTTCGCAGATGCTTCTCTGGCCCGTTGATGCAAGATCGCACAGTTGTCCTTGTTACTCACCGCACCACTTTGGTACGTCATATCGCAGACCAAATTGTTCACCTTCATGATGGCAGAGCTACCATAGAGGATAGGCAATCCATTTCCTCAACCCTTAGCATCGATGATACAGAAGAATCCTCTTCGTCCCAATCTACGGATGATGAGACTCCAGGTGAAACAGCAGACCTAGATGATAAGGCTGCAGTGCCAGACAAGTTTATTGAAGAGGAACACCGGGCCGAATGGGGAGTGAAGGCCAAGGTCTACTGGAACTATATAAGAGCTGGAAAGTACAAGTGGTGGCTGGTCCTTGCGGTCTTCATAACCATGTATCGTCTCGCCGCTGTTGGTCAATCCTGGTTCCTCAAGGAATGGGGCGAGGCTTACAATCACGGCCAACCGGTTGTATCATTCGGCTTCTCACCATCTTACAAGAAGGCTTCCATAGGAGGACTGGGAGAACCACTAGTCCTCCCGCAGGCGCTCAACTGGAAGCCAGGGAACCCATTTGACAAATTTCCGGCACCAGTTGAAGATGTCCGACCGTGGCTTGTGGCATTCTTTGCCATCACAGTTTTCCAATCACTAACAATTCTAGTCTCACAGCTCATGATGATTGTCATAGTTTACTGTGCGGGGAAAACAATGTTCCAGCAAGTCATGCTGCGTGTCAGCCATGCCACATTCCGTTTCTTTGATGTCACTCCTATTGGGCGTTTGATGAACCGGTTGACATCCGACATCGGTGTGGTTGACGGCAATATCAGTGAACAATTCCAGCGAATATTCTTCCAGGCCATTGTGTGGGTTTCTTCACTTCTGGTCATTGCCTCAGTTACACCGACGTTTCTTGCCTTTTCATTTGTCCTGACTGCCGCCTTTATCTTTACTTTCCTGCGGTTCCTCCCAACGTCACAAAGCTTGCGACGGCTGGAGATGGTGTCTCTGAGTCCACTAATCTCTAACTTTGGAGAACTGTTGCACGGTCTAACTACTGTCCGTGCGTTCCATGCAGAATCGCGCTTCCAAGATAGAGTCATCGCAGTTGTGGATAAGTTTCAGGGCATGGACCACTTCTACTGGTCGCTACAGAGCTGGCTGATGTATCGTTTCGAAAGCTTATCTGCGCTTTCAACGTTCTGCCTGACTGCTATTGCATTATACACGAATGTCACTCCTGGCCTGGCGGCGTTCGTTTTGATAGCAGCGAATAACTTTGTGGACTCTACGCACGCATTGTGCAAGCAGTATGGCCAGCTGCAGATGGATTTCGTCTCGGTTGAGAGAGTAGACGAGCTTCTACACATCGAGCAAGAAGCTCCAGGGACCATTGAACCACCGGCATCTTGGCCGAAATTCGGCTCCGATATTGTCTTCGAGGATGTTACCATACGATATGCTCCCCATCTAGATCCATCGCTGAACAATATCTCCCTCCGCATCCCCGGCGGGTCCACGACAGCCGTCATCGGCAGAACAGGAAGCGGGAAGTCTACCCTGGCAGTGTCACTGCTTAATGTGATTCGCCCAGATGGCGGCCGCATCCTAATTGACGACCATGATATTGCGCAGGTGAGCACCCAAGCACTCCGGACCCGGGTAACATTTGTTGCGCAAGACCCCGTTCTTTTCCCGGGAAGCATCCGTCGCAACCTCGATCCAACTGGCGAGTACACAGATGTGGAGTGTGCCGACGTCCTCAAACGCATCTGCAGCAGACACGGCTGGAACTTAGAGACACATGTTGAAGCCGGCGGTCGAAACCTTAGCCAGGGCGAACGACAACTAATCGGCCTGTCGCGGGCAGTCTTGCGTCGGAGCTCGATTGTTATACTCGACGAGGCAACAGCGTCCATCGACCACGAGAGCTCGCTGGAGATCCAGCAAGTCCTTAGAGAGGAAATGAAAGAGTCGACTGTCATCACTATTGCGCACAGATTGGAAGCCATCAAGGACGCGGATTACTATGTTGTGCTGGACCAGGGACGAGTATCCCAACAGGGATACGTAAGGGATATGTGAACATGTTACTAGACACAAGACTATGGACTAAATGAATAGAACCCATTTACTTTATCCCGCAGAACTGTACCTCACAGAGTACCCAATATTCCACTTCCACCTCTCCAAACAATCCCCAACCCGCTGAACGAGACACCATGTAGGATCATCTACCAAGCCCATCCCAAAGCCCAGAGCACAACCACAACATACACATACCAGACCCCGTTCAGCCACAAAGCCCCAAACCCACTGACAGATCCAGTCACAACAGGAAGCCCAATCGCCGAAGTGCCATTCCAAAGCGGTAAGCTCCCAGTCGAAGTTGAAACATACGCACTCGCAAGAGCACTAGTAGAATCCAGCCCCAACCCAGAAGTAGCCACCCCTCCACCGACTCTAGTAGTCTCCTGAGACCCGCCGACCCCATCACCCAAGGACCTCCAACCTGACCCCGAGCCAAGCACCGTAACAACCCTATTCCAATCCCCAGGATCCACAGCCCTCGACCTACCACGATCAGAACAAAACCTTTGTTTCCTTTTGCTTTGTACCGACTCCCCCACACCAGCAATCCCAGGCGTAGTAACTGGCCGGAAAGAGCTCCAACCTGCATCCGCAGAGGATACCATCGCATGAATTGATCCAGACCCTAATCCATACCTCAAACTCGAACTCACCTCCTCCCCCAAAGAAACAAAATCCACCGCATCAATGGAACCACTCTCATCAATCTCATCTTCACAAATCCCCGTCTCCGGAACCGCAACAGTGGCTCCTTTCCGCGTATACCCCGTCCCATTAAACGCACAAACAGCATCCCCAGCCGCGGGCGACGATTCATAGCCTACTTCCCCATTAGCATTATACCGTACCCGATAATACGAGTGCAAGAGGTGGAAGAGGTACATAAAGCCCACTCCTCGTATCCCTTGGGTATGATACGCGCCAATCTGTGTAGTTATTTAGTAACATCCTATTTGTAAGTCGCCTTGGTGTAGACTGTGAAGGGACGTACTCGATATTGCAAGAGCGGAGCTCGGCTCGGGTGCGTGTCACGCAGGAGAGTATTTCTGGGCTGTGGAGGGAGCTGTGCGTGCAGTAGTGGGTGCCGGGGGTTGAACAGAGGTTATTAGGTGTTCGCCTGGTGTATGCTGTTAAGATGTGATTTGGGGGGTTTCTTTGAAGGGGAGAGTGGGAGGAGGGGGCGTACTGGTTGGTCTGGGCCCATCCTGGGTGGAGAAAGGTGGTTATTGTGAAGAGGTAGATGAGGAGGAGTATAGTGGTCATTTTGTAGTTGGTTAAGAGTATGTTGTTGTGAGGATGTTGAGATGGAGGTTAAGGGTGGAGTATGAGATGGTATAGTAGCAGGAAGGTGGGAGTGAGGCTTTGGTTTGTTGTGATATGCGTAGTTGTGTGTTGTGCTTTTGGTTAGGTGGTGTACAGTGTATGCTACTGGTGTGTATATAGGGCATGTATACGCTATCTTGTGGAAATATTGGCCTCCATTTGACCCCCTTCGTCTAGCTTAGATCCGGTTCAGCATTAGAGTAGAAGCGGCTTTAGTGTTCTGCATATTGCACTGTATATTGAAATTCATCAAACGCATATGTTCAGATTATCATTGGATATTGATGCCAGACAGCACATAAATGACGATTCTATGGTATGACACGACTTGAGACCACCAGGATAGCCAGCAGACCACCTCAATATGGTCGAATATAACCCAGCATAAACATACTTTTATCCAAAATCAACCGTCTAACGCCAAACTCGCCGCGACACAATGCAACAAACGGATTTCTTCACTGCTGGCTCTCCTTAAATTTGCGAATCCTCCGTTTTATATCACCCTCGGTCTGCTGCATCGGGTTCAATTTCCTGTCACGGACCATGGCTGAGATGTTGTCTCCGTGGCGTTCAATCAACCTTGTAATCCACTCTACTTCTCTCTCGCTCATGTGTCGGGGTTTCTTCGCCTTGACGCGACTGCTCTCCTTATCTGCTTGGCGTTCGAGCTGTTGAACAATCGCACTTGCGGAGCTCTTCTTCTGCGACTCAGCATCCTCCATCTCGTCGTCGGTCGAATCGTTCAACGGGTCATTAAGCGGGTTCGACTTGCGGACCTTACGTCCAGCGACTTCAATCACTTCGTGCTCATCAGGTTGAATAACGCGGACAATCTTTCCGGTCTCGGGATCGCGCTCGACCTTAATTTCTCCCAGCGTAATTTTCTTCGTGGCGGCATGGGCGCTGCTCTTGATGTGAAGAGAGTCCTCCGGGACGGTCTCGACGCCAGTTTTCGTCACACGCTTTTCAGAACCACCGGTGGGGGCATTCAGACGATGGGTGAGACCAAGACGACGGTAGTTTTGTGTAAGAGTCAGGCTCCGGTCCCTAGAGGTACCTACATTAGCATTGCGCATGTCACTTGCGGTACTTTGAAATTTACCAATTCTCGGCGATGATCGCATTTCCCAGCACATTAATTTTCTTGTTGCCGTTCTTGAGGATACCGGTCCTCTTGGGCTTCTGCTTCGGCAGGGAAGACTTAAGCTTTCTCTTCTGTCTTGGGTTTCCCATGTTGTATGATTATGAGTATTAACGGATTCGATGTCGAAAAGGGAGATGCGCTGAAGAAATCTGAAAAATAATCTTATCGATTTCTCCGAAAAGGTCAGTGGGTGTTTGCATTGCCAGCCTTGGCGTGTTTGTCGTGGGATTGCCGATAAGAAGAAATCAGTCCATCAGTTTTAAGGGTCCGACGATCGGGCCCATGCGACCTGTCACTCACTTACTTCCGATCCGAGTGTCACTGCTCTCCTGAGCGCACAGAATCATTCTCGCAGCAATGGCTCGGCTTTTCTCTCCGCCGCGTCGGCTTGCCTTTGCACTGGCTGCAGGATTGGTCCTTTTCAGTGTCCTGGCGGTGGCTAAAGATGTCATTCCCGTTGGAGAGCTATCTGTAAGCCAAATAGAGGATGAATTGCAGGTAAATATGAAGCTGTCTCTTTACCCCTGGAGAGTCTATACCGATATCCACGACTCAATTGCTGTCGTATACGGAGATGTCCTACAATATACTAATAAATACATAGAACTGCCCTCTCGTGGAATCTCTCAACGAGCACAAGCGTGCCACCAGCCCCCAAACCGCCAGCTTGACCTCGAAGATCTTCGCCGTCCTTTTCCCGGGTAGTCCAGCTGTGAATGCAATTCTGGCCACTGCGTATATCTCCGGACCCCCCAGTACGTCTCTATATTTTACCCCGCGACGTGATACAGCAATTGACCAGTATCAGACTTCCTGCTAGCACTATGCCCCCCGAACATCGACCCCTCATCCTTGTCCGTGATGGTAGCTTTCGCTGTGGGCGGGCTGATGGGCGACACACTATTCCACCTTCTACCTGAGATCTTCCTCGGCGAAGACAGCCCCGAGCACGTCCGCTTCGTCATGGTCGAGCCGAACAGGAACCTCCTCCTTGGACTCGGCATCATGGTCGGCTTCTTCACCTTCGTCGCAATGGACAAGACCCTCCGCATCGCAACTGGCGGCGAAGGCCACGACCATTCCCACGGCCACAGTCACTCCCACGAACCCGCCACAGCGGTAACAACTGGCACCTCAACCGACAGCAAATCCTCCGGTGACCTCAAACAGCGCAAGTCCACCAAGGAGCAAGCCGTCGCAAACGCCGAGCCCGAAAAGGAAATCAACCCCAGCGTCAAACTGGGCGGCTACCTCAACCTGATCGCCGACTTTACCCACAACATCACCGACGGCCTGGCCATGTCCTCGTCCTTCTACGCTTCCCCCACCATCGGCGCAACGACCACCGTCGCCGTCTTCTTCCATGAAATTCCCCACGAGGTCGGTGACTTCGCTCTCCTCGTGCAGTCCGGGTTCTCGAAGAAGAAGGCCATGGGCGCGCAGTTCGTTACCGCCATCGGTGCCTTCCTGGGTACCTTTATCGGTATCGCAGTGCAGGAGCTCGGGGGTAGTCATGGTGCCGCTGCTGATGCTGCTGAGGGAGTGGTGAGTGGTCTTTGGGGCACGAGTTTGCAGTGGGGAGATATGCTTTTGCCATTTACGGCGGGGACGTTCCTGTATGTGGGAACTGTGTCTGTTATCCCTGAGTTGTTGGAGACGGGCAAGGATAGGAAGCTCGAGATTAAGAAGACGATTGTGCAGTTTTTGGCTGTCGCGCTTGGGGCGGGGATTATGCTTGCGTATGTGTCTCTCGTCAACACTATTATATGCGGTTGGGCTTTGCTAACAAGAATAACAGGATCTCTTGGGATTAAGCGTACATGCCTCCCAAAATAACCTCCAAAACCGACACCGTCACTCTCACTCACTCTCCTACCGTCAAAGACGAGACTACCTACTACACCATCTACCAAAAGTCATCTAGATGAAAACCATTTTGCGTGTATGTATGTAATGGGACCTAGAATAATATCTCAATAGCGCCAGCTCCGTTCCTGGCAAGACATAGACTCAGACCAGACGGACTTCCATCCCACTCTACGTAGAACTACATGATACAAGACAAACCAACGCCCATCCGACCATCAAGTTTAGGAAGCATCGTAAGACAGAAGGAAATGCAAAACAAGACCCCACGACCAGGGCAAAACCGAACCTGCGCACAGCGCGCGGATGCAAGCGATCAATACATAAAACAAAACACAATCTAAATGGGAAAACATGACAGGCCTTTCACTCATTGTAGTGATATACCTAAACCAAGCGCGATTAGCACCCAAACAGGAACCAAAAGGAAAAAGAAATTTGGTTTTTTTTTTTTTTTTTTTT